TTTTATTTTTTCTTAATTGCCATACCCCCCCCCCCCTTTTTTTTCTGTCCTTCATCTTGGAGGGGAGGGGCGTGTGCATGTAGGTATGCGCGGTGGGGGGGATGGAAGAAATAGAGTGACATTCGTGTGATGGATGGCGTTGCCTATTGCTCATTTTTGATGTTTTCCTGTTTATTATACAGGCGTTGTTTTTTTTTTTTTTTTTTTTTTTTTCATCAGGGTGTGAGTGGCAATCGGCATTCTACCTACCTACCTATATACTTGCAAAGTAGGTACGTGATTTTATATACAACCCGCACCGCAACCACCGCTTACCCGTATCCAATCTGCCAGAAAGAGTACCAGTACCCAGCACCTGGCGAGGGAGGCTCAACTCGGTCGAATCAGACACATGCGCGTATCAAGTTTCTCATGCAGCAGCCACGGTGCATGCCTAGCGCGTGGCTCGCGGGGGGGAGAAAGAGCCTCAAGTCATGAAAACCAATGAGCCGGACGCAGAGCCGCATTTGAGGCTCTTTTCACACCGACTTTTGATTGGCTTGCGTTTTCTTCTCCTTGCTTTTAGTTTAGTTCTTGTGCTTTTCTCCTTCTTTTTTTCTGTTCGTTTGTTTGCTTTTTTTGTTATTTTAGCACGTAGTCGTAGCTTGATGCGAACGTACCTTACCTATTGCATATACACACGCCCCCGTCCTCAACGACTCGTAATAAATGTTTTCTTTGTCCTAATGAATGGGACATGAGGGAGGGCAGAAATCGAGGCGTAACCAAGGGCATGTAAGCCAGTCGTAAAAGGCAGCTTTATCTGCACAGCACATGCATACACCAGGCAGGAAGGCAAGCAAGCAGGCAAAAAAAGGCAGCAAAACTCACATTTATTCCACCTTTTCTTATTATTTTACATCATATAATCAGATCCCTCAAAACCCATCAAAAGATAACAAGGACAAACAAATGCCCCAACACACTCACCCACCAAACTCATACCCGGCATTTTCCTATCCCAGGCTATTTTTATCATAGAGAGCAATCAAATTCAAATTTCGAACCACAAAAAAAAAAAAAAGAAAAAGCTCCCAGACAGNAAAAAAGACTGCACACCTTAGTACTACAGACAAATCTCCTCCCCATTATACTTTTTTGCTCTGCCTCCTCATAGTCCTATATCCTATCCACTTGTTAGATTACTTTTCATAGGCAGGCATCGATCAAAATAGCTGACTCGCAGCGAGAACGAAAGCGAAGCAAAAAAATCCTCCCCACCGACCCCTTACCGCCACCAACAACCCATTCCATGTTACACAACATGATACGGCGGCAGGGTACCTATACCACAGACAGCAAGCATAGGACATGATAACGTAGCAACAAGTGGCAATAAAACCTTTAGACCAATTTAAAAAAAAAAAAAAAAAAAAAAACTCGTATGATGCATGTCCAAGACATAGTACGCGTGGCAGTTCTCCCCCTTCTTTCTCTCCCCTTCTTTTCTGCCCTACCGCTACGTACTGTATACACACTATTTCGGGCTTGAATCCCCTTCGTCACTCTCACAGGGTGGAGTGCATCTTTTCGTATTCATGCCGCAAAAGTTCCGTGTCTCATCGTCAGAGACAAAAAGTCCTGCCCGGTTTCAACGCCCATCCCTGCCTCAGATAGTCTCACCGTAGCAGCTCTCTACATGCGCAAATTCCAATGGACTTTTCTTGAAATTACAGAGTAGTCAGTGACAGATGAAATAGGATAGCAAATTGTAGAATACATTGCAATCTAATCTAACTAATTCTCAGAGACCCTAAAAAGCCATACCGTAACACAAAACATTCACCTAATTGCCCTCTCCTCCTACCAAAATACATGATAGCTAGCAATAGTTTGTACAGTTCCAAGTGGCAGGTACCTCGTAATCCAGCTCCATTAAACCCTCCTAAGTATACCAATCATCATCAATCCTGTTCACAGCAGCCAACCACAGCTAGCCAGCCATTCTTCATCGCCAAAAACAAGCCACTCAACTCACAATGCCAACCAGGGGTAATCCTAGAAGCAACATCATCCGACAGATTGAATGGAGAAATCAGAACCACGTCATGCCTGGCGCCCCTCCCTTGCAGTCCAGGAATAACGAATCACAGCAGTGAGCTGAGTGACGTTGGAGAAAAAGAAGAAGAGAAACAAAAAGAAGTAGTAGGTTGATATCGCTGCCACCATCTCGGGGTATACGGTGTCGAATCTTCATTTCACACATGTGAGAGTTGCCTTGCCCACCGCTGTCTAGACAAGCAACACAAATGTTGTTGAACCACCCCCTTTCAAAACAAGGTTATCCACTATTGCGGCTGATTCCGAACATCTGCATATACGTTACGGAACAAACACACACTAAAGATGAGAGCGTTGAAATAATACACTTTCGAAGAAACAAAAAGTGAAATGTGAGGCGCATGCCATCCCTCACATCTCCACCTCGGGTGCCACTTCTTTTCGCACCATGAGCGCCAGGTCAAGCCCTATGTCCAACTACAGCATCCCCAATGAATGATGCTATCCAGTACAGCATCTAACAAGTCTCACGATGAGGCAAGGGCTCGGGACTTATGACCCACAGTGACCCTACCCGGGACTTTCTCTTCTGAGCTCCGCTGAGCTCGTCGCTGCTGTCTCAGGCGGCATTCGTAAGCATAACCTGGCTGGTTCGCCTTGCGCCACTCAATCCACGCCTCGTATGCCTGTTGGTCTCTTGGGTCTGGACGGCGAGGCTTTGGTACTGGGTGTGGCTGTGGTTGCGGTGGATGAGGAGGAGCGGCTCCCATGAGCGACATTTGGCCGGACGGCATGTTGAAGTACGCATTAGCCGAACTGGTTGTCAAAGGAAATGCGGTATTCATAAGATTAGGTGCTTGAAACCCCATTATATTGCCTGGTGCTGCTTGCAAAACGGGCTGCGGTTGAAACATCGCCGGGGTGACCAAAGATAGTGGCTGTAATGGGATAGCTGGCGCCTGGAGCGAGCCTCCGAACTGGTCTGCAGACACCGGAATGAATCTTCTCGCCATCAAGTTATTGAGTGTTAGAGGGTCGGTAGCTCCGTTCGCAGCTGCAAATGGCACAAATCCATAAGGAGGCGGCGGTTGGACAGAGGAGATATCCGTGAGGGGAGCTAATTCTGCCAGGGACGCGACATTTGCCTGACCATCTTTTTGAGTGAAAAGAGCCGGGAATGGCTGAAGCGGTTCCATATTCCCCTCTTCAGAGCTGGATTCTGTACACAGAGCGAATGAGAGAAACTCTCTCGCTTTGGGATTGAAATTTCTGAATTTACTTGACATATTGGGAAAGACGCCCGAGTCCGCCGAGTTGCTGCTCCCGTCTTTCTGGTGGTGAGTCTCCGTTCCCCGAGCATGGCTGTTGTTGAGTAGCTCAGAATTAGGCTTCTTCCGTAGATCAGCGCCGTGCGCCCGATGCCGCTGTGTGGACGTTTCGACGGGACTCTCTCTTAGGGATTCCTTCACGCCATCGTCGTAGCCGCTGTCCATCCTGGATTGTTCCTGCGCTCTTTTCCGTTGGAATCCCTTGCTATTTTGTCCCAGCTTGTTTAAAAATCGTTGGAAAGCTTCGTCCCGCTCGATTTCAATTTTCGTAGCAGGCCCTGTGTCGTTTGCTGGACGATCCGACTTGGATAGTTGACGCTCATTGGTGTGAGTATGAGTCTTGTTACTTTGCGATTCATACGCTTCGTGAGTCTCAGAGAAGCCCTTTCGTGCTCGTCGCTCATCCGAGATTGTGTATGGACCACGAGCTTGGTATACATGCGCTCGAACTCTGAGAGGCGTCGCGTCGGCGGCTCGAAGCGCTGCTGTTAGCTGCTCATCTTGGCTGTTGCTGGAAGCCCCCTGTTTCCGCTGTTCAAAGCTTCCTCTCAGAGGTCGAATATCCACGACAGTCTTCGTCGAGTAGCTGGGGGTGCTGCCCAGAGGAGCAACTTCAAATAGGTTCAAGGGATGTTCTCTGGAGGATGAGAGGGATAGTTGCTTCAGAACTTCATACTGAGCGGGCTTTTCTTCTTCCAGAGTTTTAAGCATCCTTTGTTCCATTCTAGAGGATATCGCGAAAATGTCGTTCTGGCTATATCTCAAGGTGTTGCTTGCAGCGGCACCATCTTGTGACGAACTGATAAACTGCTGTGACTCTGTTTCGCGTTTGCCTTGTGCGGCAGATCTTGGCGTTGGCGGAGAGGCATCCATGCCAATTCGTTGCTCTCCGGCACCAACCACTTCTGGAATATTGTGTTCACTATCATTCGCTGCCGATGAACTGTTGTCAGAGGGACGGTTTCGCCAATCAGGGTTCTTCAATGCGTGCAGGTCATTCAACTTCTTCAGCTGCTGGTAGGCATAAGGGGTTCCTGGCGCCTTGCCACGGACTTCACTCCTTAGTCCCGCGTTCTTATAGTTGACAGGAGGATGGTATGTCCGTTTATAACGGCTAGCGGTGGCTGAGATGGGCATTTTCAAACCTGGGAGCAAGATTAGTCTCCGTTATATCACACATATATCTGGGTGCATTATCTGTTTCACTTACTGCTTATTCAGCTAGGAGAGCAAGGCAGTTCAGCCGATGTCGGTAAAAATTTAATCTGATTTTATAATCGCTTTGATCGCTGACGAGGAACAGTTTTTGGTCGTCGAGTCTCAAAGTTCAAACCCGCCGAAATCTTCTCCCATACAATCACACTCTTGGGATACAGTGGCTTGAAGATCGGATTAAAGCACAGGAATTCGCTGTAAAAAAAAAAAAGAAAGAGAGAAAGCAAAAAGAAAGAGGAGGCAAACGCTGCTTCAAGATTTCCTGCCGAAGCAAGAGTTGAAATCGAGAATGGCAGAAGAGAGCCGGAGATTTGAAGTTGAAGAGCGGATATCCAGTTGTTGTAGTGGCTTCCAGCCGGCGGGCAGCTGACATATATTTAGGACCAGAGAAATCTCGCAATGAAGTCCCTGGCTCGTAATAAAATTCGCGCTTGAGTGCCAGGGGCTGGTGATAGACCGTATCTGTTGACTGGAATACGAAACAGTCCCAAAAAGAAGGCAGATGGCGAGCGAGAGAGAGCGAGAGAGCTGAGCACACGATGGCTTCTTATAAATCTGAGCGTCGCGCAACAACAAGAAATCTGGGATTAAGATTCGCCCATGTAAATCGTGGCTGGCTCTTTGCCGTAGCAACTGAGACGGCAATATGTTCGTTGACTCTTGCATTTAGGGTTACGCCTTGCAAGAGTTTATTGAAAGGTTTGACTTTTTGAGCATATAACGATGTCTGTTTTGAGTGCAAGTGCATCGGCTGAGGCTTCCGCTAACGATGTATATATGACGATTTGTCTAGCCCAGCAAGAAGCGTCTTATAGCTTTCCCAAGATTCTATTTCATTCTTCAATATTATTTGGCAAAAAGGCTCTCAGCTATTGCTAATATCAAAACCCCAAGGAAAAGCAAAATGTATTCAAAGTAGGTAGTACAAAATTGATAGACCGCTTCCACACCAAAATAAAAAAGGACACATATCAGCTTCATACATATACACTTGGTCGGCAAAAGGTACGAGAATCCTCCGGTTTCCTAAACATCCTGAGGAGCAACACCACCAATAAAAGCAGCAAACTCTTGTGCGTTTCTAGTCTGCATAAAGACCGTACCAGGGCCCGTAAACTTGCAAACAAGGCCTTCTCCGGAAGACAAGCCGGAAATGATGCCTCCTGAGGCAACGCGTTCCAAGACATAGCTCGTATTCCACGCCACCAGATGGCCGTTATCCACGATATACTTTTCGCCTTGCGCAAGCTATTATTCCAAAGGTCAACACCGTCAAACCGGCAAAGAGGGCACTGTACTTTTAAACTCACATCTTTTCTGATGATGGCACCAAAACTTGAAACCCAAAGCAGGCCAGTTCCGGTTACCTTGTAAACAAACAGGCCCTCCCCACTGAAAATCGCTTTGCCCAAGCCTTGGCGCTTGTAGTCTTTGTTTATGCCTTGCGTATAAGCCAGATAGGCATCTTTTCCTACCGACCATGTCTCACTGCCGGTCAGCCTAATGCTAGTGATGTCTCCCAGAGACGACGGCGCGAGAATAAGTTCTCCAGGCCCCGTAAAGGTAGAGCTGGAGAGTTCTCCGCCAGCAATGATCTTCTTGACGCTAAACTTGATATGGCCCTTGAGAGTGATGGACGGAGACATGGCAACCATGGCACCTGTTTTGAGTCAGAATTGGCAATAATCAGGACACGGAACCTGCCCGAGACGCTCTCTCTCTCTCTCTCTCTCTCTCTCAACATACCTGGCTTGGCATGAATTGGGGCGCCGTTGGCTAATTGGATAGTAAGAATTGTGTTGGAATCGCGATGGCTAATGCGGTAGCTTCCCCCGTTAAAGGTTCCAACGTCATCGGTCGTCGATACGGCTCCAACAAACTGTGCTGGCTGTTGCTGTTGCGGCGGTGCCTGTTGGTAAGGCTGCTGGACTTGAGGGGACGGCGTATGCTGTGGTGGGGGGGCATAGCCGGGCGTTCCTTGGGGAGGATGAGGAGGGGGCGCAAACTGTTGCTGCTGAGGGGGAGACGCATACTGCTGCTGTGGTGGAGGAGACGCATACTGCTGCTGCGGCTGCTGCTGCTGGGGGGGAGGCGCATACTGTTGTTGCTGTTGCGGCGGCGAATGCACTATTTGTCGTCTGTGTTAGAATTTGATCGGCATTGCGTCTTGCGCAGTGGCGTCTCAGACGAACCTTGTCCTGGAGGCGCGCCGGGAGGAGCTGCGATGATGCCGCGAGTCAGTATTTGAAGTTGAAGAAGGCGGGGTGAAGCTGGTGTAGGCTGCTGACATACGCGGATAGTATTGGGGTTGCTGGCCAGACATGGTGGATAGGAGAGTCGCCTTGGAGAACTGCTGTCTATGAAGCAGGTTGAAGGGGATTGGGAAGAAGAAGAAACGAGTCGAGTCGCAAAATCGAGCTGGTTGAGCTGTTTGCTACCAGCCGGCTGGTGCCCCGCTCTGTGTGTTGCGCAACGGATGGGCGCTCCAAACCAAACGCAATTGAGCTGAGGATCAGGCCTTGAGGTGCGGATCGGCTATGCGCAGAGGCGATTCGAGATGGAGAAGAAGGCCGTGTTACAAAGGAGCGAGCAGGAGAGAAGAAGAAAGGATGCTGCGGAGATGTCATTGGATCTTATATTGGACATGGACCGCATGCTCACAAAGAGGCCACCCACACTAAGTGCCATCCGTGCATGCAGGCGTGTGTCAAGTGGCGCCTGCCTTAGTGAAGTTCCCAGGGCCGGTACCTGGGCAGGCGCGAACAGAAGAGCATATCAACGTCATTTGCACTGCAGTTTTTTGTTCCAATTACACGTGGAATACTGATCTATTGATATCCATTGATTTCTCAGTTGTGAAGTACAATATGCAGCACCGTCCTCGCCTTTTCCTGTACAAGTACTTGCTGAACTCGCTGCAAATACCTGCACGATGTGGCCTGACCTGGACTAGCAACTGCTTACCTATGCATCCACTAAAGCCGCCAAGCTCGACCCCGCTCCCCCAATTTGCAGCCGCAGCTGTTTGGAATCGTTCTTCAGCGGCCCTGCTCGGCCAAGACTATTGGCCGACGGCGCATCTAAGCGCTGTTGTCAGCGCCTAGGCAGCCAGCGAATAAAGGGCAAGGCTTGGAAGGCAATCAGCATCCATGTAAGATTGATACAAGACCACCATTATACTCCATGGCCCCGCTGTTGCAACGCTGGCAAAGCTTATAGGTACCTACCATGGCTTTTGGCACGTTGTGTTCTCTATGCTATAACACAAGGTGTTTATAAGGTAAGTTTGCTTTCATTTTATACAGATATAGCAGCCTGTTGAGATGGGATTTCTGCAAAGAAGCCTAGAATATTCTTGCCGCAGAATGAAAGAGATATCAACTGCCCTGACACACCAAATAGATCTGTCAGTAGTATTTTAATCTTGTTCTACATAGTACGAGACAGAAGAGGCTATTGAAAGAAATAAATAGCCTTACGCTAGGTGGGGTGTATCCCCGTTACTCTTGAAAAGAAAAAAATTTCTGGTGAGCACCATGATGCTAGTGCTATGTCGATGACCGTGCAGCTAGCCAATAACCAGACGACTCTAACTGGCAAGAGGACTACGTTATGAACCCCACGATAATAGGGCTCTAGTTCCATTAACGGAATGACTGTTGATACTGCCCAGAATAGCACATACTAGGCTGACCATGGCTCTGCGCACCTCTCCCATCATCTAATTCATGTTCCCAAACAACTAGACTTAGTTCCCACCCAGCAAGGGGTAACTTTGTTATGCATGTCTCATAAATCAAGACATCTCTTCAGCTTAACTTGCCGAGAACCGAATCCGCGAGGTATAGGGCAAGCTTGCCGGTACGGATCAAATGTAGTTGTTTTTAAGTTTGTGTTTCCCCTTTAGCCTTTTTGCACTAAGGAAAATAAGCGCGAGCCATTGCCAGACGCTGGCGCGCATAGGATTCTCGAGGTGCGGCAAAGCGAAAGTCTGTTTTTCTGCGCTCGCAACATATATTCGATCGAGGTATACACACTACCCGACGCGAAAACTACGAGCTTATGATCTCCAAAAACACAAACCCCGCCACAACGCAGTAACTGTTGGATACGGCAAGGAGTCTTGTAGGATGAATTGAGTCATGGGCTGGTTTGTCTAGGTATTTATGCTTGACAAAATGCATATACGCGTTGAGGTCTCTCTTTGGCTATTGATACATCAAGAACACTTCCTAAGATTGTCAAGCCAAAACTAGCTATAGCCGGGTCTATACATATATAATGTGCATATGAGCTGCCGTGATGTCACCTAGTCTACTAACAACTTTATGTTAAAACTTCGAGCATCAATACGATCAAATCTAGAAACCATCTTTTTACATTGCTACCTATTCAAGGGTAAGACTGAAGTTTCTAGGATGAAGGCGAAAAACAATGTTTCGATTTAAAAGCTATAGAATGCGTAAAAATGTATACTTTTAAATCATCATCATCATCCTCACGCACGCTAGGGCCACACTGGCTACATTCCATATATGTATTTACCCCCATTCCCAGCCAGTTCGGGGATTATTGAGTGTATCATGGATGTCTCGATAACCTCTCTCGCCTGATGATGTCTTGGCCTTAACAACGCCAATCTGCGCTCAGTTCGACGATGAATTTATCCTCAATTAGCTTTTTTTTTTCTTTCTCGAAATCATATCATGTCAGTGCGAAAGTTGTTCGGGCATGAGTACATTGCAGCGTAGCGCGCAAACGTCACCACGCAATTTGTTTTAGCATCTTCCGCTTCGTAGTTGTGGTGGGACTCAATAAACTTTGGAGCCAATACGGTATACACGACGGGAAAAACTTTGCCGTATTCATAACCGTAAAGAATAGATGTAAATAAACAAACAGTAATCTTCTAGTACATCATAATTCCCTTTTTTTTCCCTCTAATATTTGTTTGGCAAGTCTTCACAATTGCCTGGAAATATCGTCAACATCTATATAACGATTCAATGGGCCTAGTTCTACCAGGGCTTCCAGACAATCCTTTTTACGAAAAATTAAAAACCCAAAATACTCTCTTCTCCATACTTCCAAGAGAATACAAAATCGCTTTTCCAATCTTATCTCTATCTACGATTCGGCAACATTTCTCCTTCTTAGCGTCGACAACATCTGGCACTCATAATCATGTTTCCTCCGCACTTAATTTTCGTCTTCTTTATTCTGGCCTCGCCAGTGGCAGGACTACCGATTCTCAGCAGCAAGGCCACAGCCCCCATCAATTCCCAACCGGTAATTTTACAACAAGAGGGAGATGAGGATTCATCCCCCAACTCTCGACCAGCGACCCTGCACAATGAGTACAAAGAGCTGCTCTTCAACCCACGACCAGTACTTGGACACAAGGATAGTGGACAGTCGTTATTTTCCCGTGGCATGCAGAATATAGATCAGACTTGGATGGTTCTCATTAATGCCACTCCCTACACGTGGAAGAGGGGGTACATCCACCAGTACCAGATGCCTGACTGGCTAGATGACTGTCCCGAATACATTCTTCCTGGGCAGTCTATTTCCGTTTGGATCCAGCCGGCAGAAGGGTTTTTCAACTGGAGAGACTCTGGTGCCGATGTCGAGTACCGCCTTGTGGGCACCTCGAAACCAACGTCGTTCATGCTCAGGTTCAGCAACACCTACCCAAGCTCCCTCAAAATCGAGTTTCAGGATGAACTGTTCTCGTTAAATAATCTCAAGGATAGCAAACACGATCTCGGCGTGAACAAATTCCCCGGCGGCTCGGCTTTTATCCTCGCAGGCAAAGAAGGCGAGTTCATCACCAACGATCCGCCTATCGACTGGATGCAAGCCATGCTCCCTGAACTCGCCGACGTTCCCTTGCGAAACATTCTTCTCCCAAGGTCGCACCACTCTGGCATGTGGAAGAGCTTCCAGAGGGTTGGCTTTGGACAGCCGTCAAACACCCAGACTCAGAGCATCCATCTTCGCCATCAGCTCGGCAATGGCGGCATCCGCGTTCTTGATTTCCGTCCTGTCAGAATCGGAGACGACTTTCGCGAGTCACACGGAGGCCACCTACTCGGTTCGTACCATGGTGTCCTTGGGGCATCTCTGCGTGAGATGATTGGATTCGTCAACGAGTTCAACCAGAAGTATCCTGGCGAGCTGATCATCTGGGATGTGCACGGCGATCAAGCCTGGAACGGAGATCGTAATTTTCATCCACTGAATCAAGATGATCGAGAGGCTCTGTATGCCCAGTTCTTGGATTTAGAGCATAGAATGAGCTTCCCCGATAACGACACTGATGTCTCTCAGTGGTCTCTAAGCCGCTTCATCGGCAACAAGTCTTCTGCGGTCATTGTCAACTTTGACGAAACTTGGCGACAAATGGACGGCGACAAATTTCCTGGCAGCCAACACGGATTTGTAACGGGCAGAAATTTTCCTCTCACCCATCAGTGGAGCAATGCTGCGCACGTCCATGACATGGTTCATGATCAAGTGAACAGATTCCACGAAGTGCGTCCGACACCAGACAGCCCCGTACACATTGCTGACTGGGTTGTCACGCAGCAAGGCATACAAGCAGCGCTGCCTACGCACAGCATCCTGGAAATGGCAGCTGGGGCGTGGCGATCGCTGTTTGAGGATCTGTGGCGGCAATCGACGAGCGAAACGTATCCAAATTGGGTGGCGGTGGATAATGTCCGCGGGAACCAGCACAAGAGCCTGATTATGGCGATGAATCACTGCCTTGTAGCTAAGAAGTGTGGTGAAATGGGCGGCAAGGTTAAGATGGAGGCCGAGAGTGGGTAGCTGGGCTTATACAGAACGGCATCTGAGAAGGGGAAGTTGAACGGTTTTTAACGACGTCATGAATCTACGAATTGTATACTAAAGAGCTTGTATGATATAACTAGGGGCTATGCTTATTCGATTGTTGGCGAAAAAATTCCTCAGGTTGATAACATACATGTATTCATATGAGATCTAAACCATTATGTCCAACTCCTAGTGTATCCTCTGCAGATGCAATGCAGTCCGATAATCAACACTTACTATAACCAACTATGTATTTTCTATCCTAAAGAATCAATAAGCAGTGTTAAATATATGCGCTTAAAAAAATGAACAAGTTCATAAAATAGGGTAGATACTATTATCATGTTTACTATATGTTCAGGGTAGCTGATTCTACATGAACTTTGGGGTCTATAATTTCCCCCTGAACGATTGCGTCAATAGATCATTCGCGTACGTCTTGGCGACGCAATAGATTGTAAAAACGTGAACCTGTTCCTTGGAATCAGCTCATAATCGAATACTACCTTGTGCCCCAGAAACGCGATTCATCCTCGGCGTTCAAGGCAACCCCGACTATGTCCTGTCAGGAAATCAAAATTTCGTTCGTAAGCGACAGGAGTTTCAAGCAACCAATACGAACGAGAATGCTGGGACTTCCCCAGAAGCTTGGCAGTTTGCCAAGCCGGCAACGATTATTACATGCACTGCCTGTATAGGAAGCACATACTACATGTAGTAAGAATACATGTAAGCACAAAGCTTGGACTCTCTTGATTCAGAAAACACACGCGTGAGCCATGTACGAGAGAGCCCTACATGTGCATGAGTGTATGTACTACTTGTATGCTCTACCTCTATCCATCCATCATAGTGCTCGAAAGTAGGGTCTAAAACATCTACTGTTTGGCATTCACACGAACTCGGACGGGCTCGCTTCACGCAAATATAGTGTAAGCAGGTAGTAATAGTCCGAAATTCCCGCCCAAATCCATATTTTAAGGTGTTGGTTGAGGCGTGCATTGACAGCAGACCTGGGCGCGAGGACGCGCCGAGCCAGCAGCGCGGTACCATCGCCCTGCAGTGATGAATGAGAAGATGCATGAGACGATGATCCCTCGCTTACTGCTAGTGCGATCTGGTAGCTTTTCCCATGGCTGTGAAAGCTGAGACTATTTTTGACTGGACGCTCGTGCGATGCTACTCGCTCTGGCACATCCATGCTTTGGCCAGGTTTCATTAAATACCGACATGTACCTAATATTTGTGGCTGCCCCTAAAGATAAGAGTAGTAAATCACAATGCCCCTAGGACCATCTGCCTCATTACGCTCAGACGCCTCATGGAGTAGGAGATGAAAAGCACAAGCTCGGACGCTTCCGTGGACCGAGGACCGAAGGCTCTGCTAGAGTCTTCTGCGAAAGCAAAGCTGAGGAGGCTCAGCGCGCGCCTCGGAGCATGAAGTTTTCGGCGATAGGCCCAAGGAAATGCACAGTATCCCAGGCTGAAGTTCATACATGCCTTGTATCTACCTAGTGCATGCACTCACACACACCCTTCACTAGTATAGCATCTCTCATGAGACCTTGCAAAGTACGTGTATACGGGGCCGAAGCCTACGCGCCCTACAGAACAAGTCGGAGCCGAGCGCAACTATAACTAGCCTAAAAAGATCAATAGGAAAATGTTTGCCTTGGAAATTTGCCTTTCCGCTTTCGCGGCTTCTTCTAGAAGCAAGCAGTGTCTTTGTCTTTAGGCACAAGCTTAGGACGTGTTCGTGGATTACTGCAGCAAAACATGCACCGACAAGGTCTGGGAATGGGATAAAGGGGAGGGGTACATATACTACTTTCCGCACTGGGTCTGATTTGTCTCGGAGAAATCTTCCTGCAACGGCGTTATCCGGTAGAGACTACTACCCGCCGAAAACCTGCTTTAGCCCTTTTCAACACTTATGAGACAGACGACGAGAAGGAGAAAGAGTTAGGGAGGGTCGCTTGGTCACTCCATGTGATTGTCATAGGCAGCTAATACAAGTAGGCGGTGCCAAAAGCAACGAGAAGACGGGCCATGTCATCGGTGTTACTACGTGCTACCTGGTGACAGGAGCTTGGGACGGGCTCCTTGATCCCCGTTGCAAGTAAGTGTTTGAAACGCCGGCCGCAGATCTTGAATTGCTGTCATTTATCAATAAACCGGAACATATATACGTGAGGAGCATAGTAAGCCTCCCAGGAAGGGGAGAGTGCTCCGTAGTGCAGGTAACGTTAGCTACGAGCCCTGCCCTGTCTTGTTTGCTACGATGGAATACCTATCAGCTGCGGCATGGCAGCAGCGTGGTTGGCATGGGTCCAGGATTACGGGAAGTGGTGCCGCTACTTGTGTTACAGGGCTGACTAACAGCTTTTGTATTCAACCAGGGGGGGGGATGCAGGGGAGTCGTTTCCTCTTTTCAATCTATTTCCGGGCGCCCACTCACGAGGTGACAGGAGGCATTGCCTGTTTTGTTATGGTTTGTGGATTAAATACTCGCCGAGGCATGGGCGGGAAGAGCGGGAGAAATGTCGCGGGATCTCTCGCTTGGGTTTAGGGCCATCTCTTTGCTTTTCAGAACCCGGAGCTTCTACTTTTGATCTGGAACCCAAGGGCTCGGGAGAAGCGGTTGGTCGACCTCTGTTAGGTGTATGCTGTTGGATGAAAGCAAACCCAAGATACTGGTAGCGAGTTGGCAAAAGATGGATCAGATCAAAGACGGAGAACGGGGGGGTTACATTTCCCCAGAGAGGAGTCATACTGCATGTGTGCAGAGAAGTGTGTTTTGTTGAAAGGAATAAAAAAAGAAAAGAAAAGAAAAGAAGAGGCAAAGTGCATGCTTGCCTGTGAGTGTTACTCCCAGATTAGTGGTAGCTGGATCAGAGGTTGGGAGTTGAGTCCTATACTTCCGTGGATAATCGGGTTTATACAATTCCGTGTATAATCCGACTTATATCGTATTACCTCATAAGTCTGGTCAGCGGAACTCCTCATATAGGTATTAAACAAGCACCATGGCCACCCAGCAACATTATTGGACCAAGAGCACTTTTGAGAGGGACTCCACTGGCTAGTTTTGCGAGATAATACGGTGGAATTAGTATTGCCAACAGTAAGGCTTTGAAATCAATTGCGGTATCAGGGCCTTTTCTAAATCCGCTGTGGCCGGCTCGGTTTATACGGAGTATGGCGGCTGCACAAAGCACATACGCTGTAAGCTCCGCCACGATGCTTCTTTCACATCAGTCCAGAGATCCCCTGACATCGGAGAGGCGGACCGCAGGCGGAAAGCTTTTTGGGCACTGTAACCATTTCCTGTGCAAGACGGTGCTAGAATAATCCGCTCGTATACTACGGTATGCCCATGCCCGTAGTCGAGGCTGTCCGGGAATGCTACCTAGGCACGATTGCTGGCATCCTCGTACCCTGCAAAGAACGAGGCAGTTTGTGCACGTTCCTGTATTCAGGGCCTCTTAGTATTAACATGGCTGGATTTGGGGCTGGATCAAGCGATCGGCCAAGCTATTGTTTCCAACAAATTGCCAAATTGGGAGCTTGGTCTGTTGACCCGTGCGTTTTCGCAGCATGAAGATGAAATGTCTCGACACATTGCGTCTCTCGGCGAACATTTTATGTTAGCGAAATTTACTGAAAGACGGATTATGCTGGAAAGAGAAGGGGAGGGGAGGGGAGGGGAGAAAAATAAAAGCAATACCTAATAGAAAATTGAATTAAAATATGCTAATACAATCTCCTCCGGGCACTTTTTTTTCTTTCATGTGATGGGGATCCATCCAATGTCAGCACCAATGCTGAATCTCATACAGTACACGCACTCTCACAAAGTCAAAATTGAGGATGACTACTAAGAGGAATGTGGATAAGAGCCATCTGCAGCTTTCACTGGCTGGCGGACACAATCTCAATGCAGGCAGTAGTATGTATATAGAGTGAATTATTGGATCGAACCGCTTTCCCGGGAGCGACAATGGGCTTATTGCGGAATCTTCCGTACGTTAACCTTTCCAATGCTCTATTTGTAAGATAACAAAAACGGTGATCCTTTTGCATACAATACCAGCCGTAGGATGCTGCATTGAATTTGTCACTACAAGGCCATGCCCGCATTCATTCCTTCTGGCTCTTCTCGTTTCTCTTCTATTCTAAATTAAGACGCTACCGCTGGTCTCATAGCTGATATGTATGATATTATCACTGCGTCAAGCGGTATCTTTGCAAAGCGACAATCCGAAGTCCGCATAGCGTACATGGTATACAGCCCAGCAGCCCCCTGACGTATTTTTGGCATTGGTGTCTAATACAGACCTCGCATTACTCGTACGACAGCTCTCATCTACTACTCTATGTACAGGGGTGTCCTTTTCAGTATAAGATTGGCATGGGTTCTGGGGAGGGAGGGGGGAAGATCCGGTGTGCAAGGGTCATGGCGCCCTCTCCTCGGCTCTTCACCTTGCTTGTCCCTGCTGCCCATCTCACTTCTTGGGACGCCATCCATCCCAGAGAGCTGGCTCAGAGCCATTGCGAAGGGGCAGGGTTTGCTCGGCACGCGCTTCCAACGGTGGTCTTGTCAGTCTTCTCTTGCACGAGCCAGGGGCTAGTATGCTATCGTGCGGCAGTGTCCGTAGTGATGCGAATCCCAGCTAGCTGGCGAACCCCCTTTGAAATGTACCCCTCGATGACATCGATACAGTAGGAGATCAAACTCTTCGACTGTCGATGCGTTGAAGGGGGGGGGGGAAATACCGAAGCGCGAGAAGCTCATTTCGTCGATGCCATACCACTACGGAGTAAGCTACAGCCGTATTGAGCCTGAGACACGAGGAACCCCAGCTGGCGTAGGTGCAAAAGGGTATAGGTGGCTAAAGAGCGTGCAGCGTGGAGACTTGAAGCACACGTGAATACCTGGTTTGCTCGTAGTAGCAGATAGAGTGCTGTCAGCCAAAAGACATGGATACTGCAGATGGCATTACTGTGCAGCTCGTACTCTTGAGCAGCACCACTGCCTGTTAGGAGTTTGACATGCCCAAAGCATATAGTGCAGGCAGATTTCCATCTACATAGTGTTACTGGAAGGATTTCGATAACCTGATACTTGTACTTGAATGTTGCTGCCTACAAGGAGACTCTCCGTCATTTAATAATCACCTCAGTTCCACATGGTTCATCGGCCGCGCACCGGATTCATCGACCACAAAACACGCATGAAGTATGAGCCACGACCTACTTTGGGAATCTACACGTCCTCCTCTCTTGGCGATTCGAATACGCTCGGTGCGAAATTGGGCAATGCGACGCTCGCTTGCGTGAAGCCATCAGAGCTGAGCTGAGCAAAGCAGAGCAGACAAGGCAGAAAGAGACCAAGGTCACGTCCACGCAAGTACGAGAATGACATCCATGGTGCGTGTGTCGTCCTTGGGCCACACCCCCCCCCAAACCATCACAGCAGCTCCTTTGCGGCATTCTTGCGGCATTCTTGCGCCGCTTTACGCCATGTGCCCTGCCACCGATCGCGTTGTGAAGCCGCAGGTGCCTGCAGCACTACCTGTTCCTTTGCAAAACAGCCATGGCCTCCTTGATATCGGATTCCTCTCCCGTGGACCGAGCGCTTGGGTTTTGCAAGTATAGGCCGCGATTCTTTCCATAGGGGGGGGCCTGCCAATCGATACCCTGGCCTGTCTATACTATATGTGCTGCCAGTCAGATACAGGCTCCGGGGGGGTGAGGACGAAAGAATGGAACGGCGAGTGGACGTACGAGCTGATGAATTCAGATAGACCCAGATTCAACTGCCTGGGTAACCAGTAGCATGACAGCTCTGCTATACATAGATATGTACTTGTACACTGTTCGCACCAAGATATATAGTACCGAGCAGATCTGCCGTCAGCACCAACCGGTATATGCACGCATCCACAGCTTGAGATGACGAGATTTGGCGAATGCCGCCGCGTGCTCGGTATTTGTCCATGTGTACGGAATACCGCACGCTCCGCAAGAGCAGAGCTACAGCAATTGTGCATAATGATTCTTATTTCTTCGCACGAGTGCTAGCAGTGAGGTGGCCTGTCATGAACGGCGTCAGGCATAGAAAAGGGAAGTCTGCGCCGTGATGCTGCCGGGGGTGACGCCCGCTTTGGCGGAGACGATTCAAAGGCGAAATGGACGAGGCACAGGCTGCTGTACTGTTCCCAAGGTCGAGTATTCTGTACTGTACATGCTAGGAGCAGCAGAATGCGCTAGCGGGCCTAGCGCCATGCACAAGACGACTAGTCGAATTTCCTGTTTGGGTGAATGGTCGATGCGCTAAGGGGACGTTGGGTTTAGCGTCTGTGCGGGCTGGCAGCGGGCGCCTTAGTCATGCCGCTGGAGCCTTCAGAGCACTCGCCCTGGGGCTTTAGCGCTCTGCTTTTTCTCAGCGAGCGTTTGGCTTGTGCTGAGTTTCGCTTCTGGGCTCTGGGAGCGACCATCTGCTGATAAGGCATACCATTGTCCAGAGAAGGAAATTTTGCATGGGTGTGCAAGAAGTGACTCGAGAAGGGAATAGTCTAGGTACAAGGTGAAGTACGTCTACCTACCTGTCTTATGTAATATGTTCTGTTCTGTTCACTGGACGAGGATACAGTACCTTCTCGAGGGATGCGGAGCCTGAAGTGCATGTAGGCGGACAGCCGTTCGGAGGGTTCTATGCTCAAGTGGATGTTCAGAACGCCAATGCGCCGCTTTGTTCCCATAGTTTTACTTGTATGTAGTCGCATACAGCAGTGATATGACACGTACAGTAGGCATTGACAGTATGTGTGGGCACTGTCGAACCAACAGATCTGATGCCATCTCGAGCTGCGTGGCTTGTGCGCAAGTACGCCAATAGCTTTGCTTTGTGCTGGGCAAACCAACACCAATCTCCCTCCCCTCATTCAGCAGCGGTGCTGGATCCAGCTGCTAGTACCTAGTAAAATGGCCAATAGTTTCCAATGTCCGCCGCATCATCATCATCAAATGCCAACTGGAACATTTGCGGGCACACATCATACCTATGTGCGCTTATACAGAATGCCAACTACCTAAGGTAACTAATTACTAGACATGTAGGTATTCTAGTGTCCTATTCGGGTTACTCCGTGCAGGTGGTGCCATGAATAGCAAAGCCGGGTGAGCACTTTAAACTACTGACAAGTATTATAGCAATGGACAGACGCTGAGCTTGCTGCTTTGGGATCTGGCGTACCGCCGGCGGGGTGCTCTCCAGTCGCCTGTTCTGGCTCGGATGCGCACGATGCGGCCCGCGGCCTGGTCCATGTCTGTTGCTGGAATTAAGGGTGCTGGGAGGTCTTTTTCTATTCGCTGGCCCCGATTGCTGGGAGAGCACTCCCCAAAAGAGGAATCCCTTGCTTCAATTTATGGATATGATTTTTTTGGGGGTTCTCGTGCGCCTTCTCAGAGCGAGCCACAGCACAAAGGACGAGGGTACATGTATAGGCAGATACGAAGACCAGCAGACGCCTCCCCGGCTGGCGTTCGGTGTTTCTAACAAGAGTGAACGCTTGAACGCTTGATGACGGCGTTACTGAAGCTGGAGCCGCCCTACGAGCGGAGATCGCTGGGCACCAGCACGTATATTCAGGCCATATTCCGATGCTAACGCGCAGCCTAGCTGCTAGTGCTTGTGGCGTCGTGAGCTCTGCCGCCGTGGTCGTGTGTTAACGCCGCTAGCTGGATAGCTTATATGTTCAATCCCAGCGCTACGGACGGCGGCCGTCTCGGTGCCCACAGTGTGCAGCGCCGTTGACGTACCTCTCACTCGTCCCATCCCATCTCTCGGGATCGAGGCGGCCGGGGGGGTCGGGACCTTGCCAACTGGCGCGGTGCCAACTGGGACGAGGCCCTTGTAGGCGCTATCCAGGGCTGCCCTGCCCTGCCCTGTGGCGCCTGGCACCGGGCTCCGGACCTTCTCCAGTAAACAGCGGTGCTGCTGGGGCAGCCTGTAGCTGCTAGCAGGGCCTCCCGCCTAGCGCACAGTGTCTCGGTAAGTGGCTGTTGCTGGCGCCCCTACAGCACCGATGCTGCTGCTGACCGGGTTTAAATGATGCTGGGACCTCTAGATGGCGTTGCCCCCCCCCCCCCCTCTCCGGTTCTTATATACTGGTACCCGCTCCTCCTCTTAAACTCGAACGGAAAAAAAAGAGAGAAGAGGAGAAAAGAGAGAAGAGAAAAGAGAAAAGCCCCGACACATCTTCCGGCCTCACTGCCTTTCGACAACATCTCAAACCAACCACTACCGCTTTGCCTGGACCAGTGGGACATACGCACAATAGCACTCGTATCACCTCGCCTCAGACACGCCCGCCAACAGGATCCAACCCAACAAACGCCTGCAGTAATTATTGACACCCGCCTGCGAATGACTTGTTATGCGGCGACCCCTCGGCTCTTACCTCCAGTAGACGGGACGACGACGACGACGACGACACCGCAATGCAGCCCCAGGGTGCCTCGAGCCTCGCCGATGCCAGCGAGATGATGCTGCCTCAGCTGCCGCCCATGGAGGGCACTCTGCCCATTGATGACGCTGATGCAGCCCTGGAGCAGGCCTCGATGCCCCGGCCCAGGGCCCGTGAGCGACACTATCGAAGCCGCAGCAGTCTCGCCATGGAGGTGCTTTCTCGACGCATGAGCCGCCAGACTCTGCTGCAGCAACACCAATCCCGACTAACGTCACCGCCCATGGGCGACAATGCCGCGTTGGACAGCAGCCCGGACGACATGGCCATGGAGATGGACCTCGATGACGCCTCCCCCTTCATGCCTGTGCCACCGTCAGCCCAGCGCGTCCGCCCGTCGCGGCGCTTCCTGTCACTATCGCTTGCCCAGGTCTCCCCAATTGCCCCAGAGACAACCATCGACCCGGAGGTCGCCTCCAGAGTGCTGGCCCGGATGCAGGCCGACACACAGCCTGCTATCAGCCCGGCCCAGCCATCGGGGCGCTCGAACTTGGTGCCAGCCATCGAGATCGACGCTGCCGAGCAGGCAGACGATGGGGAGGCCGACGAGGGCTACAGCGAGGGGCCAGACGAGTATCCCTGGCTGGGTGAGAAGCTCGCCGGCAGCCTGAGGAGCCAAGGCCTCCTCAGCTTCACCACCTCTGCCGAGGCCGCCATGCGCTGCCCCAAACTCGTGCGCAACGTGCCTCGCATGCGCAAGAGGTCGCACAAGAAGAAGGAGCACAGACTGCGCACGTTGAGAGAGCCCACATGCGTCGGCGGCGAGTTGAGTCAACTGCAGACGCCCGCAGAGAATGCCATTGCTGCTACCGAGACAGAGGCAGCACCATCTCTCCCTCTGCCTTGAGCTAATCTATACATGCTTCATGCTTCATCCACCCTTCGACTACACTTTTGCTCTCTGCCAAGGTTGGCACAAACAAACGACTTAGACACGACATTACGCGGCGTTTTTTTTTTTTTTTTGGAGGGGACTCTACATCGCATTTGCATTTTGTACACGGCATTTTCTGGCGCAGGCCAGCTACATATTCACTTCTCAAATTGTTGTTATTCACTGCACATTTTCTAGCGGGATCCCGAAAAAAAAATGATATCAACGTTCTACACCGGCGTTCTCTCTCTCTCTCTCTCTTTTTTCTTTGCTTCTTTTTTTTTTTGTTTCTTTATCCCTGCTTTTTTTCCCTACTCTTTCTCCCCCCCTTCAGGTGGTGCGTGCGTATGCGGCGGCATCGCCTTGCCCGTATTACCGCGGCCATGGAAAAGGGGAATGGAGCAACACTTGAGAAGGAAGATGGCGTAACATGGGAGCGGGGATGCATCTTTGGTAAAAAGGACTGGACAACGGCGTTTTCCCGGCTATGCAGGCTGGGGGTGTTTCTGGGACTGGGAGCAATCTTGGGATTTGGGGACATGGAACCTGACTCGCTGTTTGATGCGTGGGGGAACCGGCGAGTTCCCACCGCGGGACGGACGGGCAGGATAGAATATTGGTTTTTTTTTTTTGGGAAGAAAAGTAAGAAAAAATATAAGCAATAGTAGTAACTTTTAGTATACCCCATAGTAGCAAACATGCTGCTTTCTAGAAACAAACGGCCCGTCTGGTAAAATCCTCGCTTGCGTGTGTGCAGAGACCACGACATCATTATTGTGCACGAGAGGCGTCAAGCTCATCAGTTTCTCATTTCCCCCACTCACTTACAAATTACCACTCCTATCAATGCTTGCATGGAGTGCATGTGCATACACACATGTACATTGATGGATTGCACATACAGTACACGTAGCACTGCATTCTTCAGTGCAAGCAGTCCACGTGGTATCGCCGGCGTTTCCACCCTGATGCAGCGAAAAAGCCATCATCGCGGGCAGCAGCAAATCAAGCCCGAAATAAAACTGGGCGCCAATCTGACCATCGTTGATGCGCAAAGGGCGATACCGCCAGCTTGGACTCGGGACCGGTGGGTTTTGCCTGGGCTTAGGGGGGGATCCTGGCTAAACTTTTGCTCCATACTTGCTAGCAGTGCTCAATGCTTGTTTCTGGCACAGCCGCCGATTGGGTGGCGCGGGCACTAAACGGCCGCTACGAGGAGGCGGTGAGCGCGTCTTGCCGGGGGACTGGAGCCTGGATTTGCCACGGCAGTTATAGAACGTTGGAGCTCATGGCCTGCCTCGCGGTTTCTCTTTGCTGCGTGTATTTTCCAAGTTTGGATGTGCCATTTTCGACAGCGCTGCTGCTGCTTTTCTCCTCGCTTGGCAAGTTTGTTACTCGCTCGTTGCACGTGGCCCACCAGCGCTGCTGTTGTCCAATCATGGCGTTGTCGTCCTTGCATTGACTGGTGCTCCTATGCAGGTCCCCGAACGCAGGAACTGGGGGGGTTTCTTTGATGTCGCCTCTCTGCTCTCCTTTGGCGGGACTTCGGCGCCTACTTCCTACAGAAGCATGAGGTGCTTTTTCAACTCGGACATTTGATCTGTGCGACCGGTCAATGGGGCCAGGGCCATGTAACCTCAAAGAAAGCACGGGGCACGGGCGTGGTGCCATCGTCGCTCTGTCATCTGATTCTGTCGGGGGAGGGTTATTGCTTTTTTCTAGTCCGCCACGTGCTGAGTCGCATGTTTACTGGGATGTGTTTCTGGCCTTCAACTCTTCTTCTTCTTGGCCCTCTTACACACTACCGTCAAATCTCATTATATGATGTATCACACCCTGGCTGCGAGGGTCGAGTGATCCCTGTGCCAGAGCCTTCATGCATAAAGAATAGGGCAAGATGGGCCGGTAAAGTCTCCGGATGCTGATCCAGAGCAGACCAGACTGCGGAGCCGAGCGTTGATTATAATGGCTAGAACTCTTTAGCTCTCTTGTTCTGCAGAGACATTCTCCCTTCCTGCCCAGGGGACCGTTCGCATTTCGCCCTTTGTGCACACAAAGAACGAGTCGACCTGACCACCTTGGCCCCGCTCAGCCTCATGGTGCCTGGATGGTTTCTCCCTGAGGAGCGGCCGTTGACTTGGCAATGGCATTCGTTGCTGAGACACTGGGCCCCGGAATTGCGGTCATGGACTGGGTGGCCTAGCTCTCTCTGTTGGAGCTGAGTGAGGTCAGAAGGCTAAGAGAGAATCATTCAAAGAGCTGGCTGCAAGTGCGCTAAGCTGAGGGCTTGATCGGCAGTTGTTGATCTGAAAGCAGGGCAGACATGGAGAAGCCGCTTGGTGCCTCGCAGTAGCTGCTATCAAGGCGGCCAGTGCCGTGCTGCAGTGCTTCGTTTCATCTTGTTTACTTTCAACAACCTTTCATCTCTCGGGAGCATGTTTGAGTCCTTGTCCAGCAACTGATCTGAGCGAGTGCTCACTTTTTTTTTACTGCCATGTGGGCAGATCACGATGAGGTTCTGACGCCCAGATCGCGATGAGATTGACATAGGACCTCTTTGTCTTATTACCCTTTGCTCCCATCATCTTTTCAGCTTAGCTTCGCTTTTTTCAGCTAGTGAGATAGCCCAAGACGAGGCTGGACCTATCCTACGCCTGGAAAGAAAGCTGGGGATGAGGCAACGGAATGCGTCGCCACGGCCCCGTGCATTCCTTTTCCGTATAGGGAAACCCCAGCAAGGAACGAAACGCTTTGGTTGCTGTGGTATCTTTCCGGAATATACGCATATCGTGTTAATATAGATGGACTGTTTAGTCAATGAATCTGGTTGTGCTCCGTGCTTGAGATTTGAGATTGGATATTCGGTTGATGTCCTCTCTTTCTCTCTTCCTCTCTCTCTTTTCCCTCTTGAATTGGACTTTTTTCCGTCTCCAGGACGCATCTCCACACTCTTTTTTTTTTTCTACTTTGCCTCTCCCTCTCTCTCTCATTTTAAACTTTGCTTTTGTACATTCGGATCCGGCGAATACTGAGCTGTCCTTACTCACCCATCTCCCATCATTGTGATAAAGCGAATCTGAATACTAGCCGCATCCGTCAATTCATAATCAAAATCCGCCACTCCCGAATCCGAGAGATACTTGCCACCAAGATCACCGTTTGATGGCTTTTTGGGCGGCGCAGTTCCGAATTGAGTCTGCCGTCGATAGGGATCCCAACATGTACTGTTTAGGCCCGGATGGACTACCGTCCGACGCATCAAACGACCTTTTTGGGCAGTTTATGAACTTTGACGGCGATGTAGCTCCTGAGACTCCCATCGATGATTGCCACAGCGGCAATCCGGATTCGTTCTTCATGAACCCTGCGGCCATGGTCACTGCCTCTTCGGTTGTCTCATCCGCAGACGAATTCGATTTCTTTTCCACAAGCTCCCGCCTTGGCACTGCTACGTCTGCGGCGAGACATGGAGTTGACGCTTCTGAGCTTGCTTTCAGAGTAGCTGCCGATCCGGCTACTGGCGGAACACATCATCAGCTTGGCTATCTCGGCCGCAAGTCCATGTCGGACACTGAGCTGCAACGCCTTGAAGACATCTCCCTTCGCTCGCCGCAAAAGCATTCTTCTGTCTCACATACAACATCTCCCACGCCGCCAAACACTACTAGGAAACCAAAGAAATTCGTCGAGGCACTATCTTCTACTATCCGCAAGGCAACTACCAGTCTGGGAAGGAAGAGCAGAAAGCAGCAGCAGCAGCAGCAGCTCCCTATTGAGAGGGCAGCGTCTCCTACACTGGAGCATCCTCCCATGGCCATCAAGTCTCGCGCATCACGAATGCACAGCATAGCCCAGAGCAGCATGAGCAGCGTCTCACATGAGAGTCCATCGCCTATGGCGTATGACCCCAACACATCGACCTTTATTCATGGCTTCTGCGATGACCCGTTTGCTGAGCAGCCAAGGGCATATCATTCTCCAAGTATGCAGTACTACAATCATGGCAGCATGGATCCTACGCCAGTGCATGGTTCTACCCGCCGCATCAAGAGCGAGCAGCAGCTGTACCAGGGGCCTCCAAGTATGATGGCATCTACCGCTACCGTCGATGCCGCTTCCCAGATGCAACAGCAGCAGCAGCAAGGCGGTTGGCAACAGCAGATGATGACTTCCACCGCACCAGATCAATGGGGTGGCCCGGAATATATGACGAGCCAAGACTCAGCCTGGTGGGATCTCAGCATGAACGCCAGCGTCAACCAAGCAATGCATTCGCAGCATGGGGAGCTGCCCTACGAATATGCGCCCTTACCAGACGCAAGTGCGGCCGGTCTCATGATTCACATGCCACAGCCTCGGCCCTCCCAGCCAGGGGTCGTCAATGACATCGCGCTCACCGCGCAGACATATCTACCGCCGCCACCCCCTATCCCAGGAGCAGAGCGCTGCAGTCGGCCACCGCGAGCGCCCTCTTCCGGGACTCGGCATCGAAACATGTCTTCTTCCCCCATGCGCAAAACCCGCGGCCCTTCCGCCTCCCCCACGCAAGCGCACACCCAGATGCGCAATCAGTCCCGACACAGCTCCACAGGATCCATCTCCTCCGTCCGTAGCACCTCCGGCCGGGGACCCGGGTCCGCGCCGAATACGCCGGGAGGAGTCCGCAAGCGCAGATCGCGAGATGCAGGAGGAGGCGGTATCATCGGCGGTGGGAGTGGAGGCGGCGGCGGCGGCGGCGGCATCAGCCTGGGAGGCGACGGGCTGGGCTTCGTCAACTTCACGCCAAATGACGGAAACATCCTGATGACGGGCGTGGCGCCGAGTGGCAGCTCGAAGACGAAGGCTCGGAGGGAGAAGGAGGCGCAGGAGAAGAGGAGGAGACTGAGTGAGGCGGCGATGAAGGCCGTGGCTGCGGCGGGAGGGGACGTGGATAAACTGATACAAGAGGGCTTTGTGTTTTAACCCCCCCCCCTTGTATCTTTCGATATCTCACTTTCCCCTTTCTTTTTGACTTTGACTTCATCTTCATTCTACTTAATTAGTCCTTTTTGTGCCTTTTCTTTGTTTCGGCTCGAATAGCTCTAGCCTATCCCGTGCTTTGCTTTGCTTTGCTTTGCTTTGCTTTGCTTTGCTTTGCTTTGCTTTGCTTTACTTTACTTTAAAATCTCCGAAAACAAAAAAACGGAGTTTTGGCGCGAAAAGAGAAAGGAAGTGTGAGCTGGCACCAACTACCTACCTACCGCACACGCACCTCATGTACAACATCTATTTTACTCAGACAACTTTTTTTTTTCAAAATTCTCTTTGTTCTTCTCTTTTTTTAACACTCCCTGGATATCGGTCCTTCTCATGTCCTCGCCTTTTTTTTTTTTTTTTTTTACACTTTAATAATTTCTGGTTAGTGCTGGCCTATACACTTGAGACAACACTTCTTTCATTTTCTCTGCTTTGTTATTTTGGTTCTAGCCCCTGTCTCTCTTTTTTTTTTTTCTTCTTCTTCTCCTCCTCCTTCTTCTTCTTCTTCTTTGTCTGTTTAGTATTTTACTATTTACTAGGTAATTTCTTTGAACCTTTAGCGGTAGCTACAAAATAGAATACTAAGGTTAGAAAAAGCGAATATTTTCTTTCTCTTTTTGACACTCTTCTGTTTGAAATGCAGGTCAAGGTTAAATGAAACCCGTCATCTTTAGACATTGTAATGATTTATGAGCAAAATGAAGAGAAAAAGCGATATCTCATAAAAAAAAAAGAGTGTCAGCGGGAACAAAGCCTCTTGTAGTAGTAATACGTTCAACAGCATTGATAGGAAAGTAACATCTATCTTTTAGAACTATAAGCTGGCTAATTTACGTTTCACAAAGCTGCAAGAGTGTTTGAACAAGTTATTCAACATTTGATGTCATTATCCTATGGCGCGAGAAGTGAATCTCCTCCAAGGCTATTAGACCTACTAACTTGGCCTAATTGTGTTCGAGCTACCTATGATGTAATGATCGTCTCCACCTCTGCTCACCAGCTCCTTATCAATGATCGACGTATATACAAAGGAGTGAGGACCAAAGGGGCTTAAAAAGAAGAAAACAAAACCCGGGCCTCTCGTAGGCCCACAGAACCCCATGGTCCCTCAACGCCAAACACCTCCCTACAAACGCCATCACATCTTCTAGCCCTGAGCCGGCGTGACATAAAGCAAGGCCTAGCAATAAGGCGTGTACAACTTGGAGAGTCGTAAATTGGCTATGCATGTCGGATTGCCATACAAGGCAAAGAAGTACAAGCTGGAAGCTCCAACGTGTCTACTCTAGCCAGATATTCCATGCAGGCTGGATAATCGTACTTATGCCAACGTCCCCTTCGTCGTTAGAGATAAAAATACATTGAAAATCAAGAATTGCAATGTTATTGCATCAATGCTTTTGCATCAAAGCGCTCTAGTGGTCATAACCTGCACCACGTTGCCAGGGGCTAGAGAAGGAAATTGAGTTAATTCAAAGACTTGAAATTTACCAAGAGGAATTTGCAAGAGTGGCTTACCTAGCATTGTGTTGCGACCGATGCCCACTTGCTGGACTAGCAGTGTGCGTTCGCTGTTGCGCCAAAGAAACGCCAGATGCTTGTGGATTCACCACGCTCTCTCGCAGCGGGCTGGCACCGCGTTGGGCTGGAAAAAGGGGAACCGGGGCGTGAGGCTGAGCTCCGGGATAGAAAGAATTCTGGGACTCTGTAGCAGAGATGCTATAAGAGCCAGATGCTTCATTGTTCTTTCGAATGTCAGACGACTCCAGGGACTCGTTATCAAATGCAGCCTTGTAGCCAAGCTTATCGCCTCGAGCCGTAGCAGCCAGAGCATCGAGCTCTGTAGTAGCGTTCAGCTGCGATTGTGATTTCATGAAGGATGCACGGTCGTCGGACATGAACTGGTATCGCGCATCCGGGTTCTTGCGGATCAACGAGAGGGCAGTGGAGAAAATGACCATGAGGATCAAGACCAAGGACATGACTGCATTCAAGACGAAGAGAACGACACCGACGACGCCAACAACCAATAGAGGAACATCGATCACGTTGGTGAAGATGAAGAGGAAAATGGCATTGATGAAGTTGACTACGGAGATGGCGATGTTGATGGAGTTGGTGCTCTTATCCATCCAGGGACGAAGGACAGAGCCTGCAATAAGGAACCCGGCTTCGATGATGATGAGACTGATGGCCTGGGTAACGCCGCTGCGCTGAGCCAGTGCAATAAACATTCCCTTGATAAGGGTATAGAAAAGAACCGGAATGATGAAGTAATACGCTGAAGCACGGAACTGAACATAGAGGAAACCCCATTTGTTGAGAGCCTGAGGGTCCGAGTACAAGATATAAGCTGGGTTGCGGTGCATGGCGATTGAGCGTCGGGCGAGGCGGATAACCTTGCTGGCGCCCCAGCACAGGGTAAAGAGCGTACCGAAGAAGAAAATGACGGCAAGAAGAACCTCGGCGGGTGAGTCGACCTGAGTGAATTCCCACAGGCAAAGGATGACCATCTGGGGGAAACCAATCAGACAAACACGGAAAAGAATGCCCTTGAGCACGGTGATCCACCCATTTCGGAAGTCTTCAAAGCGGTCAGCCTTGATAAGTCCCCGTTTGCCGAGCAGCTCGAGCAAGCCCTTGAATGCGACAACAGCGCCCGCAGTGAAGAGACCAAAGAGCCAAAAGAAGACCAAGCCAGTCAAGAACAGGTTGGTGGATTCGATGCCAGCCTTGAAGGCAACACGCTGGATGCCAAAAACGACGTAGCTTCCGGAACCGGTAGTGATGTTGCCGCGCTTGAAAAGAGTGAGAGCAGACTTGGGCATCATGGCCACGCTGCGCTTGGCCAGGTCCAATCCGGCACGAGCGACCTGAAGACTTCGCTTTTGAACCTCGACAGAGACTGTAGTGAGAGAGTCGAAGAGGGTAGAAGGCGTGCCGCCAGTAGCGCGCTGATACCAAGTGAAGATGGTCTGCATGAAGCCTACGCGAATGATGCCCATGGACCACTGGAAGTCTTGGGTCCAAGCCGCCACAATGGGCGGGAGGCGGACGCCAGTCAGGCCGACAATAGCTTGGGACTGGAAGTAGCCGAAAAGCGCCAGAGAATTGGCAGCGACGTGAGCAGCAGTGTTGGAATGTCCCAGCCCATTGATGATGGCCGACGAAACGAGGGCCAACCCAGCGATGACAGCAGTGGCCCACTTGACGCCAAGAAGGTTGACGGTTTTCCCATTGGAAATGTCGGCTTCAACACAGGCAATAGTCTCGCCGGTGCCGGTCAAGTTGACGCGAACCCTGACGGTGGCATCCAAATCAGGCACCTGGTAGGCAATACCGGGAATGTTGTCAGAGGCAGACTTGCTGACGGGTAAGTTGAAGCCAAAAGAGAGCTTGTCGGCAACCATAGGGCAGAGACCGGCGAGACCAAGGTCGCAAGGGTCAAGCGTCTGTCTGAGAAAGGTGTAGCCGTACGCAGACGCCTCAACGTCGAATTTGACCTTGCCTTGCACCGATGAGGTGGCCACCATGGTGACACTGGCCGAGTTGTTGCCAGGCGTGTAGACGACATTAAACAGACTGGCCTGCAAACTGGAGTCCTGCTGGCAGAGGTTGAGCGAGTTGGACAAGAGCATTTTCTCTGCCGCGACGGGCGACGCTGTCATGCCGAGCATGGCCAACACGGCCAGCGGCGCTCTCAGGAACGACCGCATGGTGGATGGTGGTTGATGGGTTGCTTCGTCGTTCGTTTTTCGTTGCGCGCGACAGGTGAAGGCGGTTCAAAATTCAGCGACAATCGATGTTCGTCAAGGGCTGGTCGGTCCGCGCAGTGGCGCTGGATGACGAGGGGAAATTGGGCGGAATACGAGGTCAGATGGACCAAAGTGAGAAAACGGTGAGCGCGTATCTGCACTCGGTCGTTTCCGTCGGCACAATTGATTTGAGCCGGCCGTTTAGGCGCCTTCGCAGCAGCGTCCGAATAGTCAGGTCAAGATGCAGAGAGTCGGAGTCGCTGGTGATTCGAGATTCGTCGCTCAAGATGCTGGGCGCTATTTTTGTCGTGATGCACGGCCGATGACGAAATGCAGAGAGATCTGCGAAGCGAGCGAGATTTTCTTGGCTCCAGGCGGAAAACGAGGAAAAAGAGCGTCGCTGACGACACGGAAGGTTTAACGGATGACAGCGGATGCGTCGGCACCAAAAAGCGAAGGGAAAAGCGAGCGGAAGTTCTGGTTGCACAGGACGCAGAGCGAGCGGACGGGGTGACGGCAAGAAGACGAAGAAGAAGACAAGAAGCGGATTCCAGCGACGGCTGGGATCGATTCTTGATCTCGTTGCCAAGGCGCGGTGCGATGCTGATGATGCAGGAAAAAGAGACTGGACTGGGGGGCCAGCATGGGCCACCTGGAATCGACTGGTGCATGCTCTTCTGCTATTCCTGGAGAAGACGATTCGGGGCGATTACAGTGGGCTTGCAGTGGGCTTGCAGTGGGTAGACGCATTGGACTAGTGGGCGGATGGTGTCATCGCGTTACGCAGACAGGTAGATGGCATATGGCGCGCCGGGCGCTGAGGTACCCGCGGTGCTAACTACGCGTGTTTCCAGGCAAGGAACATGCATACATGTATGCACGGTTCTAGCCCTCGCAGCTCTCGAGGCTAGACGAGCGCCACGGCCGCAAAAGAGCTGCGCTGCGCCCAGCCACCCGCGAACAGCTCTGCTCTCCTGGACAAGGGCGGCCATTCCTCCTGGAATTCAGTTCTACTGTGCTGGCCGGAGCTGCTATAACTGGGCCCCGCGCCGATGCAAATGGACCAGCCGGCGCAGCGACTGCCCACTGGGTCGTGCCCTATTATAGAAGGATGCTGCACGTATCGACTAGGGGCCGATCTGCGAGCTACCAGTTCCGGAGCCATCCTGCCGCTACTCGCGCCAGTCATGCGGGGTACATGCGCTTGGCGCTGTCGCTCAACGCTGCCAAAGGTACCGATGCCATGTTTCTCAAGTTCCTCCTCCACTGCGGCAGGATGCCCTAGCCAGTTAGTTTGAACCCACGCAAATGAAAATCAACGAATGCGTGGAACCAACGAATGCATTTTATTTTTATCTTTTTTTTTTTTTTGAGCGATTTTTTTTATTTTCTTATTATTATAAATCGCTTGGTGCATAAGTATTTTTCATATGTGTTGCTGGCAAACTTGAATCCGGAGATGGTGTCGTAAACGGGCGTCATGGCCTTGCTACGATACTGATGGGGCGCGGCGCAGATCCTTGCCATGGTGAATACGAGCCAAAGTACATGCATACACGTAAATTTGCATGCTCTCCCGCCGGTCAAATATATTATAATCAATCCATCAGGTCTCATGTCTCATGTCTCAGTCGCTCCTCCCTCATTGTCTGAAATTCCGCGCTGGGCCCATCATCATTCTTTTCGCGCAGAGGCCATTTGATCAGGATGACCACAATGAGATGAAGATGGATCGCTCCCAGGATCTGGAGCTGGAGAATACGAGCGCAAAGGGGGGGCAAAGCTAAAGCCACATGATGCATGCATTCACGATATTTTCACCAGAGTGGCGTCAAACGCTCAGGCACACGATAAATCAGAAACTTGCAGCATTAAAGCACCTGACTACGTAAATACTGTAGAGAGTTGAGTGGGTGTCTCGCCCAATATTCCAAGACATACATGCGCCTCTCTCACAAACGCACGTTCCATCACCACGAATGTCAATCCAGACCACCGGAATGCTACCACGCTATTAAAAAGTCCCTTGGATCTCGAGTCGGCTTAATCAAAGCTCATTCGCTCTTCATCTCATTTACGCCACTCCCAATAATTCAAAACCCAGCCCCATGAGCCTCATCGCTGCTGGAGGCGCAGCAAAGGTTATCAAAGTGCTCCCTTTACTAATCGTCACCCTTCGAATAGGACTTTATGAATTATACATAATTTAGTTAGCGAAATCTTTACGCGGGCCTGTAAGCAATCATGTATGTAGGAATATGGCGATTTGAACGAACCTGATAAGTGAAGCAGCGAGTTTATCCTCCATGTTTGATTATGACAAAATTACATCTCTTTATTAGGCCTGATCTGTCAGTTGTAATTATGTCTTTGCTGTTTCACTTGCACATGCTCTTCTATGTACATTTGAGATTGAGCCTCATATCCACTCGCTTATCTACCACATCTACCAATCTTATTCAAATCAGTTGACAGATCAAGATACAAAGCTTGTGTTTATGACATCCATACTCTCTCTATTATGCGAAAAGTCCTCCGCTCGAAAAGTCTATAATCTAATTCTATATGATCGTACCTCCCAGCGTCATCCTCAGCAATGATGAGCCCGACCCTGGAAGAAATATTGCCTCGTCCTTGCAAGATCAAGACCAAAGATGGTGGTATCAGCGTCTCCAACATGAATGCACTGCAGACCACTATCCGTCTCATTCAACAGATCGAGAAATCGAGATGGGCTATCTGGCCCCTGAGATAGGGACATGACGGCGGGAATTCCGAACAGCTTCCTTCCACTCTTCTCATCGTATGAAAATGAAGATGAAGGAAAAACGCTTGCGTGTAGTCGGAGAATTGTAGCAAAGGCTATGTCAAAGTGGTCAATCGGGCTAAACTTTGCCATTTCGCTTAATCTCAAGATCTAACCAGCTCTAGATTCGAGAGATACCTTTACACGCACCGCCGCGTTGCAGATCAAGGATTTCCACTTGGAAAGCTGTATTTCGGAGAACTGCGGCAATATGTGCGTTAAGCCGGACACTTTTGCATAATTCACCTTGCCAGCCAAGCCAACCCATGACCAAGATGGAAAGCCAGTTCTGCCGCAGGAAGAAGAATTCTTGCCAATCATAGGACATCAGGTACGTATGGAGGCCTCGCTCAGGCTGCAACCAGGCTCTGTTGTGCATGGTGGAGTGGAATAGTCGCAATATAACTTATAATTCAATGCAATAGACGATCCCTCCCTTACAAGCCCATCATTTTGAAATAAAAATGCAAAAGATCAATTTGGTCGTGTTTGGCATGTAAAATGCCCTGTCGCTATCCCGCGTAAATGCATCAAAATTCTATATACAGGTATAAACCAAATCAAGCAACCAAAGCCCACAATGATATCAAGCGCAGCAATTAAGTAGGCGAGCAAAAATCAAAGAAACAAAAAAAAAGCCAGAGAAACAAAAGGCTTATAAAACATCCCACTGCATGTTCCACGGCTGAGTCCCCTCCTTCAAACTGATGCCGTGCTTATAATTGCTAATCAGCTCCTCCTGATCCACGCCGCAGTGCTTCTGCCCATCCCGTCCCACAAACCATCCCAGGCCGTACACTTTGTATTCGCCCAGCTTCTGCCGCACCTGCGATGCGGTGAACTTCTCTGTGCCTACAAAATCGTAGAGCATCTTGCTCTGGTGGATATACGCCAGCACCGAGGCAATGGTGTTGGGCTGCCGTGGCAGGAAGGCGTGTCGCCGACGGAAGAAGACGACGAGCGCAACTACCACCATGTAGAGCAGGATAAAGAGCGACAGCCCGACGGATACGTAAAAGGACTTGACTGTCTCCGTGCCAGAATTGACCTCCCAAGCCTTGTCTGTGGTATTCCAGGTCAGGAGGAAATCGTGCCCGTCAACGGTAGCCAGACCCGCCACGAGGATAGTCAGGAACTCAGCCATGATGCTGCCGAATCCGACAAAGAACACGAGAAAATGGCCATTCAAGAGCGCCCGCAACGGCATGTAGCCAAAGGGCAGCGCCGTGTAATCCAGCAGCAGCGTCTTGGCGGGCGCGTGCCTCTTGGAGAGGATGTAATACGGCTCCATCATCCGAACGCCCGTCTCCATGCCGCCCCAGGCCATTTTGACGATGACGGCCATGATGGTGACGACAAATGGTGCCTTGTTCGTCACAACTTCAGCGGGTGTAAACAAGAACACGGGAATGAACCCGGTGAATAGAAGAATTCCAATAATCATGGGAATGATGCCCGCTCCACGAAGCAGAATCGGGTGGGGGTTTGTGGGCAGGTCAAAGTCGTCATACTTGTGCTTCTCATTAGAAGTCACTGCATTCAGATATGACGAATTAAATTCGCTAGGCGCAAGAGACGAGTTCAACAGGGTATAGCGGTTGTACTTGAGCTTGTTATGGATGTCGCGGGGGGAAGCCGTATCCATGTCCTTGAAGTCCATGAGAATGTGGCTCACCACCGCCATAGATGCGAGACCAGCGATTCCCCGGACGTCGGACATGAGGCCGGATTTGCGTGTCTGGAGGAGATAAAAGAGGATACAGCCCAGCACGGCAATTACTGCCAGCGTCGATGTCAGGAGCCGTGACCATACCGAATTGAAGTTGAGATCCTTGTATCCGTTTGGATCGGCCATGCGCGCATCTCGGTTCGGCGTGAGCACAACTGCAGCGGCGGCAAACGTCGGCACCAGCGACACGGCGAGAAGGGTGGCGATGGCTGACACTGCGACGGCATAGTGGCCCTTCCATAGGGCTTTGAATGGCCGGTAGAGGTTGACGCTGGTCACGTAGTCGATGTTGAGCGACTCGGAGGCCACAGCGCCGCCTTCTTTGGATAGCTGATAGAAGGCCTCCAGACGCCGGACTTCAAAGTCGGTAAACTGCCATAGAACGCCGTATATGACGGCCAGCAGCGTGGGCGCGAATTTGATGACAAAGTAGAGGCCCTGCTCTACTTGGTCCGGAGATGTAAACTTGACGAGAGGGTCCTTTTTGTGCATTTGGAAGAGGACCTCCTGCATAACGGCCAACGCTACCGAGAGGAGAATCAACGACAGTAGATAGGGCCATCGCATGGAGAATGGCTTCCAGTTGCACTCTGGGTAGAAAGTCTGAGTCGTCTTCTCCTTCCCCTTCTCCGCGATACTGGATGCCGACGAGTATGATGAGTATGTCGTTTGTCGCAGCCCACCAGAAGAAATGTTGGGTCCTTCAATGTTGCTCAGGTCGGCGCCCACCGGCTCTTCCATGATGACTTCGATGACCTCGCCGCGACGGTTGGCCTCGTCTTGGCCCATGTGACGCAGCGTCTCGGAGCGATTCAGGCGTTTGCTTGCGTTTCGGATTGAGAATGATCGAGCAAAGCCGGGCTGAGCAGAAACGGGCGACGACAAAAGCTCGCCGCTGCGTACCTGAGAGCCGGCTCGGAATCCCTGACCTATACCTCCAGTTAAGTGCCCCCTTGACTCCTCCTCTTGTAACTTCTTGATGAACTCATCATCGTGTGCGCCCAGCGGCCCCAGAGTTGCTGTGAAATCAAATGCCGGCACAGCGTCATGATCATCATCCTCTTCGTTTATGGCGGCATATCTTCCTCGCGACGCTGGTTTGGATATGCCCATGGCGGCTGCCGACGCGAGCAGTGGCAGATCATATGGCTCTTCTTCCCTTATGCTCTCGGGTACCGTTTGGTGTACTGCAGAATAGCTCGGCTTACGACCCTTGGACAAAGTTCTCGTAGGCTGGCTGGGTTGTCCAGGCACGGGAGCATATCCCCCACCGGCGCCGGAGTACGAAAAAGAGCCAGACCATGGGGAGGCTGGCGAGTAGGTCTGAGAACCGTATGCGTTTGGGGAAGACACCACAGACATACGCTGGTCATATTCGGAATCTATCGATACCATGGATTCCCGCCCTCGCAGCACTGGGTCGAAATCACGATCGCCAGTGTCAGACAGGCCGGAGACTTTGTGCGTGAGATGATGGTCTGGGTGTGGCCCCGCCCAGGGATCTCTGAGGGGATCTTGGCCCTGATGGTTATTACGAGCCATGGCGTTGCTGGCAAAACATTGCTGGGCTGGAGGTAGATTAGAAGAGGAGAAGGAGAAAGGTTACAGGCAAGAGCTGTAGCCTGTGTTGGATGCCGGATGCTAGCTGAATGGTTTTTCTGTGCTAGAACGAACGGTAGCGGATGGCGTGCAGTGTAGTACCCGAAACTATTGTTTGCGATACAGCCGCAGAGAGCCGGCAGTAACTAAGGCGAACGAATGCAGGACGATGAACAGAAACCTTGTGAGGCGAGTTTATCAAACGAATGGCCGAGAAACTCGCTCTTTAACTCTGGAAGGGAATAGAGAAGACAAAGAGATTCGAGACAAAGAAGAGTTGAGAGAGACCCCGGCAGATTTGGAGGATCCAAAAGTCCGTCATCGACAAGTTCGCAGGACATGGGGGACACGAAAAGAGCTGTAGGGCTGGTCAGCCACCCACCACGCCAGGCTACATACGCAAAGAGCACAGTTCAGCTCAGCTCTTCGCAGGCCTCCGCCTCTCCCATGCGATAGGATAGCGTCTCTTGTTGGTGGGTGTGTCTTTGCTCCCGCCCCCAAAAAAAGCCCGTTTGTTTAGCGGCGTCTATTGCGCCAAAAAATAGCCCGGCGTGGATGATACCGTAGCAGTAGTTTAGCTTCGCCAACAGCCTGCTTTTTGGCTAAACCCCTGGGCTGGATTGACCTGTGATTGGCCGGTGGCTTCGCCGTAAGCGGTCGTCGGAAGAGAGAGAGAGAGGCTGGCGGGAAGAAAACAAAGAGCCAGACGGAAAAGCTACGTGCCACGCCCGTGTCCAAAAAAAGCAACAGGCCAATGGCGTTGTCTATTGTTGAGCCTCACAAACGGCCATTTTCGTGTGTGGCAGACGGGATGATGAGTAAATAAAAAAGGGGGGGATAGTGAGCGGGATGAGGCTTTCCCGTTTGTTCTTGTCTGGACTCTATTGCGGATTTGATTCACTCCGGCGATCTTGAAGCAGTTGAGTGAGATTATAGTCTAGTGCGCGATGACAAGAGCATAAGAGATTAAATGAGTTGATACTAGTAGCCGGATTGCCGACGGGGAAAGAGTTGAGAACCATCGACTTAAAACCCCCGACAGACGGGTCATATATGTTGTTCTCGTAAGCACCTCTAAATTAAGACTTGGGACGTCGCTGCTCCTTAGCACGACAGCACAGCTTAGCCGGCGACCAGTTTTGTGAGATGAACGGACATGTAAGGTATTCTTCCAGTCTCCACAGATGTTTTATGCAAAAGTTCATGGTATGTTCATTTCTATTAATGTAGCACGCTGTGCTAAGCTTGCTAAGCTGGATTTAAAAAAGAAAATTTGTTCTAGTAAGTCTCCCATGACAAAAAAAAACCATAAACACAGTCCCGTAAAATCTTTCTTCCTTTACATTGCCAAAAACTCCTCAATTCAATGCTTTCTGCGCCATGTTTCCCAACCCAAAAGTTCAACTGACTACAATAACTCGTGGATCCTTTCGTTTCATAGCATCAACCATGCCGACGCAACCAGAGTCGCAACGCTCGCCCAGCTTAAAAACAGCCCTCTCGCTCCTCGCATCAGTGACGCAGCATCGCTCGCCTGGACATGTCCACAGCACGTATTGTTATACGTAACGTTGTTCAGTCTCGCTGCAGCCTCGAACACAGATCCTGGCGGTGAGCCATAGTTGTAATAGTCCACATTCAGGACATTGGGCGCGCGTCCCCAATCAGCACGGCAGTTATTCGCAGCCAGACCCACGCTGCCATATCCCTCCGCAGAATTGGTCTCGTTGAGCAGCGACACAGCCGGCACCAGCAGCTCCAAGCTGAAGACGTTGAACTCGGCGTTGAGGTTGTGGTTCATAAGGTAGAGACGCTCCTGGGCCGCCGAGGTAGACAGGTCTGGCGGGCGCTGAACGGTGCAAGGGAATGCGCGGTCCACGGGGTCAAAGGGCGTCTCCCACATCTGCGAGAACTCATCCATGAGCCATGGGTAGGCCGTCTGGTTGGCCTTGTAGTCGAGGAACATGACAACGCGGCTGCCGTGGAGGATGAGATTCTCCAGCGTGGGCCAGTCCTCTATGCCCATGGGAAAGACAGTGGGCACATATGTGTACTTGAGGATGCCCGTCTCCTGGATATAGGGCACGTAGACAGATGGGTCCGAGTAGTTGCCGTTCTCCAGCAGAATCGTGACGACGTCGTAGGGATGGGCGTCCACCCACTCGTACACCTCGCTCAGCCATTCGTTGATGGGGCCGGCATCCAGCAGATCGCAGGTCGTGTGGCAGAAGTGCGGCACCGAGCTGTTGGCCGGGAACTGCATCTGCGCCTGCAGGAAGCGCACGCCATCGTCCAGCTGCGTCTTGACGGGCAGCTCCTGGTTGGAGCCCGAGTTGCCGGGCCGCACAAAGGGTGAGTTGTGGCAGCCAACCTGCGTGATGTTGCTGAACTTGCGTGTGCAGAACTCGACGTGGAGGTTGCAGGGCTGCGTGTTAGTGGGCTGCGGCACGCCGGTGGCCGTCGCCGTGAGGTTGGCGCCGTTGGTGAGCGAGCCGGTCGGGAAGCTGGCGCTGACAGTGCTGGAGGAGCTGGAGCCCGAGCCCGTGGGTTGGGAGTGCGCACCGGTGAGCGTGATCTTGTGGCTGTATGAGTGGTAGACGCCGGTAGGGACTGGATCGCCGCCGACTCGCTGCGTCTTGGTTCCCTGGTAGAAGGTGAGGCCGGTGGTGTCCGAATACGACACCTTTTGCGCCGTGATGGCCTGCACCAGCAGCGCCAGCGCGCCGAGAGCTGTGTACGGGACTCTCATTGAGGCCGATGTGGATTTCAATGTAGAAGATTAACGTTGATATCAAGGCCGGTGCTCGAGCCTCCCCCTAGGAAAAATATTCAACGTTCCCCCAGACAACCCGGCTCAGGAGGAGTAGTACCCAATTCTTTATCAACCCTAAAACTGTATTCCTAATAGCAGAGTTGAAAATAGAAACCCGGGGAAAAAAAGGCAATGCCCGATGACAAAACAAGGGAAACGTGGAATCACCGGCAGCAAGGCCGGATGCCGTGCCGAAGGAGCGTATTCCGCCACGGGGCGATGACAGCTTCTGCAGCTCGTAAAACGGCGATCGGGAGACAGCTCAGAAGCTCACCCACTTTTGGAAGAAACGCCTCTCGTAGTCGTCATCAACTGCGGGAAGAGAGAGAGCAGGTAAGTAAGGAAAGCTGAGAACAGCCCAAAGGCCAAGACGTCACTGCCACTCTCCACTTAAACAAGGGGGAAATTGCCCAATCGCTCTGTTATCTACCTCGTATCGATGAGGAACAGACAATGAAGACAAGGCTTAGATCTTTATCTCTCAAGTTCAAAAAAAAATAAAAAAATAAAAAAAAAAGCGTGCCAGACGGATAATGTGGAATAAAGTAACTAGGGGGGGGGGGGAAGCAGAGGAAAGGGGACCAAAAAAATGAAAAGGGTGGTGGAGATTTGCGGATGGGCCGTGAAACCAAGATATGATCTCCCCCAGTGTTTCCACTCCGCTCGTTTCTTGTTTCCTCTGCTGGCGTGTTTCGATCTCCGCGATTTTTGTTAGCGAGCTCTTTTCACCGTCCTATGAGAATAGTGAGAGAAAGGAGACCGCGCGTAAACAGGGAATAGCTATTAGCAGTAGTGGCAGATTTCCTATGTGGGATTTGGCTGATGCTTGTTTGAGATCTGCATATGGACCCTGGGAAGATCGCCCTGGAACAAATGATGTTATCGAAGCGGCGCATAGCCCATACTAATAATAATACGGTAATACCTAGCACTGTAACCGCAGCGGCAGCGGCAGCAGCGTTAACGCGTGCCACACCAATTGTCAGTCGATGCCGCGCCCTTTGCTTCCTGATGCCACGGCCCGGCGGCCAAAGCGACTGGCTCTCGACGCTCTCCTACACAGCGCCGTCTTATTACCAATTACAATGCGGGCGGCGTCTGCCCTCTTCCCTGGCGCTTCCTGTAACACCTGGAATGGGGCCCCGGCAGCAAGGCGCCGGCACCGCCCATGGGCCCCGTCTCTCCTTGGCACACAAGACCCATGTTCACATGTCTCAGCCCCTCCCCGCCCCAGCAGGTTTGTTGATGGTCCTGATGCCAAGGAAGGCGAAGCGAACGGCAGCCAGAGAACCAAGTTCAGCCAGTGAGAAAGGCATACAGCAGTACGGAGTATAGTCAAGGGAAACTGGCCAACCAACTCTGCGTTTGTCGCACAGGCGGCACCTCTTGTTTTTTTGCCCGCGCGTGGAGAGCGCTAAATGCCGATCTGCGCTGTCTCTCAGGTGGTTGGAAAGCATCTCAGTTGTTCATCTCGCCAGAGTCAAAGCGAAAAAAGGCGTGGGTCAGCCGTCTATCGTTTTGTGGGCATGAGCCTGCCTGATGATGGCCCGTCTCGTCACATGGGGGAGACCGTCTGTCAACCAGCTGCAGCCTCTTTTGCATCGTGTGCTGTGAGAGTTTCTGAGCGTTGATGCACGCAATACCACTCTGGGTCATTCGTCAATCCCGAGCTTCGGGCGCAGGTCATGAGGCGAAGTCGTCGGGCCACGTTCTCGCGGTTCGGCCAGGCACCTCTTTCGGCACTCTCGCTCCGATCTGCCGGGAGCTGTGCGGATACCAGCAGAGAGGGAGGCTAGCGCTAATGGACCTGCAAGCAGTAATAGATGGCGCTGGATGCTGCCCAATATTACAGTGGAGGTTACTGCATGCACTGCTGCTGCTACTAATACTGTAAGCCGTAGATATGTAATAGTGACACGACAGGCCAACGATGCTGCATGCTGCATGATATGATGTCTCTTGTCCAACAGGCTCATCATAAGCAAGTTTTATTCAACCATCCATTCACGCTCGCGAGTCAAGCCAAACAAGACATCTAAAATACATTCCCAGCACAAGGGGTAGTGGAGGGGCCTCCAGCTCCAGGCCCAATTAGCGGAACCTTGCGTGCTCCCAAATCGGCTCCCTGGCCGCGTCTCTGCTGCCGAATCTTCTCACCCAGTCGCCCAGGCCCAGCGCTAAGCCGAGCCGCTAGCAACAGCGCCTCGTGGTGGATCTGGCTGCAAGAGCGCTGAGAGGCCCTCAAGGGGGCCGTCTTCATGCCAGCGGATCCGATGGGCCGCGATGACGGACGGCGATTCTCTGCGTCGTCTCCCCCCTGGCGGGTTTGGCGCATTGTACCTGTGCTAGCAAAGCTGTGTGACGCAGTACATGCCCGCCTGTGGTAGCGCCCCTCGTACTCAGGTGGTTTACTTGGCACATGCAAGGATTTTGACGTGTGAGTGCATTGAATGTTTCGCTCAGCTCGAGCCATCTGATCTTCTCTTCCCTCTTCTCTTTTTGAGTGTGTGTGACTTTTCTTTCTTTTCGTCTACTATTCAATTCATTTCGTTTCGTATCTCGTTATTTTCTACCCATCTTTTTGTCTTTTTTTATTGTTTCTTTTCGTTTCTGCTTCTTTTATACAAAGTCTACCCCCCTACCCAAAACAAAACACGGGCGTTGTACGCCCCTCCCTTCTCCCCTTCCTCCCTTTCGTCCCATCTTCTTCTGCTTCTTCTTTATTCGCCATTTTCAATCTCCATCTTGCCGTTTATTTCGTCTTCATAAACATAAACAGAAAAAAAAGCAATGGCCGTGCGGACTGTTACGGCCACTATCGCCGGCATCAGCTACTTCATCACGATTCCATTCCTCATCCTCGTCCTCATCGGCAATACGCATATCAACCCCATCCTCGACGACATCTTCTTCTTCAAGCTCGACGTCTCCCACATCATCCCCATTTCCGTCGAAAACTCAAACCTGCTCAACTCTGTGGCACGGAGTCTCGGCCTTCATGACTTTTATCAAGTCGGTGTGTGGAGTTACTGTGAGGGATACAACGATGAGTATGTCACTTCTTCTTCTGCCTTAACCCCTCCCTCTTATGATTCATGAGATGTGAGAGAACACCAATAACGAGCTCGGAAGCTGACCTTGAACTGTACAGAGGCGTAACCTTCTGCTCTCCGCCAAAATCCTTCTTTTGGTTCAATCCCGTCGAAGTCCTCGTTGGCGAGCTCCTCGCCGGCGCCAAAATCGCTCTGCCCTCCGAAGTCGTCACCATCCTCACCCTCCTCCGCATCGGATCTCAGGTCATGTACGCCTTCTTCATGTCCGGCATCGTCCTCAACTTCGTCCTCCTGCTCGCCACCCCTCTCGTCCTCAGAACTCGATGGTTCAGCCTCTTCACCTCCCTCGTCGGCGGCGTAGCAGGCATAGTCCTCACGGTCGCCGCTATCATTGCCACCGTCATTAGTGTCGCTGCCAAGATTGCTCTCACGGCGCAGGATCAGCTCAACATTCAATGCGATATTGGTGCCAAGATGTTTGCATTCATGTGGATCGCCGCCTTGTCGACAGATTTTGCATTCCTGTTGCACGCAGCCATGGGATGTTGCTGCGCACCGGACAAGAGAAACAGCTCGAGAGTCGGATCCCCCTCCGCATCGACCATGCAGGAGAAGCACGACTCGTACGCATTGCCCAACTTTGTTCGTCGGAGAACTCGCATGTCATGAAGATAATCTAAAAGATATAAAGGGTGGAAAAGGCGTAACAACTTCTGATTTATTGCTTTGCTTTTTGTTTTAATCATAAAGATTCGGCTTGGGAGCGGGAAGGCGACAATCAAATACATAAAGGGACTCACGATCTGGCCTGCAGTGCCCACTGTTTTTGATGTTGAAATGCGTTCACTATACGGACTCATAGATACATTTATTTTATATATTCATGGTGTCACATATTGGCGGAGGATCCTAATTGGGCAAATGAGTGTCATGACAAGCGACATTGATAGGAAATCGCAGGATAGACGTACCAGATATACTCAAGCACTGGAGCTAGTCAAAACCCTGACTGGGAAATAAGAATTAGCTCGCGGTCCACATATACATCACTCAAAAAGCACACAGTCGAATATCAGCATCGTGTATCATAGGGGAGACGACGTGTCTTATAATGCTCTATTCATGTTATAACTCCCTCTTCTACAGCTTGATCCCCCGCCATTCGTAATGCCCGTTGGCTGACAACAGAAGTATTCATCGTTTCTCTCCTCAAGCTTCGTCGTCATGGTAATCGTCATCCCCATCGTAGTAGCCAACGGAGAACTCAAAAGGTTGACTCTCCAGGCCTGCTTTTTCTATGTTCTAGATATTGCCTAGCACACCTGTCATCAGGTCCTCATCTTCTATATTCGCATCGAAGCCGACTCCCGCATCTGCCATATCCTTCTCCATTCGCTTCTGTTCACGCACTACATGTCGTGCGTATTCCTTTGTAGAACTCAGACGCTCATTTGTCGCCCGATACTGCTTTGTTAGCGCCTCGATGCTGCCATGGCTACGGGCCACTTCGGCTGCAAATTCAGCCTCCGTCATCAAATCATGTTCTTCGTGAAACATCAGGTAGCTCTCCTCGGCCGTAGGTCCAACCTGGAGCTGGCCCTTGAGCATGCCAGATTCGATCATGTCACTGACCAGCGCGAGGACGTCATCATCGCTTTTTAATGTCTCGGCTGTATGAGCGCTCAAGGTCGTCTGTCGGATTTGAGAGATGGAAACTTGACGATATATCCGGCGAAGGTTAATAATCTGCCACTTCTGGTATGATGATATAACTTCTCTGATAAGAGCTAGATTCTGATCTTCTTCCCAGGTTGATTGTCCCTTGAAAGCTTCTTCTTTTAGCGCTGACGCATTCTCCGTGGTGAATAATGAGGCCACATTAGTATAAGGCTCGCTTAACCCGTTGAATGTAACCTTTGTTGCACTAGTAATGTAGTGAGGGAAGCTGGGGGGCCGTCCATCTTTGAGCAGCCCTACCAGTATCCATTTTTTGTAGCTCTCCGACATAATTTTGCTAACACCTTTATCCTTAGTCGGGTGCCCAATTACTTTCTCCAATGCTGTCTGTGATTTGCGCCAATCTCTCCTTGACAGATATGCCATGGCCTGGATAAAGTGATATTCGAGTATAGAGGTGCTCTTGATGGCATCTGTAAGACCGGTCAAGGACATGTAGGCATAGGGCTCGAGCTCTGCATCGCATAATCTCTTTGTTTCTTCGAAACGTGTGTTTCGTGGATAGAAAAGAATGTCGGCATCGAAGACTTTGAGAGCAGGCTCAATGCAGTTTGCATCGTACGCCAATTTCGCCATGATTAGATGTGTCGACGTAAACGTAGATCCGCTCGGATCGATTCGAAGGATTGCGTTTGAGAGTAGCTCTACTGCAACCGTGGGCTGTCACATGTGGTGCGTCATGGTTAGTAGTTGACGTATTAATGGGAAGATATCTTATTGGCGGGGAGGATCTCATACCGAAAACAAGCCGCCGAGGTCTTCCAGCAGGGCTCGAAATAGAGACCCGACATATCGAATCTGGATTGGATCGAACTTTAATAAAAATTGGAGAGTGCTGTCTAGTAATATTTGGCGGGGAACGGATGGTGGAATAGAGCCGTGAAGAAGAACATCGATGATCGCGAGGTATCCGATAGAGTTGGTAGCGGGGTCGACTAGCTGCACCGTTTGTCAGTATAAAGGGCCAACGGTAGGAGGTAGCCAACAAATAAGAAGAAGAAATGCAAATACCTGGAGAGACTCGATGGGATCACGCTGAATTGCGGTTCGTACGCCAGCAGGTAGCCTTGTTACGGCTGCGGCATAGGTTTTGGCGGCGGCATCGTAAGCCTTGGAAGTCGAGCTTGTGATGACCGAAGAGAAGTCGTAGAAGATGACTTTAGCCTCGTCCATCGTCGGTCGGCTTCACAGATCTGGTGGAGGTACAGTAGAAGGAAGGATGCAGAAGGAGAGGTTTAGAATAGATGAGGGCATGCAGGCCACAGAAGATGTACAGGCCGTTGTGAGCTTGGTCTGGCTATTTGCCGATCGTCATGCTCAGAGGAGACCGCCTAGTTCTTCAGCAGGGTTGATGTCGTGCTCCGTCGAGATCTTGTCGAGTATTGTGCTACTCAGGGGGGCTTAATTTGTATGAAGCTCAAGATGAGTCCCAGAAGCAGTTGCAAGAGCAGGCAAGGAAGATGCTGAACGTTGAATGTTGAATGTCGTCGTTCAAGCTTCACGAAGCTGCCGCGCGATAGTGGGGGAGGATTGATAGGGCGCTAAGCCCAGAGTTTAGCCGTAGCCTTAGCGCAATGGGGCCTCGCTTCCCCACTACAAGTTATCGCGGGGCTGCTTTTTAGACCACCGAGTCTCCAGAGGGCCTGAAGCTCGAGTTGGCTGAGGGTATTGGTTTCAAGAATTATGTATGACTGGAGGAGGGCCGAATCAAAGTGATTCTTTATATGATTTTACACTTCTCTGTCTATTGACTCTGTGATGAGCCTATAGACCTGGCTGTGCCTCAACTGGGTTGCTGATCTACAAGTTGCGGCTGCCTGGCCTCCTTGTAAAATCCCAGGATTGCTAGTATTAGATGGAGAGACAACATACGTTCTCTCTCCCTCGTTAAATGACCCCGAGCTTTGTGACGGCCTCACTCCTTCGGGAACAAGGGGTCAGAAACTGGATCAAATAGTTCCCTGGCGTGTGTCGTCTTTGCAGCCAGCGGCAAAGAGAAGCAGCTTGTGATACATTTGAGTGTTTGGTTCTAGGTTGAGCTTACAGTGCAATCCCTTGTTCCTGGCAAAATGCGTCGGATCTTTCTAACAGCAAATTATTCGATTAACACAAATGTCGTAAAGGTCGTGAACTCTGACAGCTGGCTATATATTGACATTTCAGAGAGTTGGAAGTGTATTGTTGTCCTGATACCGATGAGTATTGATACGTTAGCAATTGTTATTTTACTCCAAGCGCTAAGGGCTAGCGATAAATATATGGAAAAGCTTGATAGGCATAAGAAGGAAAAGGGGGTTCTTAGAGAAATATAATGTACGTATTTACTATTCAGGTAATTTATGAATAACAGGGGAACGCACTTGGAAACTGCTCTAACTAACACCAAATATAAAAATAGAAATTTAGTTATTTAACTGCCATAAAATTATAAAGTAAGAAGAATTCAGGGGAATATTTGACCTAAAGGCTAACTTAAAAAACATGAGAAGGCGGTATCTGAGCATTATATGCAAGATGAAACATATTTCCATTCATATATTAAGAAGCCTTAGCTATACGATTTTATGGTGGTCATTTCCAGAACCGCGATATTTCGCGTATTCACAATTATTGGTGGTTTTCGTGAAAACACCCAATGCAAATTTATATATTAAATATTTCCCTTCCAATATGCGGCCCATACTCTTTCCTTAGAATTCGGACGAAGCGATGTGCAACAAAGTATCTTTCGCTGCCAGGCTGCCCATCGCCTCCGTAAACTCCATCGTCATCACCCAAAAGCTCCCATGGACAAAGAAATTTGGATGATGACGAAGAATTTTGTTTTGACATTTCCCTTAAAATTTTTACCATTCCTTCGCGCTGTTGAACTGCTTCTTGCACACTCTTGCTGTCACATAGAGGAAATTGCCTGGTAAATTCAATTGCTAATGCCGCAATTCCTGCAGCTTTGGGGCACGCAAAGGAGCTCCCATCCATAGCTTCACCTGAAACAGGACTAATGATACCTAGACCTGGGGCCGAGAATCTCTCGATGCGCCCTTGGCTTATATCCTCAATGGCAAAGCCCGCCAGCTGCCCAGTGTCTTCTGCGGCGTCCACACAAATTACTTCTGGCGCGCGGCCTGGATAGAGAATGCTATTTGTTTCGGCGAACCCGTAGTTTGTTGTGGAAGCAAACATGAGGACTCTATGTTGTTTGGCAAAAGAAAGAGCGTCGCTAATGCGCTTATTGACGTGCGTCCAGCCGAAAGACATGGTGATAATATCCACTCCCCACCCCTTTGGGTCAGCTGCGAATTCAATTGCCTTTGCTGCAGCTTCGACATCAACAGTAGATTGACCAGCTGCGTTTAGCTTGGTAACTCTCCCGATATAGACATGTGATGTTGGACATGCTTTGAGCACCAATTCAGCAACTGTCGTGCCGTGGTCGGTGTCGGCAGCATTCTGTTGCCCGCCAGCAAAGTTCTCTCTGGCTTTAACTCGCATTCTGAATGGTCTTAGATGTTGTGGGGAAATATCAGAATCGAGGATTGCGATTTTAACAGGCTCGTACGCCGGGCCCTCGATGCTGTTTGTGCCGAAGAATCGTTCGTCTTTGCCATACATGAACTTATGCGTCCTATTCTCTAGATATGTTTGCCAAAGACCCGCCTCGCTCTGCCTATATTGATGTTAAATATTTCTCAACCTATATCTTCTAGTAGCATATCGTGGAGCATACGGTTTAGATCCAAAAGATGGATCATAGTTCTGTCCTAATAATGGGGCAATCGATGTATTTTCTTGAGCCGCACTGCCGGCTTGGATTGTTGTGGATCTAGGTTGTGGACTCTCTCGAGGCGGTAAAGAGCGTTCATTTATTGTCCTTTCGGATAATTCGATCTTTTTAATAGGATCAGATGTATAATCTAAGTGACTGTGTCTTAGTCGCGATAGTTGTCCTGGTCCAGGTTTTATCCTGTTTTGGCTGTTATATGCCGGAGCTGGATCTGGTCTAACCACGGGCCCTGGATTTGGTTTTGGCGCCCAGCTTCTTGGAATTTCATCTATGCGTGAGAAAGCCGAGTTATTCTGCGAGAGATATGGGTTTGCTATTGGTGTACAACTCCTTGGTATTTCATCACTGCGTAAGAAAGTTGTGCTATACTGTGAGCTAATCGGAAAAATATCCGGGCTAGAATTGATTGCTGTCGGCGAGTTTGCATGGCCGCCCCATCTCCCATTTATGAGAGAGTACAAACGTTGGCGGTTCCCTTCATCTAACTCGCTTTCCGTATCAGATTCCAGTATCTCGTGGATATGTTCATCCACTGATGTAGCCAATTCAAGCTTTCCGCTATCAAGTAAAATTTCGGCAAAGCTATTCATCAAATTCAACTCATCCGCTGTCTCAAGCTGGTGTTTCACCGAAGGATAGAGAGCTTGCCAGTTATCAATCAGGCGATCAATATCGCCATCAAATTCCTCAATAGATGCATAGAGCTGGTTTATGTTGTCGGAGGAGCCAGTATTATACATCAGAGCAATAGTTACCTATGCGGTGGCTGTATACGAAGGCTTGGAGGTAAGGCTGACTTCCAAGTGTATAGTCAGGAAGTTTAACAAATGTTCAAGTTTTTAGATTATTTCATAGCATTCCTAGCATTACCAGTTACCTGAGAAGATGCGCGATTATTCCCCCATGTGTGTGTGACCGTACGCAATAGAAGACGGTGTGGCTTGGAAGGCGGCCAATAGATCCTGTATTAAAAGGCAACATCACACCGAAAAAGAATCGCCATGCATGGGTGCCCCTGGAGATCTGGCACGTGGACTAATACTATTGGATATTGATAGTAAAAACAAGGCTGTATGACGGACTATTTCATGGTGTGAATGTATCAATTTCCCCAAACTACTTGTTTAGATTCCCCTCACGTTCTTAGGCCCAGCATTACCAATTATGCGAGTTTCCACCTGATCGACAGCCTCACATTCTCGAGATTGCGCTGTTGCCTGGTATCTTCCCGTGTGAAACAAACGTGGGGGCCATTTGATTGAGAGCGCGTGGCCGCCCACCATAGTAGCATCAAGCTTGATTTGCCTTATAGAAGTCTTTGAACAACAAATTAGAAGGGCAATCCAAAACATTTTTCAAGTGTGCGTATAATTAAATCAGTTGCTACTATTATTGTTTATATATTGGCGTAGCTTTGTTCTCACTATGTCTTTACCTTCGGCCCGGGTCAAGTCATACTTTCTTTCACCTATAACGACGATTCCTCCGGAAGGGCCAATAAGGCTCGGAAGCATAGTTGAGGATCCGAGCTTTGTTCAGGAGCCTATTAACAATCCACCAGTCCCACCAGGTTCTGCCGGTGAAAATATATACTTGCACAATGCTGCCCAGAGCACTGTCGCTTTGAAAGCTTCTAAAAGCTTTGCTCTCGGTCTCTTTGTAAAGTTTCAGCAATTCCTTCAAGGGAAAATCGGCGAAAAAAACTCATCCGCCGTCGAAGAGATGTGGTCTTTTAATAATTTACAGACACAATGGTTTATACCGAGCGATGAATATATAAAGCAAAGTCTGCAGCAAATGGAGGTGCAAAATTTCATCGCCCAAAACTACTCCTGGCTAAGGCGCACCAAGCTCTATATGGTGACCGGTATTATGATTGCAGAAGGCGCTTCCTCAACTATCAAAGCTGCAGAACAAAACGAACTTCATCTTAGCCTAGGTGTCGATACCCCGTTGCCGCAAGTCCCCGTTACGGTACTTCCTCAGTTGGGCCTTGAGGGCGCATCAGGCGTAGCAAAGTCACAAGGAAAGTCAGATACGGTTGTCTTTGCATTCCAACTTCGGAGAATCAAGATTTCACCAGCTGGCGATGTTGCACACGCGCAGTATACTGATGGTGCTTTATTGTCAGTTCATAAAGATACCGGCTCAGACAAAAGAAGTTACCAAATTGTCATGGATGGAATCGACGACAGTGATGTTGATCCTGCCGAGTTTGGATTGGAAGGTTCGTCGCTTGATGTAGACGATGCTACGGAAGAGAGAAGCTGAGTCGACAATTGGGAACGAAGCCTAAGAAGATAGCCATCATCTCATAAATTTAAATAGGGATATATATGTATGCTATAAATGAAAGCTTAAATACTATATTTCGATTACATTATGAGCCTGAACATTAAAAAGGTCAATCTCTACCTAGCATATTTGGAAATCTATTCTCATCTCATCCACCACTTCGCTGCTGATCATCGCTTCGCCGTCCATAACACCATGCACATACGCTTCTCCAACCAGCTTATACAGCCCCAGGTCTTCTATAGGTCTCAAGATTACAGGAACCGTACAACCGAAAAGAATGCACACCAAATCTCCTTCTTCGGCTTCTTTAGGTGCCAGTCCAAAGAGACTTTTTGGCCCTGATGCTGACCCAGAGCGAATATCTTTGCAGAAAATGATCATTGCCTGTTTGGTCTCTGGTGTAAGAACTTGGACATCCGATAAATGGCTTACATCAGCCTCGGCTTCAAACAATCTTCTGTTCCAAACTACTGTCTCAACACGGTGAAAGTATTCTGTTGTCATCTCCGAAATTTTGCGGTTCGGCGGCGTGACAGAGTGGATATTGCCCTCGTTGTCAGATACACGAGGGTCAACCAGTCCATGCAAGCATGCCCGTTGATACCATGATGGCGGCTTTCCACCTCCAGCAGCGCGGTCAGCTACCAAAAGTCGCCAGAGCGTATCTGGGACTTTGTTCTTTTTCTCTTCAGCTCTCCAGCCTAGCCGAGTAACCCACTCGCCAGGGATGATGCCGCCTCGCATAACATCTGATTGATATTTTATTTTCCCAAGCACAAGTCCACCGACTTTGATCACGCCGCTGAGTTGATACTTTCTCTCGACGTCCGATGGAACAAGTCGGATAGAATTTCGGCGAGACTTCATATTTCCAGAGACGCTGTTTCGACTGGATCTTGGGATTTCAGGTCTTATAGCCGGACTTATGCCAGTTGTTTCTCCAGATGGGTCGCTGAGTGTAACGGCAGGTGTTGAACCGATTCTATTGGTTTCTTGAGACAAAGGGGATTCTACTACTGTTGGAGATGGCGGAGTTGACAGGCCATTTGTCACGCTTATTTGTAGTTTGGGAAACCGGTCAATCCATGCTAGGATGACAATACTTAGTGTTAGATCAGCAGTTCTAATACAGATAAAGGGATAACTTGTAATTGATACTTACTTGAGCGGTTCTCCACTGGAGATAGTACCGTGGTGGGGTGGGGTGAAGAAAGAGGTTGTAAAGAAAATTGCGCGCGAAGGCTATGAGCTCTATTCCTGTTCATACTCTTTCTTAGAGACGGGCCGTCGGTGGATAAAAGAAATGGATCTAAAGCCATAGAAAATTCAGCCGAGTAGGATCCGCAAGCCCTGTATCGCTTCCGTCGGTCATGAGGAAGATAGGCGACAAAATTTTGGCCGTTCTGTCGCCCTTTCGAGGAATCAGGCCCACCAAAGGGCGCTTTGTATATGTTCGAGATCCAAGAAGGCATGGGTACTTTCTCCGAGAACTTGTCATCAGTGACATTAGGTGCCCAGTGCCGGCAGATGATATCAAGACTTTTCGATTTATATATTGAACGAGTAACAAATGCAATGAAAACGTCTCGTGTACTAATTGTATAATTTGGAAGCAACGCAATTTTTCTTTTTAATTCCCGTAAATCATCCTTGCTTAATGGTACATCGTGATCGTTTCTCCAATTACTCTCGAGTTGCTCAGAATGTATTTCGGCCCAGGGCTCATCTTCGCTAGGGGGGTCATTGGCCAACGATAGAACTGAGTAAATAGTATCCCGAGGCGATGTCGCTTGAAAACCAAGAAGGGTTGAGACCAAAGTTTCGAGATCTAAAAGTTTGGCTAACACGTCTCCCGTGAAGGACTTGTGGCAAATATTGTCGAGACATTGAATGAGAATCGAAGCGCTTGTTGTCTCAACATCTTCAAATATTTCCTCGTCAAATTTAGCTCTCAAAACATGAATCTTTTCTAGCAAAAGCGATACGGCATCGGCAAAATCGTCCCAATGGACAACTTGGTTGGCGCAATGTAACGATGCGCTCTTCGAAAGAGCGACTTCTTGGATGATCCATCGGCGACTAAACCAAGCGGCCTTCATGATCTCAATAAGTTGAATCCAATTTTCCTTTGTGTCAGAGCTTTGGACTTTGGTATCGAATTTTTTGAAGTTCATGATGTCTCGAACGAGGCTAAAGGCACCTTCGGCATGCTCGAGGCCGTCGCCCAACCAGATGCAGACATGAGATGCATAGTTGTAGATTTGGGCCATCATGGCCAATTGCTGTTCTTTTTCTCTATGACCCGAGTCCGATTGGTCAATGCATATTGCGTCTACCCAGATATTGACATGGCTATCAGTCATTTTCCGCAGCCTCATAAGTGCTCGATACAGATTATTTCGGATGCTGAAAGGGGCCCCTCCGACGGATTTAACGACCGCAGTTTGAACCACCGTTTTCATATTTACTGTCTGAGGTAGCTCTGCGTCTAGGTCGCGGATCATTATTTTGTCTAAGGGCTTCTCTTTGGGGTTTCCCCACGTGTAAGACAGAGCCTCATATCCGCCACGAACATCTTCTAATTTGCGTTTGAAAAGGGTAGCTCTCAAAGGATCTTCGTCTTTCCCTGGGTGTATGCTTAAGATTCGAATTTCCCCCTTTTCAAGCTTACTGTAGCGGAATTGCGACCCTATTTGCAGCTTTTTTTTATTGGGCGAAACAGCGCCCATTGCTTTATGCCATAAAGCACGAACATGATAGTGCGCATCCTGTCGCTGTACGCGCACAGTTGGCAATGGCAAGCTTTCATTTTTGAGATTCCACTCTAATGTACCTTGCCTGTAAGTCGCAGCTAGTAGATCGTCTCCTTGCAGCGTACCATTCAGTACCTGCGCCATAATGGTAGTCGATAACTATCGCGGTTGTGGGCATAAAATTGAGTTCCACTGACTGTAAAACTAAACATTGGAGTAAAAAGTGTTCCAACAAGATAGAGAGATTTGGGAGATAAAACGAATCTTAGGTCCTACTTATTTATACACGGGTTTACCCGAAACAAAATGAACATCCCTGCATACTAGACCTATGCTGCAAGCACATGTTCTATTGGAATGTCAAGGATATGCGGAGGATGCGCGGTTGGGGGCCATATCCTGTGATACCCAAGCTGAAGTTGGTGTGGAGGGGTGTGCACTTACTAGCTGCGGCTGAAAAGGCGTTGTACGTGGGCAAACAGGTCGGACATACTTGTTTTGTCTGGTCTGGGTTGCAATCTATCGTTACCCTGGAAGTAGTGTCGCTAGAACAGATAATGTATAGTCTCCCTCTCTTCCACAGCATACTGTTTTGGCGGACAGACTACCTGTTTTCATAGATCAAAATTGAGTACCAGTGACTAATATCGATAGTATTTTGGGAAAGAAGGCCGAAGTTATCAGCAAAATGACTTCAAGGCTTTTTATTCTGTTGAATTCGGATAGGCTTAGGGTGACAATAAATAGCCACCTAGTGTTATGATGTATTTCCTACAAAACATCAACATACAATTCTCACCTACAATAATATTTGTTTTATCAATACCACATCACTTGAGAGCTGCTATTGTCTTACTTTCTTCTCTGTGAAGCTCAGGCAGATGTACTGACGTCGGGCACGTGAAAGACCAATTTTCAGATTCTGAATCCTCTGTAACTACCTCAATTGTGTGTTCAACTAAACTTCGCCATTCATTTGGGCCTGAGTAACCTGGTCTCTAATAGACATATCATCGGTTGATGATGGCTTAGACTTGGTAAAGGTGCCGCAGCTGGGTAGCCAATTTTTGCAAGGATTTGGCGAAGTGCGAGTGTCTACGCTCTCGTCAGATACTCAGGCGAATATAGAAAGGTCTGTCGAAGCTTTCAGAATCTTCTTTTGCAGTCTCAAAATGCTTTTTCTTTTCTCCGTAGAGAAGAGGCATGTTGACGTCAAAAATACCGAGAAGTGAGTAGGCTCTATCTTCAGTATGGGTGGTTTGCCAAGATGACGCCCACGACGTCTTCTTCAAGACCAGAACGCTTTCTAATGACGTTTCTCCTATCAGAATATTATCATTGATTGATGTTATACGCGGCAGTTCTCCTTCGATATCACGTTTAGAGAAAATGAAACTCCAATCCTGATCATAGAATTACACAACGGATACGATCAGCTCTTGCAGTGTCCAGCCTCTCGTACACCAGCGACCCCACATGAACATCGGATTGATCGCCTCACTTAGCTCAGCGCCGCTTGCCTTATCAATACAACAAGTGCTAACCTAAGCCCTAGTATATCCTTGTCGCAAGGCAATAGCACGTATCTCGCGGGTTTTAGCAAATCCCTTTTCCTCTCAGCGGCTTGTCCGCCAGCAATACTTTTCTCTTGGAACGTCAATTCTACATCTTCCCAGGTGCGAGATAGGGTTACATAGGGCGGAGATTTACCTTCCTTTAAATTCCGCAAGCTCATGCGTTCTGCAATCAACCAATCTCATGGTCCGTCTTTTCCTTTACAAATTTATCTACTCTAACACGTAAATAGGCACTCTGAATTTGAGATGTTCTTCTGAAGAATTACTCCCTCTAGATTAAGAACAAATGCTTGGGTGAACGATGTGAGAGGTTTCCAGAGGCTTAGAAGGTGTCAGACTCGAATAAAGAACTCTAATTACTGTATTATTGCTTCCGAAAACAATGCGGCTAAGGGATGCTATGTTTAGCAGTTATAATCCTTCACAGAAGAATAAGCTCGTCCGAAATTAGCCTCATGCACCGCTGCCTGCTCAAAGCTTTCAATACGTAGTTTTTCAAGAAAACACTATAGATGAGTGATAAACACTCACTAGATGACTATTAATTACCCAAAAAGCTAAATTTAGCACATTACATATAACTCACTGACTGCGAAAGAAGATGGCTAAGCTTGTTGTACAACCATTGTGGCGTTAATACAAGGTCCAGCCTTGCAGGCCCTTACATACTTCTTTCATCCTCCCAGAATAGGAGTGAAGTTTGTTCACGGGTCGGAATACGCCGAAGCCAATAGCTCTAGGCCCCAAATAAGGGGATGTAAAGCTGGCGGCGTATCACCAGGTGGGCGGGATGAGGTAGTCCTTCCACCGCTCTGTGTCAGCCTCCTTAAAAGTGTCAATGGTGCCCTTTATTCCTTGTGGACCAACCGACCAGACACCTTCTTCAACAAGCTTGCACCAACAGTCAAACAAACGTTCCAGCCGTTGAGCCCGGTAGTAGTCGCCGCCAAAAGGTTTGTATCCGTGCTGAAAAAGCTCTGTGCCGTTATTCCTTTCGATAGTTGATCCATCGCTTTTCCGCGCGCCTAGACTAGCATCCCAGTCACCCCTGAAGCCATACGGAAGTAATAGCCGAAATCCTTCCTCGGCATAGTCGTAGTTATTCCTATCAACTGGTTCGCTGTACACACCGGCAACGACCCGGGACGGCACTGAGTCATCAATGCCGATAGAAAACGGATATGACGATCCCGTCAAATCAACCTCTTCACCGCTAGCGGCGGGGAAGATACAAACAGAAGGTATGGTGTGACAGCCACGAGATAATTTCGTGAAGGGTTGCACCGCGGCGAAAGCAGACGTGTCTGCGGGGGGGAGAGTAAGGCCGGGAGCAATGAAATCAAACAGAGGCCGACGAGCAGCGGTGAGAAAGGAGCGTGAAAAGCAATTTTGCGGCACTGAGGCTTCATCTAGGACGGCGGGTGCGAGCAGAGGCCCCAGATCTACCGCTGAAGGAGGCTGCGATGGCATCCGCGCCTCAATGGCCTCGCACAGGCGGTTCCACGCGCGGATGCAAGACGCAACTTGGGCTTCACTGTAAGGTCGCCACTCCCAGGGGCCGATCTTCTCACTGCCAAACAGGGCCGGCTCGTCCCTGGGTGACGCTGTAACCTTGCCAAGGCGAATCAGGTCAATCCAGTTGGACAGCACAGTCTCGAGTGGGTGCCAAAGCTCTCTGTGCTCCTCCAAGGGCAACGCAAAGCCGTGGTCATCCATATGCATGAATACCGCGGCACGGTGGTAGCGTTGGTGATAGAGCACGCCGCCGCCAGATTCACCGCCCTGACCAATGTTGGGGAAGTACAAGCACACCAGGCTGTCTGCTGGCTGGTCGAACATGTCAGCCAGCCATTCATCGAAAAGAAATTCTGGGTCGGAGAGCGCGTTGGCCCAAAAGAAGAATGGCGGCCGCTCAGGGCCAGCAGGAGGCAGCTTGGCGCTGTCAAGGAAAGTCGCCAGCGACATGTTGAGCCGCGGACGAAGCTGCTCAGCTGCGGCACCGTGAACGGTGAAGAAGGTATTGGTGTTATTACGCAGACTAGATGATGGATGGCCCTCAGCCAGCCAGGCGTAATGTAGCAGGTAATTGTGCAGAGCAGCACATCGTTCATGGTCCATGCCTGGTATATCATCGCGAGCTGGATTATCTGCCGTGACAAGCAGGTTGCTCACATCTGGGAGCTGTGAAAGGTCCATGATTGTTGAGCGACTTGAGAATAGAAGAACGCTCTATACTCTTCTAAAAAGATCCTTCATGAAATTGGCGGATATTGCTAGATTCTTGGCTTTTTATATAACTGCCCCTGAACGATAGACACCACTTGGACGCCTTTGGCCACTAGGACTGCATAACGGAAATAGGACAAAGTATTGCTTGTTTCACCATTAAAGGCTAATTTCAATTCTTCTTCAGATAGCAATAAGGCCGCATTAATTGTTCATCAAGACAATTTTGGCTCTTCAAGCCCTATCTTGTTGCACAGGAGAGGTAGTCCAGTTAGGCAGCCGTACGCCGGCTTAGTCAGCAAGCATCTAGTGGATACGTCTTCAAGCTGAGGCTTGATATCCCCGTTTTCGGGGCGTTTGCCATTACAATTAGATAGCTTGTATAGCTCAGTTGGTTAGAGCTTCGTACTAATATTTCGGGTTCAATGACTCCAATGTTGGTAATGCGGAGGTCGCAGGTTCAAGCCCTGCTATGAGCATTCAAATTTTCTTTTTGCACGCATTTACTATTATTATATGTCTAGTGTTTTTTTGGTCCTTCTTAGCCCCTTTTGTCTATCATAAAGTCCCTATCTAGCACGTATATACTCTCTTCCATTGGAACATAAAGGTTCATAATATGATACACTAGATAATTCTAGTCACCAAAAAAAGAGCATAATCTAGTGTATAGTCTTTCTTCCCATCTACATAGCTACCGTGATATTCCTCAAATTCGCCTAATTACCTGATAAATCCTTTTTTCTAATACCGAAGTTGCTCTATTAACCTTTTCTTATCTTCCCATCTCCTTTATAACACCCTATGATTCTCCAAGGCAAAGATTGATGTGGCTTCACGGCCCTATGTCTGACTTCCAGGGACCTTTCCCCATGGGCCATTAAATGATGTCGGCCCCTTCGGACGGGCGATAGGGCCCCATGAAAACGGAACTGGGCGACTGTCTGTCATTTGACATGGGCGGAGGGCATCTGAAGAGTCTATAGATCAGTACCATGCCAAAATATCGTAACCCAGACTCACCATTGAACATACGGAGCTTATTGTTATCTTGAGACATTGCCGCCAAAGGATCTACCGGTCCTGGGATCCTACCCAATGCAACACTCTGCCAAGCAAATTCCGAGCTTCGAGACGACGAAGTCGTAGGTGAGGCTTCGGAACTAGAACTAGAACTCTCCAAGGCTGTTCTCATAGCCGACTCCTCTTGCTGCTTCTTGAACCAAGCAGGCAGACCCTGAAAAAGTCCAAGGGCTCTCTGGGATTCTTCATCCAGGGGCATCTCGTGCTTGAATTTGCATCCCGTCTGGGTGAATGCACATCTGCCCTCATGGATCCACATATCACAGTAAACCTTGTTCCTCTTGTGCATATTAGGGCCTGTGGCAACGATGCGGTCGATTTGGTTCTGAAAGAATGATCTCCGTGAGCCTCACAAAATGACAAATCGGTCAAAATAGATAGGTGATGTTGAAGAAGGAAGAGGATGAGTCAGGGCTTGATTAAGACATACCTGGACGACATCTGATGACCGTCGAGGCGTGTAGTGTGGAGATGTCTGAGCCTAAGAGCCTCAGCTTCATCTTCTGTTTGGGGAAAGAAGTCTAGCAAAGTAGAAATTCGCTCACCTTGACTGTTACTGCAAGATTTATATCTGCCGTTCCACTTGGCCTGGCACCTCGTGGCAAAGGCAAAACGATCATTCCTCGCTGCTCAGGCTCTCTCGGCGGGATCTCATTTAAAGATGGCAGCACGTCGGCTGGTATGAGCCTGGTTACCTGTCCATCGCCACGATTTAGGTAATACGCATACCCATCGTTCACGCTGCTGGGCCAAGAGACGGGGCCGGCTCCAGTCGCAATGCCTCTTTCTTCGCCGTGTCCCATTGCCGCCTGAGCCAAGTTTGTGCCTAGCTGAGCCTGAGGAAGGACTCGTGTGAAGCTTCTTCCGTCTTGGCCAATAGTGCGCCAGTTGCTCGAGGCGAGGCCTCGAGATGCAGTTGCAGCTGTGGTGCCCGGCGTTGTGTGATTCATCTGATGCTGGATAGGATACATCATTTGCTGCTGTCTGATAGCATCTCTGTCATCTTGGCCAGGAATCTGGAAGATATAGCTACTAAAAGCCGGGTGGGTGCAGTCAAATCCAAGATGTCTTTCCGAAGCAGACTCAGCAGAGCACTGCCGGAGATGAGATGTAAAAGCCGATGTCTCAGAGGGCCATGGTACGCGGGATATGCTTCCTTGTCTCGAAATGAGTCCATTGGAGCGATCCATGGCTATAGAAAATAGCAATTGGAAAGAAGTGATAACAGCGGTATAACACAAAAACGAGGTCTGTGGAGGTGACTAACAAGAGGGTACTGAGTAGTTTGTGCAGAATAGAGTCCAAAGTGTTCAGTGCCAAAGGGAAAAGCAGTTTTTAAATCAGTCGTAGTGACGAGGAAAGAGAGGAAAGGAAAAGAAAAGAAAAGAAATTACCATCTCAACAGCCCAATCCCTGGCATCAAAGCTGTTCGCCTCGTCCGTTTGTATCTTACCCCTGTCCAAATCTTTAGTTAGAGCTCGGCTGCCTGCAGCCAATTCACCACCATCCGTCGGCATTTGTTCTGTGCCTGATGCAAATAGTACCGGCAATTTTTATTTGATCAATTTCTTTAATTTTATTATTTCCGGGCTTTGCCCTCTTCACCCTCGTCGTCTAACGATGGGTGGCCGCCCACCCCCCAGGTCTGTCTAGATGCTGAATGCTAAAGCTATACATGTACATGGTGGTAATTCACTCTTGTTTAATCAATTAAAAAACATTACCGTCATTATCATTCTCTCTTTTCTCATGCTTACTGGCGGTGAGTGAGCATTTCAACTCTGCGAAATGCCGCTTTGTATCCGCACTTGTTCTAATCTGTGAAACAGGGCAGCAATGTGTCGCTCTTTCATTGACACATTTCCCTGGGCATGTGCAACGTAATCCAACGCTACACGGACTTGCGCTTCGGAGGTAAGGCGAGAGACATACTCGAATCCAGTCTGCGCTTGCGCTTGCGCTTGAATGGGGGGTGCTCGACCGCGATAAGCGATATACTGCTCATAGTGTTCGCGAGTTTGTTGGCGTCTTGCCTCACCGCTTAAAACTTCATTGCCATTGCCGTAGCCTGTTTTATATGCTAAAGCAGGGGTAATTGGCTGTTCAGTTGTTTGTGATCGGGCTTGAGGGCCTTTATTGGTAGTCATAACATTGCCGTAGGGGTCGACAAGTGACTTTCGGGGTCTGCCTCTCTTACGAGGTCCCGTTTGCGGAGGCACCCCAGGCGTTGGTGCCCCTGGTGGTACACCCATAAGTGGGAGGCTATGCCTTTGTTTAGGGTCAGCTTGCTGCTCTTGATAAGAGGCAAGGCCTCGGCTCTTTTTGGAATCGATTTGTCGCATCGATAAAATTTCGGCTTCTCGCTCAGCTAAAAGGTCTTGTTATTTTTACTGTCCGTTATTGCTTTAGGGGTTCCTGTTCTTTCGACTTACCTTTTGTTGATGGGTCTATATCCTCATCAGAGTCTTCAGGAGCATTTGTGACGTCAAAGTCTTCAGATGAGTCTGAAGACTCAGCGCCCACGTCGCCAGCCAATGCATATTGCTCGGCGCCTTTAGCTCCGTAGTTAACAGCCTAAAAGTACAGTTGTTAGTCATTGACTTGTGCATCAGTCACTTGGAAGTCGATCATCATACCATTCGACGTCTTGCACCACGCCCCAGGACTTCTTTATTGGCCTCTGCCTCTCGCTTAGCTTCTTCTTCTCTTTCAGCAAGAATCCGGTCCCAAACACTAGAACTAATAGGCTCTGGTGCTTGTTCTTCTCCAGTATCTACTCTCTCTTCAAACCCAAGCTTGTCATTCGCCCATACACGGGCAAAGTTAAACTGGCTTTCAGCAGAGTTATCATCATTTGCTGCAGTCTTCTCCATTTGAGAACGATCCAAGAGCTTGTCAACAGATGCTGAATCGTACTGAATGGCTGTCTTTTCATACCCGTCGTCGAATAACGCTTGGGCACCATGCTTCAATATCGATTCCAAGTCAGCACCCTCCAGTTCCTCATCATCCATACTCTCAATTAGCGCATGATCCAAGGCCATTTTCTTGCGACCAATTTCCATAATTCGTTCCTCGACCGAATCTTTGGTCACGAGCTGAAAGCAGAGGACCTTGTTCTTCTGCCCAATGCGGTGAGCTCGAGATAGAGCCTGGATGTCCTGATGGGGATTGAAATCGGGGTCCATGATAATGACAGTATCCGCGGTTGCAAGATTGATTCCAACACCGCCAGCTCTAGTCGACAACAAAAAGGCAAACAGTTCAGAGCCTGGCTCGTTGAAGGCGTCAATACGCCGCTGTTTCTCCAAACTAGAAATTGATCCATCCAGGCGACGATATCCATAGCCAAGCCCATTAAGAAAATCTTCGATTATGTCAAGTTGTTGCAGGAATTGGCTAAATATGAGTACACGGTGACCCCGTTCCTTTAATTTGGGCAACATGATTTCCAAAAGCAGGAGTTTGGCCGACGCTTCTACCAAATTGCGATGTAGTACCTTTGGGTCGTGATGACGTTCCTCAATAGCTTCGGAATACATAAACGGGTGGCATAAGCATTTGCGTAGCTGCATCAAGATGTTGTTTAAGCTGCCACGATCCTTTGCGCTCATTTTGCTATTTGCAAACACAGCTCGAATGAGTTGGGGATTCTTTGCCATGATACTCTTTGAGAGCTTCTCCTGAATAACGGTCATAGTAACAGGTAGAATAATCTGTGCCATGGGGGGGAGAAATTTTAGGACGCCAAGCTTTGTTCTGCGCAAGAAATACGGCCGGATTTTTTCGTGCAGCTTAGGAAGACTTTCTTTGTCAAGGACTGCGTATTCCTGGTCTAATTTTTCTGCGTTTTGTTTCTCGTCGATGAACTGTAGAAGATTGAAGAGCTCCCTCTTGTTGTTCTGCAGCGGTGTACCGGTCAGAAGCAGACGGAAAGGTATTTTCATGGACCTCAGGGCAGTGTAGAGGAGGTTTTGGTCATTTTTCAGTCGTTGGCCTTCATCCACAACCAGTCCCGCCCAGTTGGCGGACTTGAAAAGTGATAACGTTCGCGGGTCCTGCGCGGAGTCATACGACATGATCACAACTTGAGCCTTCATTTCGGTAGTGCCGTTTGGAAACAGCTCATATGTATAGGCAATATCTTGAGGTTCTTTGCCTCCGTAGTAAGCGACGACTCTGATACCTGGAGCCCATTGCTTGAACTCTCGACGCCAATTGGGGCAGGTAGCATTCGGAACCACGATGAGGAAGGGCCAGCACTTTTGCATGTTAGGGATTAAAGTCAAATTGTTGCAGCACATACAGTAAATAGTATTCACTTACCCTTGGTGTATCTTGAATTAAAGAGGTTACAAGACCAACGACCTGGACTGTCTTACCCAATCCCATTTCATCTGCAAGGACAATGCTTCGGCTTTGGTGAAAGTTCTGCAGCAGCCAGTTTAGGCCTTCTATCTGGTAACCCATGAGCTTTCCTCGTTTAAGGCCAACAGGCTGCGTGTCCACTTCTTTAAATGGGTTGTTCTTATATGCTCTGATACGTTCTCGGATTTTTGAAGAAGGCTCGTTACGAAAGTGTTTGCCCTCTATGTATCCGCAATAAGCTTCTACAAAGGCGCTGTAAAGTCGAGGCTTATCTTGACTAGGTGGGGAATCCCATACAACATCATCATAGCCAAGGCCGTGGAACTTGACTAGCATACTCTTGACTTTGGAGATATTGGCAAGATCCTCTTCTTTTGTTTTGCTTCGAGAGCCCGCGTTGTTCAACTTGACGTTGAAAATGATATCAGGGGTGATGAATTCGTCTGGGATAGCTTCTTCACTGTTGAGCTTGAGAAGATTCTGCTCAGCTGCGCGTTTTGCAAACGAGGACCGCATGCTGCCAGCGGTAACACCAAATAACCAAGCTCCAGGGACCCAGGAGCAGTGCGCAAATGAAGCCTCTTGCCACTTGACAAGATATTCTTTCTCATCTTCATTAACATCTCCGTACGCTGGGAGGGGGTTACGTTGAGTAGAAGGTCGCCATGCTACCAGGCGGTGTATTTTGCTCCTGGCAGAGTTACAATCATTGCACTGCCAATCAGCGGAATAATCCTTCAGGTGCTCGGGTTTAACATCGGTTCCAACAGCATCATCCCCAGTGGAGGGCAGATGCTCTTGATGCCAGCCCCGGTGACAAGTAGTACACCGAAAAAGAACGTTGCCAGAATTATTAATAAGCTCGGGAGAGATGGGGGTAACTGGGTCGACACCACCGTTCTCTTCACGAAGTTTTTCTTCTTGCCGAGCCGTCTTCTTTTGTGAAAATGGCGGGCAGGCTCGACCATCTTTTTTACAGCTCTGGCACGCGCTGTGTCTGGGCGCACTGCGATCTTTCTTCAAGTGAGTATTAAGGCAGAACCTGCATTGCAGCACAAAGTCATCTTCTCCAATTTTGGTGGCCATATGGTCACGGTTGCTCCGGTATCCAATGCAATTCTTGTGGTACGTCAAGGAGCATCCTTGGCAATACAGCAGCTGGCCCCGCTGCTTCGAGCCTCCACATGTATGGCAAACCTGCATATGCGCAGAACCGAAATCAGAGTCTGGAGATATTGGTTGGAAAACTTCTCTAACAGAGATAATCTTTGGCGTAGCGGCTGCTTTGTCATCAATCACATAAAACGAGTCGTCGTCCATGAAAGCGTCGTCTTGCATGCTCGTCTGATTTCTGTTGGCTCTTGCAGACCGTCGAGGCTGCTCAAATTCAATGTCAGAATCATCCGATACTTTGCGAAGTAATCTTCTCTTTCTCTCATTTTGCATCTTAATCCGACGAGAACGCTGTGCAGATCGATTAGGACGGCCCTTTTTAATTGCGAGGTCGGATACAATAGGCATGAAGCTATCCGATTCCTCTGAGGTTTGGCGAGATTCAAGTGCCAATTCGTCTTGGTCCTGATCAAGTATGCTTGAGTTGAGAGACATGTTGGTCAGCTTCAGCTGAGTTGATTTCCGCTTTCGGAGGCGGCGCGATGGCTGATTAGCTTCGCTTAACCCGTCCTCATCCTCGCCCTCTGAATTAATCGAGCCGCCAGCATAGCTTGGCCGACTACTCGCTTCCCGTGAGCGCAGCATGCGACTGGGACGCAATGTGGGCTCATTATCGGAAAGTCCATCATCGATTTCCTCTTCTACAGCTTTGGCATCAAAGGCAGCATCATCCAATTCAGAATCCCATTCCTCATTGGCGACGTATTTTCGCTTATTACTAGTGACGGTCATCTCAGGATATCCTTGAAATCGCCGTAAAGTCGCTTCGCCGTTTACTTGTTCAAGAAGGCCGGAAATGTCGAACTTCAATTGTGTTAATATAAATACACTGTAAATACGAAAATAAAGATTGTAGAAGATAAGAAAAACATATGGCGCGGTTGGCGGGTAGCGTTATATGCTGTGGGTCTGACCCATTTAAGGCAGCGGATGAAGAGTTAAAGGGAATTGCAATGTAAGAGAGAGAAAGAAATGTTGATAGTGCTTAGCATCGACCAAGAGAAGCGCAGGTGAGAAAGTAGCGATTATTCGTAGCAGCCATTATGAAGTGTGGGTCGCGAGCAGGGGAGCATCTCAATTTTGGGGATTGTCACTATGGGGAATTCGAGAGCGACGCCGCTCACGTAGGAATAGACAAATCTGCTGAATAAACGTACCGAATCAATTCTTCCGTCTGTGAATTCAGCGTCGTACTCAATGACGTCGTCACCAAGATCGCGAAAGGCCGCAATCCGTTCGACGACTCTGCTATATACTGCCGAGTACTCAGCCCGTCTCTCGGCAGAGACTTCTGGAAGCGCAACTTCTATTTGCGTTGCCGGCGCAACATGTAGTATTACGCTACCTGGCGTATACGTATCGGAGCCAGTTCGAGCTATAATATCGGGTGTCGACTCGTAGCTTTCGTTCAAGGGCGACTCGCCTGCCTCGACCTCATCAACGGCCATTTCTTCCTCTTCATCTAGCGCCGCCTTCAGCAGCGCAAGATCGCCCAGGTCGCTCATGTCGTGGATCGAAAGGTCTGGCGCGGGCACATCATTCTGGGTATTCTCGTCGCGCGTTTCAAACAGGTTTTGGAGGACACTTGTCTCGTTCATCTAGGGTTTCCGGTTAGCAGAAGCTATTCTGCTATGTTTTGGGCGACAGGCATGGATGCGAGCGGCCGCAGGCAAGATGAACAGAGCAGAATAAAGTGGAGGAGCCGAACCTCGTGAGATCAAGCGCCCAGCGCTATCGATTTGCATCAATACAAAGCCAATATATACAGAACGGGCGCCACTGAGCAAACAATGGCAAAATGTTCATGTGATCGCAAACTGCATGATTTGAATCGTACTGGATCCTAGAAGGCATTTAGACGCGGGCCGAAGCCACAACGCGCTGGTCATTCGCTGAAACGGGCTTAGTGAAGGCAGCTCGCTGCTTATCAAAGCTCACCGCCTTCTAGGAACCCCTGCAATCGTTCCCCATTATGTGTGGCAGAAAAAAAAAATACGTCAACCCAAGAGCTCAATTAAGTGTTTCAGTTAGCTCCAAGTATGCTGCAATACAGCCACCACCGCTCAATAATATTTCTTATATCCCAAAAATGCTGTCTCTTGGGCCGTTAAGACCTAAGGGGCTATCCCGCCAATTATTCATTTGCATGCACAAGCCCAGTGCTTATGTCTTACAAACAAGTCGGCCCGCAAGCCTCTCTGCCATCCACCGCGGAGTACGACGATCCGAGAGAGTCCAATTCGGAGACCGGCCTAGAGATCGAGACTCCTCACTCAATGGTAGAAGCGGCAGGCTAACTAGAAAGGCGCTCGAAGGTGCAGCATCCCCTCGGCAACAGCAAAAGCTACGCAAGAAGCTTGATCGGAAAGCATTCGAGGAAGAAGAGGAGGAGTCCGGTAAACAGACGAGGCGCAAGCGCTTCCTCAATCCTGACTTCGAATACGGGAAGAAGAGCCTGGTTTACCAACTTAAGCATGGGGCGCTGAAAGACCAGGCTGCTGCTCTTGTTCAAGAGCCAGTGCGTCCGCTACCCTTCCAAAGGCTGGAAAGCAGCCCCCGGCGCAGAACAGAATCCTCTCGGCCTATTACAGAGCGTTCGGAGCGGCCACGACCATCTGTTCGGAGCCAAGTTGATCGCACCGGTGACTTTCAAGGAGAGGTAGAATCACCGTCGCCTCGGGAGAGGAGGAACCAGATGATGTCAATGAACATCAAGTACACAACCGCCGCTTCACAATTTCTTTACGGCAAATCGGTCGTGAAAGCCGCACTGGAGCAAGGAAGACGAAAACTATACAAGCTTTTCATATATGGAGGCGAAAATCGAAAAGACTCGAAGGACAATGCGATCATAACTCGATTAGCGGAGAGGCGGGGCGTCCCAGTCACGATTATCCCAAACGAAGATCAGAGATTAATGGACAAGATGAGCATGGGCCGGCCGCACAACGGCTTCGTTCTAGAGACGTCGCCGCTACCTCGATTACCGGTAAAGTCATTAAGCAAACTCGAAGAAACGCCGGGAAAGCTAGGATTTCATGTCGAACTAGACTACCAATCAAAGGAAGAGGAAGCGATCAACGGGCAAGATACGTTTATACCTCGAAAGAACGACAATGCGCCAAAGCCCTTTGTTCTTTTACTCAATGAGATTCTGGATCCGGGCAACCTAGGAGGCATTCTGCGAACAGCGAGTTATCTTGGTGTCGACGCTGTGGGCATCACAAATCGCAGCTCGTCCACCTTGACTCCGGTTGTGCTCAAATCCGCGGCTGGTGCCGTGGAAGAGATTACGATATTCAGCGTGGATTCACCTGTGAGCTTTATAGAGGAATCGAAAAAAGCAGGGTGGAAGACATACGCCGCCGTCGCGCCGCCTGACCCCAAACTCATGCAAAGACACGACAAATTCATCTCCACGGCCAACGTTGAGGCAGAACGGCCACTGGCCAGCCATCCTTGCATATTGGTGTTGGGGAACGAAGGACATGGCCTGTCTAAACCAATCAAGGTAGCAGCTGACTATGAGTTGTCAGTGCCATATTTCGTGCGCAACAGCAGCGTGGACAGCCTGAACGTCAGTGTTGCTGCTGGCTTGTTATGCCATTCCTTTGTGAGGACGCCGTTTGTTACAGCGTCAACGCCCACGAAAGCTCGGGAAGAGACGTCATCGCATCCCGAACTGGAAACCGGGAAAGATGAGAAAGAAACCATGTTTTGAAAAGGATATTATATAGAGCCAGCATAATGACAGTATGAGAGTATGACATGTATATAGAAATTTCGGCGAGCTGTAAGATAACGATGTATATATATGTATACCTACATGGAGGCCATAGTTTTTAACCCGAAGTCAGCTACCTGATCCATTTTGGCTGGTGGTAGCCATCGAAGAGGCTACACTAGACACTTCTACACTCTTAAAAAAACCAAATCATCAGGCTGATAACAACGTGTATACAAGTACATTTTTATTAAAGCTAAATGTGATTTTTCATTTTTTATTCATCTTGTCTCCTCAGGAAATTACAGTCACCTCTCCTCTAGGCCAAGCAAAGCTGTTCCGTCCTTTGTAACGGCTTAGCTGCAGCGGCCCACTAAAGCGCGGGCTAAGCTGGTTACCCCAGCCACCCGCTTGTTTGTATTGATGCATTGGCGCCAGCATCACCAGCTGGAGGTGAGCCAGGGCTGGTTGGTTTTGCATGGATCGCTCGTTAGTTTCTTTCGAGTAGTAGCTGAGAAAGATCGGTCTCTTCCGTGCGCATTTGCTTCTTTTAGTTTCAACATTTCGCCTCTCCATCTGCATTCTTCAATTGAGGCCTCATCTCGCCGAGACAACCACAGGCGTTGACCGCTCCCACCATGACATCCATTCCCAGGATGCTTGTCTTACCAACGGCCTTTCTCGCCTTGGTCGCAGAAGTGGTAGCAAATCAACCACTAGCCACTGCGATCAAGAAACAGCTTCCAGATGCGAACGAGAAGCTATTTCCCGACCACCTAGCTTTTGAACCGCTGCCGGCACTGAACCCATTCGAGACGACCGTCGCAACGAACCTTTGGCTCGATGACCAGGAGGACAAAGATGCCAGCTCCAGCAATTCCACAAAGCGATACCACCCCGCCTTCTCATATCACTTTCAGGAATCAGAAGAGGATTTGCTGAAACGCGCCGCAGATGTCTTGGTGATTCTCCAGAACCGAGCGGCATGTCCCTCGGGAATGGAGAGCTGCTCAAGCATTGGCTCGCCAGATAAATGCTGCGCGGATGGAACATACTGCACAAATGTATCTGATTCCGACTCTGAGCAAATTGCCTGCTGCCCCGATGGAGCTACCTGCGGAGGAGGAGTTGGCGCCTGTCCTTCGGATGCTGTGAGCTGCCCGTCCGAGCTTGGTGGCGGCTGTTGTATTCCTGGATATGTCTGCCAAGGCGTTGGATGTGAGTGAAGAAGAAATCCCACCGGTGTCTGTCCGTCATGGTGTCAAGGCTAATGAAAGGAACCCGCACAGGCGTCCCCAGTGCTTCAGCAACTGGCATTCCATCGTCGACGGCACCACCGCCTCAAACCACGCCCCAGACTCGTTCAACCGCCGCTACAGGTAATCCATCAGCCGTGACAGTGACGCTCGTCGTCACCGAAACATCAGTCCCTCCTCCGGTCACGCAAACGTTAACAATAACAGCCACAGGCCCTGGAACCGAGACCGCAACGGGAGCGCCGCCATATAGACCAACGGATGCTACTTCTACCTCGTCTTCTGCCTCCAGTTCAACCTCCTCTGCGCCAATGACTACGACTCAGTCAGGCGAAACTCAAACCGGCTGTCCAACTGGCTTTTACGGTTGCCTGGCCACTCATGGAGGCGGATGCTGCCGAACCGATCGCGATTGCCAGACATTATCCTGCCCAGCGCCATCTTCAACCATCATCTCCCATGGCGTCACCGTGGTTGTCCCTGCAGGCGACGTGCCCACCGCGACGGCATCGGATAAGTGTGCAAGCGGCTGGTTTCTCTGCGGAAAGGACGCAGGATCCGTGGCTGGATGTTGTCCCAGCGGGTACAAATGCGGCACAGCAAGCTGCTTCACCTCTGCAGCCTCGGAGACCAACTCCGTACAGAAGCAAGAGCCCGAAGCTCCAAGTAAGAATGCAGCTTCTTCGGCTGTTTCGAGCAACAGCTTGATAATTATGGGCGGTATTACCGGAACTCTCCTTCTTCTCTTGGGTGTGTTGTAATGACGGAATGAGAAGGGGGTTGGTTCTCTATTTTTTTTTTTCCTATTGTTACTTATTCAGCATTTGACGAGCCAAAATACGGCGCAACGGATATATGACTGTTTCTTAATGTTTTATCTACCTACCTATATAGATGTATTATACTAACGGCAACATTGTATTTGACCACCAACAAGCTCATGACTACCAGCATCTTGCGTAGCCTAAGCCTTGAACTATTTGCCGCAACCTCTTCTCTGTAGATTGTTACTTCCGACAATGCAATTTACTCTCTTTTGCAATATCCCAAAGCGGAGTTTCCAGACTTCTATGTTGGCCGCAAATAGGGAGGAACAGTCACTTAGCGACAAGAGCCATTACACAGCAGGAAAGAGACACGCAGACTTACTCAGGTCTTTTCTCTGCTCGGGCCTCCAACTTAATCACCTTCAACTCTCTCAAGTTTATCCATCCAAGTATTGCTCGCCCGTACTCTTTTGTTTATATACAGAATTTCTTTTCTATCTGCCTTTTTTGGACGTCACAAAGCCAAAGCATCATAATCCATCATAAACTCGCAGCTTCTATCGTCAAAAATATTCACCATGAAATATCACGCCGCCACCATGCTTGCTGCCGCAGCTGCAGCTCTGCTTTCCACCGTCTCTGCATCCTCCACTGTGGTTTGCACAGAAAACGAACTTGGCAACTCCGGCCAGTCAGATGTCTGCCTGGTGGACAATGTGTCGCCAGAGCCAGAAAAAGGCTATTTTCTTCCATGTGTTGAAGTCATCTTCAGAGACAACACATGTCACTTTGTAGCAAGTGAGCCCGATTACACCAAGGCCCACGATGAATGTCAGTGCAGCGGAACCACTTTCTCTGCGTGGGTCGAGTGCCAGAAGTGCCTCTTGGACCATGGCTTTCATAACGAAGACAGTGTTTACTGGAGCAAAATACTGGATGCGGCATCAAAAGCTTTGTGCACTGAAACTCCAATTGCTGCTACCGCCTCAAGCTTGTCTACACCGGTCCAAGCAGGGACAGTTATTCCTACACCCACCACGCCTATCAGCGATGATGGCTCCAACCAGCTTCCCATTGAAACATTCAAGGGCTTGAACCAAACCGCAGTCGCAACACAGGGGCCTGGGGTGCTCAACCAAACAGCTACTCCCACTGCAGGGGCTGTAGGGCCTCAGAAGACTTGCATTGAAGATTTCAAGAGGCAAAATGTCACCACTGTAGCTTCAGATTCATCTACCCCAACAGTTCCAATCATTCCCATTTTCCCAACTAACACATTCACATCTGCCGATAGCATGGAGCCACTTGCTACAACTAGCGACTGGCTGCTTCCGGGGGGGCTTCCGGGGATGTTTCCTTCATCCGAAACATCTGACGCCGCCTCCTCTTCCTCATTTGGGAAGTCTGGTTTAGCTGTTGCGATTGCTGGCGCTATTATCATGGGCTTGTTGTGACGGGGTGAGCACCATGGAAGTGTTGGGATATGTGGTATAGGCGTTGACTGGCAAATGGGATGGGATTCAATTGTATCATAGCGCCTTAAAAGGCGTTCTAGTAATCAATTATGAGTTATGCACCTTCAATTTCATGACATACGTCTGTATGTGATACAGCATAGAGAAAATGAGTCCCCAACACTGTGTATAGCAGAACCAATTCGCCAAAATTTTGATTTTTATGCCTATGAACCAGTATTCGTTTATAATTACATTATTTTTATTTTACTTTTCCCTTCACTGGTTTACTCTGGCATGAACTTGAAAGATTTGGGCAGATTCTCCTGGCAGAAAGGCAATTTGCTGGCAGTCCAGATTTCGGTGTCCTATTTGTGATGGGTTATTACACACGAGTTTTGAGGTATGAGGATGGGTAAAACTAACAGGCTTCAAGAGCTTCTTAATCTCGCTATCGAGAGTGCCGGCTTTGAGAACGCTAATGGCTCGGTTACCTGCAGGCTCGTGGGCGATGGGAGAGCCGCACTCGGAGCAGAAGAGTCGGTCGACATTGTTTCCAGAGTCGGCCTTGCCGGTCCACTTCTTGATGGGGCCGTTGATGGTCAGCTTGTCCCTGGGGACGATGGCGACGAGAGCTGGCCAGGGATTGAGTTAGCAATAGTTTCGACATAATATAACGTGTTCTAAAGAGAAGCACAATGATACTGAAACTTGAAGGGAATATTTTGCATACAGTAGGTTGAGCCAGTCTGGCGCTGGCAATCGTCGCAGTGGTCGTAGCCGGTGGCGAAGGGTGCATCGACGTCGACCGAGTATGTGACGGCTTTGCAGAGACAGTGTCCAGTGAGAGGCATGGTGGCTGGTAGAATTTACACGATTTTCGAAAAGTAATTCGTTATTTTCTGTAAAGAGGAAAAGAAGGTTAGAAGAGTCAATGAGGAGCTGGAAGATGTGAATGTTTCCAAGAGATGCGTGGCAGCGAAGATATATAGTAGCTCATAGCTAGAAAGAACGAGCTACTACAAGCTTTGCAGATCCATTGGCGGGGTATTCGCAACTGGTGGTTGGAGCATACCGAGATGTATTTCAGCTTTTGGCGGGGCTGTTTGAGGCACGGCGCTGTCGATGACGTGGGATTCAATCAGGTTGTGAGGTGGAGCTATCGCTGTTGGTGGCCTGTTGGTTGAAGCTTAGCTAGAAGGACTGGAGATGCATATTGTTTGGATGGAGAGAATCATTGGTCTTTATATCTTTTTTGTGCCCTAGTCAATGTCCCTGCTTTTTGTTTTACACATTCGGATAATGCGGTATTCTTCCATAATCCCGTCATTGGAGAAAATATCCAGCGCCCAAGCCGGTTCATGCCAGAACGTCTACATTCCCAATCCAAAGATTGGCGCAAAGTAGTTCAGCTTCCTGGCTCGCAGTGCATGCTTGGCACTATTCCCCGTTCGATGTCGCTGCAAGCAATATGGCCACGGGTCTCGCCAGCTATTGGCTGCAACTATTTGTCATGAGTTGTTTAGGGCCAAAAGTGGCTCCCAGACTCCAGCCAATGCAGCATATCAAATAGACAAAACATCTCAAATACTAATAGAATTTGGAATGAGCTGCAGGAGGGCCCGCTCGGTCGTTACGCTGGAGCTTCTGATTTTGCCTCCCGTTGCAACTATGTATGTAGATCGGCTATTGCATCCATGCTGGAATGCCGCAACGTGGCAGCTTGTAAATCTTGGGTAGCCGTGTGCTGACAGTTGTGGGCTTCCCCTTAGCAGACCAGAAACTCAAATCTTTTTGCGGGCCTTTGATATGATCCTAGCTAATACAGCGTCAGCCTTGCCAGTATTTTCCAACAGAATGCGACTCGTATAACATAGAATAGATAGGCGGTAGAATTGGTAAATACCTTCCGACGGATAGATGCTTCGGCGGATGGAAAACGTCGTGTATGCAGAGGTCGGCCAACTAAATAGAGACACGATATGCAATAGACTTTAGATGACCTCGTAGTTGGTAGTTGGCCCGAGAAGTTCCTGCATCTAAATCCTTATATGCAGCGCTAAGTGCGAGTAGTGAGATCCTTCGGCGCTGAGAAGAAAGATGCCAACCACCAGGCCACGCCAAAACGCCCGATCAATTCCAATGTGTAGACAATCTCGGTCATTCCAAGGAAAAGCCAGTCGGCTACGAATATTCGGACCAGTAGAGACCGGTATGAGCCTCGAGTTTCCTTACTAGAGTGCCCAAGAACAAATGCGTCCATAGGGGATATTCGAAAGCTTCGAACGTCTTCTGCGCTGATTGTGGGCTTAGCTATGTCGGCCGAAGTCATTGGGCGCACAATCCTTGCTGGACAACGTCGCAACTTTTGGATCAGCTTGAAATACATAAAGTCCACGAAACTCGATACTTGCAGTGGCGGAGACTGTTGCTTCAAAAAAAGTTTGGGTAATATCTCAGGCTTATCAACCCAGATGGTGTGGTTTTCAGCCATTTCGCCGAATATAGCTTCGAAGTCATGGGCGAAATGAACAAATCGAGAGTAGAAGACAGGCGTCAGAATACGGATCTTCAAGTGTTGTGCTTGCTCTGATTGACATGACGCTTTTGAGGAAATGAACGTTTCTTCTCCACTTTCAAGGATTCCGCTCGGTACGTATGTCACCATTAATGGATTTGGCGATTTTTCGACAAGAAAACGTAGATATTGGCGAAAAATTGGCTCCAGCCTCCTCTCATTGCCATTCGCCAGCCTACCAAGGCTATCTTTCAAAGGCTCTGGTCGGTACCAAACATGAAGCTGATGAGAAAAGAATAAGGAACCTGCTTCTTTGACGATTCTGGGGAACGTTAAAAATCCGACCCAAAACCATGAGAAAATGAATTTTATCCTTTCCAGTAGGCTCATCTGCGAAGCTATGATGGCTTCGCCCTCAGAGCGCAATTGAGCGAAAAGCTTAGACTGCCCTTGGGATGAAGTGAGGTTGATGGTGATGTCTACTCCACAGAAGTTTCTCATACTATTTTCGAATGGATCCTTGGCCAACAAGGAATAAGATCCATTACGAGAGTTGAACGGAGAAACATGGAAGTCCTTTTTCCATGAAGCTTTTATTTGCGTATCAGAAGGGTTTGAATGGATAGTCCCAGGGGCAGAAATCCGAGTAGCGTCTTCTGAGGTGTCACGCAAGACCAGGTATGGTCGTCGCTCGCCAAAAGTATTATTCACCTCTAGTACGATAGCGGAGAGAATTTTATCAGGAGAATACAAGTACCAGAACGAGACTGGGTTGAACTGATATCCTAGAAATTTTGGCGCGGTAACGAGAAAAGCAGACGGATAGCTGGCCGGGTTCGCGCCCTACAGCAGTCAGTTTACATTCGTCCATAAGTTTCTCTCTTTCGTCACACCTGAGATTCAAGATAATTATCCAGTTTACCGCGAAGTCCGAGTTCATGACTGCTTCTTTCCAGATAATCTCTTGCGTCCACGCGGAACCAATTGTTCATGCGCCAAATACCAGATGGCCAGGCTATGGGGATGTCTGGTTCATCAACGGAGATCATGCCATCGACACTCCCTCTATACCCCACGGGTATACCAACAGTTAAATAAGAGTAAGAAAAGCTATGTTTCTTAGGCCTTTTTCTTCTATGTGTTACTCGAGAAGGTATTAGGTAGATCCCAGTCGGATCATCCTGATGTTGGCTGACATCTCTCAATATGATCCCTAACCCATAATAGCCTGCCCAAATAGCGAAAGCCAACACTGTTGTGCCAAGAATATATTTGGAGCGGGCTAGATTATGGCATATGGGTAAGAGCAAAGAGCGTAGATTCCAAGTGGCACACATCAGGAAAAGAGTACGGTCAAGCTGATGATATGCTCCGTGCAGAAGAAGGACAACAAAGGGTAACACAAGTGACCAGTAACTCTCTCGCGCTCTGTCAATCCAATCTGCGACAGTTATCACAGCATTGAACGGCGAATCGTCCGCCAAGCTGTCCATAATGATTAATTGGAGGCCAGTGATGTCGTACTTGGAATAAGCCAGACCTCGAAAGGAACATGTTCTAGAGCCATAGTCAGCCTCTAGAGATAGGGAGGCTATCAAAATAGCAGCAAGCGCTGAGATGCATCAGAGATGTCCAATGAGACGGGAAAGTAATGGTGATGAGCATCTCTTCCAGAATAGACATGCGTTTTCACGTAATATTCTCCATATTGCCTGCTCGTTTGCAAGGCAGAGAGTTGCACTGCAATCGTACAGAATCACACAACGAAGGAAGAAATCACGAAGAGGGGTTTGGTCAGGAGAATGATGGAAATTACCTCTGAAATCCGGTCAACTACCCATCAAGGTGCCTCTCAGCTCAGCGTCGCTGTACATTCGCTATTCGGCAGATGGCCTTAGTCATCTCGATTGGCGATGCGCTGCGCTCTGCATGCCGTCATCCACAGCCAATCGACGCTATTAGGTAAGCCGGGGTACTCTAGCACCTTCCATGGCAAGGGCGGCGATGCGCGAAAAGCCCCACGGAGGCGCCGTCGACTAAATCTGTCTTGCCGGTTGAGTCAGATTGCAGCCCTTCTTCCACTCTCAATCTCACACGTTGCTCCAAGGATATATTGCCGACCGTCGCAGGACTCGTCGCCTCTTCCAACTTTGCTCTTCCATTAAACATTCCATTGAATTCAACGTTTATATACCCGACTCTTTAATTGAGCTGCTCTGTTTTCGCTACACGACCGTCTCAAATCAAACATCACTACCCTTTTTTTGACCGCTTCACCACATCAACTCTACCACCATGTCTGAAGATTGGGATTCCGCCACCAAGATTGGAAGCCGCGTTCGCGGTCCCGGTGCCTCGGACCGCGAGACCGTCATCCGTGGAAAGAGTGCGCTGAACGCTGCCCAGAGATCCGGTGCTGCCATCAGCACAGAAAAGAAATACGCCAGCACCAACTCAGTATGTCAAGCGCCCATCTAAGATTGACTGCAATTGTCTGCAGAAAGTGGAGCTAACAATGAATTTCTTAGGGTGGCAGCAGTGAGGGTCAGCGTCTTACCAAGGTCGACCGCTCCGATGATATTATCAAGCCCAAGACAGTCGGAAAGGAAGTCGGAAAGGCTATCGAGCAGGCCCGTCAGAAGTTCGAGCCCACCATGACCCAGGCCGAACTGGGCAAGAAGATTGGCGAGACATCAGCGACCGTCGCTACATACGAGCGTGGTACTGCTACGCCTGACCAGACCATTCTCTCCAAGATGGAGAGAGTGCTCAATGTCAAGCTGCGGGGCGCTAACATTGGCGCCCCGCGCCTGGGCCCCAAGAAGAAATAAATGCAGAGGAATGAATGAAAGGGATAGGAAGGGGAAGTGAGAAGTAATGTGCCACAAGACAAGATGCGACGACACATAGCGTGGCTTTGTTGTGTCTGTGGATATTGCGTACGCGGTGCGCATTAACAATGAAAACAAAAGGAGTACAAAGCTGTTTCAATAGATGGGTTATGGTTCATTCCTGCTCGTACAGCAGAGAAACAGGATGTATTGGTCCGGTTCACGCAGGATATTTTGGCGTTTTACGTGGGATGATCAAGAATTTAGAATTCAGAATGTGGACAAACACCCAATTTTGCCTGCAAGTTCATTTTTCCTTCACTTTTGCTTCACTCGCCTTTGAACATGTGTCCATTGTGAAATTGACAGTGTTTTCATGATTTATATATTTAACACAATATCCGACGTAATTTTTTTTTTTTTTTTCTCCATCAAGTCTTCCACTATACACGCTCATCCATTGCACACGCTCATCCATTGCACACGCTCATAAAATGGCGTCCGACAACTCCAGAGTTAAACAAATTGAAGAAAGCATCATGAATCGAAAGAGAGAGCTGAAGGGCTTGTCTGGCAGCTTCTCATCCAACATCGGCCAGCGTATCTCGCCTTCTAACCTACAAGACAGCGCCAGCATATCCCAAAAGAAGAAGAATCGTTCTGTCAAATCCATCATAGCTTGGCTCGAAGAAGCAATAGCCAATAATGACCCATCAAGAAATTCTGGAGACGATGTCAAATCAGTTCGCTCGGCCGGTACAATATCATCGGCTGGTTCGAATTCCTCGCTTCTCAGTCGACAGACTATGCCTGGGGCAGCAGATGTGGAGGAATACTCCTTGACGTTACTGAAGTACAAGCAGTACTATACTGATGTCCCACTAGGGAGATGTCTGGACGGCCAAGAACAGGATAATGCGACATCGAGCAATGTTCACAATAAGAATGTATCCGAAGAAGTTAGTCTAGTACAGGGATCACAAGATAGTACACTAGAATTCGACATATTATCAGCTTCGGATCAGCAACTTTCCAGGCTTAGCCGCTATCTAGACTCGGTACTGGTGGATGGTGAGGAGCCGAATAGTACGGCTATCGGTGGACATGATGGTGTTTGTGGCCCGGAAGAGATTCATTTTCATCGTCGAAGTCCTCAAGAGGTGTTGGCATTTTAGAAGAATGTTCGATCGCAGCTAGAGATTTCGGAGGATGAACTAGAAGATTAGTTGGATATGCTTCGATTAAATGTAAAAAAAAAAAGCACATCTTAGCTCAATTTGCGCTGACAATAGACTGAGTAGCTACATTCATAAGGAGAATCTACTCTATTAATTTTTTTATGCATTTTCAACTTCATGCCTTCTTCATAATGCTATGGGTTACGGGCGTGTGCAATAACTCTGTTGTTACTGATATGCAGGGTAGACGTACAAGAAATGACCAAACTAGCAATTTGGAGCTGTGGGACTGTGGCGATGGCGGTTTCTGAGCTTCAGTTGCTATTATTATCCAGCTACCTAGCTATAAATTTAAACTTTCTTCAGAAAAAAAATTAATACATGTGCCAATAGCATCAGATAGTTTTCTATACGTGAATTTCTCTTCCTAGGCATTGGGGGCGGCCGTTCAAACCCAGCAGACAGGTTGATGCTGGATCGTTTTACTAGCCATTCGCGTGCGAAAGACTGTGGCTCGTGTCCTTGTGGTCTCCGATGGTCTATCATTTCGCCCCATTATAACATAATAACTCGCTGCGTAAATTGATACTCGTCTATGATTACGCCTTGGCTGAATACTTGGCTGCCGCCTTATCGAATAGGCTGCTCTTCTCTTCCAAGTCCAATAACAGCTGGTGGTTGGGGTTTGCCTGCTTCAGTGATCTGCGACCTGTTAGCAGTGTGTTCTGTAACAAAGAATAATGAAAAACATACTCGACAAGCTCGTCAGTGTTGTTCCCGGAAATGGAGTTCAAAACCAATAAATTGGCAATGCCTTCAGCGTTCTTTGGGTCCTTTTGTACGGCAAGCTCCAAGGCAGACTGGGCCTCCTCAAGGCGGCCCAGATGTATCTCGCAAACTGCCTGTGCGATGAGGCTGGGTACTGAGAAAGTTGAAGAGCCCTGTGCAAGCTCCTCATAAACGTAGAATGCCTGCTGGTACTTCTCGCCGCCCTATTGAACCTTAGCATTTATACCTCCAATCATTCTGTCAATTGCCCTTACCACTCGGACTCCAACCCAAGCCTCTGCCAGGTTTACCAGGAGACTGTCTTGTGCCCATCTTCGTGCGGCAGTCACTTCCTTCAGGGCTAGGTCGGTTCGGTTCTGTTGTAGGTGGATCTGGACTATTAAGGCGACAGCGTCCACTGTACAAAATCTGTTAGCATCTTTGGTATAATTGTGCAATGCTGATATGACTCACAGCTTCCTTGGTGTTGCGAAAGCAGCGCGAGTGCCTCCTCGGACTTTCCAGCTGCTTGTAGAACCGTGCCGCCGACAACCTGGACGGTAACGTTATCGGCTGCTGATGAAGCCAGCTTCTCAATCGTCTTCAGTGCTGAGTCGGTCTTCCCTAGAGTGTATTCGGCAAGAGCGCCGACAGCTTCTAGGTCGGGAACGGCCTCACCCTTGACATCTGCAACAACATCTTCGGCCTGGCCAAGGGCGATGCGGGCTCGGAGCTTCAGTACTCGCACGGGCAGCTCATTCTCAGCAGAGAAGGATGATGTGTCGAAGTCGATGACCTCCTGGTATTGTGACTGGTAGAAGTGGGTGTGAATGTTGATCAATTCACCTTCTGTAGAATATGGGTCCATTTTGGCGATTGGCGATTCTGGCGATGTTGCGTCTTGCTGTCTCTAAAGAGAGGATACCATCATCAGCCATAACTGGCCTTCCAGCTCAATCGCTCCAATGGTGGGGTCCCCTGACAGGGACTCCACGCGCCACACTCGAGTGGCTGGTGTGAGTTTTTTTCTGCCCAATAAATGAGGCATGGATTCTGACTCACCCAGTAAGCCACACTTCGTTATCGAAGCCCCAATCAGGAATAGCGTTGACCCTATCGCCCACAAAGCGAGAAATCACCAAACTCGCCCAAATTTCGCTTTACTCCGGAACTTTGCATCACCAAACACTCAAGTAACGACACCGCACACCGTCGTCAAAATGGTACGTTTATGGCTGCTATCACCATCGATGCTCAGTCGACCCCTTTGATATCCGATTTACGAAACACGATCCTTTCGAATGTTTGCATCCGCACGATGGCAGTCTTCGCGATTGAAAACGACAATTTTTCTTGCATCGAATCTCTGCGGGGGAGGAACCGGGGAAATTATCATGTCGCCATAACGGAAGAAATATTCGCGGAACATGAGCAATTCCATCGTTAAAATTCGAGCGCTCTAGTTGTTTGATGTTGGAATATTGATCAATCGACGAAGACTGCTTTGTGCCGGACAACGACCGCTTCGACTTGCACCGTCACTTTGAGCAACCACCGCGACCCGATAGATGGCTGACATATACTCGGATTAGGTCAACATTCCCAAGACCCGAAACACCTACTGCAAGGGCAAGGAGTGCCGCAAGCACACCCAGCACAAGGTCACCCAGTACAAGGCTGGCAAGGCCTCCCTGTTCGCCCAGGGTAAGAGACGTTATGACCGGAAGCAGAGCGGTTATGGTGGTCAGACAAAGCCCGTCTTCCACAAGAAGGCCAAGACCACCAAGAAGGTCGTCCTGCGGTTGGAGTGCGTCAAGTGCAAGACCAAGTTGCAGCTGGCCCTGAAGCGATGCAAGCACTTCGAGCTCGGGTATGTGATGAGCGAAACCCTGTTGAGGGACCTTTTTTTTTTTTGTGCGTGGCGTTGCTAACTATGGCTACAGTGGTGACAAGAAGACGAAGGGTGCTGCTCTGGTGTTCTAAATGCGTTGTTTTCCGGTCTTACCAATTCTCATGCTTCTCCTTGCGGCATATGGGCATCATGGAACTTGGCGAAGGGGGGTTACTGGTCCTTGATTAGAGGACGGCGGCTCATAGGAAACGAAATAAAAAGATTTCTTCATGACCGCATTCATGCGATTGTACTGGGATATGCCTCGCAGTGTTAAGGTTGGAAAAGCCAAGCTGAGATAGTATTCTAATTCACTACGACCTGGTGTCTCTTGCTGGGCAACCTCTAGTTCACGGGACAAGACTCAGACTAGCAAACATGAAAGATGAGTGTCAATCAATTCAAAAGGGAGATGATCCTAATGGCATGTGTATTCCCGTTTGTCTTTTGCATCGCTATCTACGTCTTGTCTACCTGATTCTAGGATATGTCTAAGAATAAAATCTAAGTCTAAAAGCCCTCGCCCAGCAAAACACTGCGGCCTTGCCCATACCACACAGCGCCATTACGAATATCAAGTCCTCTTTCTTGCCCAACGATCCACTCACCAATAAACTGAGCATCTTTCTGATCCCAAATCTCGTTCTCTAGCCAGCTATTGATGTCATCGATGGCCTTGACCCACTTCTCTCTCTTTTCAGGAGTATCATGCTCTTCATCTGTCAAGTACCTGCCCAGAGTAATATGAGCGCTGGGAACCTGGTATCGGGATCCAACCTCGATGCCCGCATCCTTGACCTTGTCAAAGATGTCTCGTCGGAGGTGGTGATATGTGTAGTCGTCTCCCTGGATCACAGCACCAGCAGAAACATCAGGGGCAACTGGGGGCGGTGAAACAGTAGGCTCACCAGAAGATGGGAGAAACGAGAGAGCAAAAGCAGAGAGGTCATATGATACCATGGGCTTGACAAGACGAGACCGGTGGGTGTGGGTATATGAAGCAATAGAGGGAATGGCAGGACGTAAAGCAGAGACGAGCGAGCCAATCTCCGGGGGGGTTTTTGAGAAGGCGACCTCAAGAGTCGTCATATGCATCCTGTGAGGGGGCATGAGCCAGATTTCTACGTGGATGTATTAGCTGTCACTGGCTCTATGATATAATGTAATTTTATTTAAAACAAATACTCACTTGGCGAAGCCTGTTGGAGACGAGCTTGAATCTTTGCGGCCAGCTCGATAATGTGGCTTGGAGGGCGAGCCCACACCGTCAAGCAGTTGCGCTCATCGACGAAGCCAGGCTCTATTTCCGGGTTTTCAAGGCGAAGGAGGCATTGGTCAATTACGAGCTCCTTGTACTCTGGAGACAGGAACTTTTCCTTCTGGAGAGCGTTGCGCTTGGTGCGATGAGCATTGTACAACGCTTGAAGTTCTTGCTGCAGAAGATGGATTGTTAGGGTTTCATATATGACTATAGTTTTTCAAGAATGTTTATATATATATATATATAAACTTGGATATATGAGCAACTTACAGGCTTGTTATCGCAGGCTCGGATGAAGGCCTCGTATGGGTTCTCGCCCGGTTTCAAGACAATCCCAGACAAGTCTTCGAGCTTATTTTTAGCATCGGTGGAATACAGTATGCTTCCCATGGTTGCTCAGTTTTCCTTTCTTCTTGTTGTAAATGAGTTGATGAATAAATCATCGATCTGCAATTCTACGACACGCGTGCTCTATCGTCATGAGTAGTTTTTATTCAGTCGTGCTGCGCCCTTGGGCTCTCAGGCGACACGTACTCCCCACTCTCGCAGATGTGAAGCGGTATATGGCATGACTAAGCAGCCAATGAGGCGTTGCGAAGCCAGCCCTTGGCGAGCCCATGCTGCTGTAGCTCGCGGTTACGAAGTTATGAATACGAGTCGGCCGGGAAGTAAACAAACATCCATGTCCGATGCGGCGCTAAACAATGCAAGGACACATTTGTCTACCAGATTAATTAACGTGAATATTGAAGCTTATAGCTTAATTGACCAATCTCTATGGGGTATCTTAACCCGAATGCTAGGCTCGTCTTTGCCGTCTGAGATAAACTCGAGCAGCTGACAGTCTTCAATCGCAACACCACTGGCAAATTGCGATACCACAAAATCCAACCGTGTCCCCGTCTGCCCCAATACCACCATCGGAGAATGCCATGTCCCTGCACCGTAAGTAACAGCCTGGCTGTTTGTAGCGACAAACGCACGCAGGCGCTTGAGATCCGGGAAGCCCCTCCCGGGTAGCCCATCGCCGCTCGGTACAGGCAAATCTTTATCGTCAGAGCCAGGCGGGAGGCTCGGAGCGACAATCACCAGGTACGATGAAGCGGTAGATTTGATAGGCGTGAATGTTTGCGCCGTGAATGGATGTCGTTCGAGATGGCGCACCGTGAATGTATTTGCCTCCAGAGAAGAGCTCCCGGCGCCGCCCCTTGCTGCGCAGACGAATATGCTCATGATGGGCTCGCCTTTGCCGCTGGGGGCCTGATCGTAAAGATTCTTGAGGCGACTTACATTTCGATACTGGATTGCGGAGCCTTGGTTGGCCGAGAAGGCGTTGGGCGGTAAGGATTGGGCATGAGCGTCGAATGAGGAGGGGTGGACATCGGGCCGTGGGTTGGAGACGACATCTCCAAAGGATGAGAAGGCCTCGTGAGTAAGAGGCTCTGCGGTGATTTGTATGTTGAGAGCGCCGATGTTGAGCTGAATCGCCATGGCGCTGGGTGAAGAGATGAATGATGCGGAGATTGATTCAGCGGACGTAGGGCAGAGATGGACGGTGATCAGAACCTTTAAGCTATACACACTGAAGGGCAACAAAGCGTATTCATTATAAAATATGAAGATAAGAGGCACAGATGGCCGAATCTCAAATCTCCAGATATTGGGCCGTGAAGATGAATCTGCGGTCTACATGGTATGTACATGGATTAGGTATCACGGAAGCTGCCGACCATGATGCGGGCATTGGGCTCCGGTGCCGGACCCGCCCGGCGCTGAAGCGGGTGGCGGCGCCTTTTTTCGATGTTTGGAGTGGCAGAGGCTTGATCTGTCGTATGCGAATGCTACCTTCCTGATGGACTGTGTCCCGGTTGCATTGCAGATTCGATGCATGTATTCGATATTCAACTAAATGGAGGCCCATTTCCAGCTTCTGCAGATTCTCTCCTGTGCTTCTCCATCCACATCATCTTCCAACTCCGCCGCCTTTCTGCTCTACCGACCCCCATGTAGGCCAAGACTCGAGTCGTTATCTCTTTGGGGATCAGCGGTAAAGACTCCGTTATCGCGCGGATACGCGGCCAGCTCTTGTTCCCATCCTAACCCCGCGGCCCCACGACCCAAGCCTCTTGTTGCTTAGCCCTTTGCCGTGGGAAGCAACAGGATTGGCTGTCTTTTGACCTTTTCTTCTTCAGAAGAGTACCTGCAGCTTGAGTTGGTGGGAGGGTCGCTGCTTTTGGGCGGGAGAGCGGCTCGCCCGTGCCGAGCGACTGAGAGGATGGCGAAAAAGTTGACTTGGGTAGCATCATCGACGGAGATTTCGAAAAAAATTGCTTCTTCTTCCTGCACTCGTAATTCTTCGTCGTCTTATACTATTCCCCCCCCACGGTTGTTGCTGATTCAAGTCTTGATATTCTGACTTGAAGTACTGTGCTGCTGCTTCACGTCCACTAATACGAGGAGTTGACGACGAGAGTGGCATTTACAAGCACGACAATACCGCCCACTTTTTTTTTCTTCTTCTTTCGATCTGTCGAGGCCGCGTGACCTCAGGAAATCTGAGATAGATGAGGCACAACGAATCCGATAGCGACGATGATGAGTTGGTCAGCGAAGTTGCCGTCGACACTCAACTTAGAGATTCCCTAGATGCCGAATCCGTGAGCAGCTATGCGGAAAATGGTCCGCTCTCACCCACTACTGCTCCGCCAGTGAGCCAGAACGAAAGCAAGAGACCGGTACCATGGAGCGAATTACCTCGGAAAGACCAACTTTTTATCATTACCATGGCGCGAATGAGCGAGCCGCTTGTCCAGACATCACTGCAGGTGAGACTTACACCGAGCTTGGTGGCTTCACGATATTCAAAGCGTTTGGCCAAACCAGGATCATGAATTTTAAACCTTCCCCTCACCCTATTGTTTTTTTTGTATTTGCAGAAGGAATTTTTTTTTTTTTTTTTTTTTTTTTGAGAATCTTGTAACTCATACTGGGGCTCTTTTCTGCCTGCGTCTCAACGAAAAAGGCCTACATGTTTTACCAGCTTAAATGGTTCGACCCGTCGCTTCCCGATTCCACCATCTCCAGCCAGGCGGGCGTCCTGCACGCCAGCTTCACGGCCTCTCAGTTCCTCACGGCCATGATGTGGGGCCGCATTGCCGATTCGAAACGCGTGGGACGCAAAACGGTTTTGCTCATTGGTCTGTTGGGGACGAGCATATCCTGCTTGGGATTCGGATTCTCGACGACGTTTTGGCAGGCGCTGCTGTTTCGGACGCTCGGCGGTGCTACGAATGGGAACATTGGTGTGATGAGGACGATGTAAGTGCCTTTCCCTTGTACTTGTTTCCATAAGATTTCTCAGGAATGGCTCTGGAAATGCACGATGGTGAGAAGTATATGCTTAAGAAATCAATACAGGATCAGCGAAATCATCCGCGAAAAGAAGTATCAGCCAAGAGCCTTTCTCCTCTTGCCCATGACGTTCAACATAGGCGTCATCATAGGCCCCATCCTCGGCGGTATCCTCTCCGACCCGGCCGGCAGCTACCCCAGTCTCTTTGGCAGCATCCCCTTCTTTGTCAAATTCCCCTACGCAACCCCCAACATCGTCAGCTCCTTCTTCCTGTTCTTTGCCGCTGTGGCCGTTTGGCTGGGCCTTGAGGAAACTCACGATGTCCTGAGAGACGGGCCGCCAGACTTGGGCACCAGGCTCGGCAAGAGACTTGTCACGCACTATCGAAAGCGGTTTGGCACTTCGCCCGAGGCTGAGGGATACTCGACAGTTCCGGCGTCTGATCTTGAGCTGAGGGCGGGGGAAGAGGATGCAGTCAGGAGGAAGTCGACAAAAAGGTACACCCAAAGACTGCCCTTTCGGCGTGTTTTCACGCGCAACGTGCTAGTTACGCTGGTTGCGCAGTTTTTCCTCACGTTCCACGTTGGAACGTTCAACTCGCTCTGGTTCGTCTTCCTCTCGACGCCGACCTCCGAGCGAGAGACTCGTCTGCCATTTTGGTTCACCGGCGGTCTTGGTCTCCAGCCCCGATCCGTCGGTATGGCCATGGCTATTTTGGGCTTCATCGGCATTAACATGCAGCTGTTCCTCTATCCGCACATATCAGCACGTCTCGGCACCATCAAATCGTGGCGATTCTTCCTGCTCTTCTTCCCTGTGGCCTACTTCCTTGTCCCCTATCTCTCCGTCGTGCCAAGCACCGCACCGCCTCCGGAGGCAAAGGCGGGCGTTTTGATATGGATTGCCATTTGCGGCGTTTTATTCTTCCAAGTCACCGGGCGGACGTTTGCGCTGCCCAGCCAGGCGATCCTCGTCAACAACTGCTCGCCGCATCCTAGCGTGCTGGGCACTGTTCACGGGCTTGGACAGAGTGTTAGTAGCGCGGCCCGGACGATTGGGCCCATGGTGGGTGGTGTTGTGTATGGTTTTGGCTTGAACAAGGGCATCATTGGCCTGGTGTGGTGGGCACTGAGTAGTGTTGCTATTTGTGCGTGCTTGACGAGTCTAGTGGTGAAGGAGGGTGACGGACATGAGATTTGGCTAGAAGGCGATAAAGAAGATGAATCTAGTACAGATTGATAGTTTATGCTGCCGCCAAAAGGAGCACCGAGAGATTTATCATTAGACGTTAGAGATTTATAAAAGATGCAGATTATGCGGGCAAATGTCTTTCAAGAATCGCAGAAGAAAAGATCAAAGATAGGACATAATCATAATCTTATTCCCTATTATCCACTTCATTAATATTCATTATTTGTTCCCATGCCCCTCCAACGCCATACTTGCAGACTAGATACCGATTTACGTAAACTCTCTTGGTTTCTGGCTTGAACCTAGGTCAAGAGGCTCATCTTCATAGCTGCTCCTTCCATCACGGGTTCTCCCGCCCCATGAGGCAGCATTCTGGAGCTCACTCTGTGATGACGGAGGCTCATATCCCGGAGGAGGATCATGAGCATACGCTGGGGCTGCGGCAGCGCCTGAGTATGCGCCAGCTGAGTAGGCAGTATTTCGCCATGGTTGTGGCTGTTGCTGCTGGTAGCTGTGGTTGAGACCTTCAAATCCAGAGGGTCCCTGTTGGCGGCGCGGCATCTGGCGCTTGGCCGCCCAGATGACGTATCCTAAGAAGCAAAGTACCAACAGGAAGACGATGCCGAGGACAACGAGAGCGTATTTGCGATCGAGGGCGTAGCCAAATCCACTGAAATATCAGGTCAGAAAACTTTGAGCATAGAGTGGAAGAGAAAAAAAAAGACTCACATATAGCCGTTAGCAGCGCCGAATATCATCACGACTCTCCCGTTCCAGACATGAATCTTGCCGAATTTAGTGGCCTGCTGCGTCTTTCGCCATTTGAGATGATGAAGAACGCCAAGTACGACTTGGCCCAGCATAAGAAAGATGGTGATGAAACCAAGGATCTGATGCAGGGAGTGAAATCCACGAGACTAAAGCGAAAGAGAGAGCCAACATTAATAATACGTTCAATAGGACCCAGACAGAAGAAATGAATGAAGCTTACCCGTCGATAATTGAAGCTTGTCAGGATGCCAAAGGCAAGGCCCGCCAGCACAAGGCAGAGAGCAAAGGTCTGGTTAAACTTGTGAAGCTTGGCCCATTTTTCCGTTCTAATGAGGATTGAGCCCAAAGGAATAAGAAACATGAAGCTAAAGACCATGAACGAAGCGTGCGCAGCGGCCTTCCAGTCGTAATTGCCCGTAGATCGGCTGTTCAGCGTCGTGCCCTCATTAACCGAGTCCTCGGTTAAGACTGGCATATCAGCTCGGCCTTGCGTTCGCTTCATATCAATTGTAAAGGTGCCGTGCTCGCTGTGCATTTTGAGGCCTGCATTTGGGTCGTCGCCAGTAAATCTCTCCTTGGGACCCAGAGCGTAAATCGCCTGTTGGTTGGGGGACGACACGTCGATGTAGCCTTTGGAAGTCCCGCCGGCGGGCCAACTTCGACAGTGCTCGCTGCAGACAGCGTTGAAGGTCATGTAGCCATCCTTGACGCCAGTGCCGTTGAATGTCTGGAATTTGAGGTCGGGATAGTATTTGGGCTCGTAGTTGCCGTAGGCGAGACGAGGAGAGAAGGTGACGTTGTTTTCGTTGTTGTCGCTGCGGTAGAGAATCAGGAACAGGGCGCCAGCCATTTCGTTGCTGCCGAGGCCGATGGCACCCCAGGAGCGCTCTGTAGACACGCGCAGGCTGAAGTAGATGTCTGTATTGCCATTATCGGGGACGGTGAAGGCGAAGGCGAGGGTGCCGTCTGGGCTGATGAAGGTTGACTGTCCCGTGGGGTTGTTGGCGTCGTCGGCACGAGCCGAGCCTGCTGCAAAGGCTGTATATCATCGTTGGTCAGCGACTTTGTCTGGGCATACGGAGAGCAGAGGCAGCCAACAAAGGCACAAGCACAGCACACAAACACATGGGAAATTCTCACCAGCGACCGTCAGCGCGGCGCGCCACAGATTCTTCAACAGCATCCTGTTTTCCTGGGACAGCTTTTTTTGCCTTTTTCTTCTTCTGTAGATGTAAAGCGACAACGCTCGCTCCGAATAACAATCAAATAAACAAGTGCAGACAACAATGGTGCAAGGCTCAGCTCCCAGCACTTCCACTTTCTGCGACTTGGTATCGCTACCAGTGCAGCTGGGATGAAAGGAATGTGGTTTTGGCGAGCTTGGAGAAGTTCAGCTGCTACGACGAGAGCAGCAGCTCCATCCGTTATAAGGCTGCGTCGTACCACTAAACCGATCCAGAGCAGTGCAGTAGATGGTACATGCAGCGCGGCGCATTTCCCTGCATGCGCCGCACGGGACAGGTACAGGTACCTTTTAGTAGGCGGCTCAGCCGTGTCTCTGTTCCTGTTTACCGTCCTTGGCTCTGTTTTAGGTGCTAGATTGCAGCTGCTTTCGCATTCGTGCAGGGCAAAGGAGCTGCTGATGTTGATGTCAACGATGCATCATGAGTTCCGTATGCGTGTCAATCTGCCGCCTTTTGCTGATGATCTTTTGTTTCCCCATCTTCCCCTCTTCAACACGGCACCAGCAGGCAGTACTAATTTTTCACTTGTGTTTGTCTTTGCGCGTGTTTGGTGCAGCGCAACCAGGGCCCCAATCCCGATTTTCTTCGCATGGAGATCCCTTTCGCGAACTCCAGTTTAGTTCAAGGATAGGCTGCGGAGGGAGCCTATTGCTGGCTTGCGATTGGCCCCTTTGACGGCGCGATTCCTTAAGCAGCGTAAGCTACGGTTACTATTTAATCTTGCTGCGCCGTTACATGCAAGGAGACAAGCGAATCTGTGGAGTCGCGAATACGAAGCACTGATTAATCCGGCCAATGCTGTGCAGCTATTTCGCTATCTGACGTAGACGGAATTGGGATTGGGTGTAAGATACTGGAGAGCAAGCTCGGCTGATGGCTAGAACCATTATACTCTCGGAATAAAGCCAACGACATGAGGCCCATATTGTGCGCACATTCGTCCAAACTGGAGTATGAGTGAGTTCTGGGCTTGTAGAACGTTGTGAATACATGTATATAGTAGGTGCTTGCTGCAGCGAGAATCTTCTCACAGGCTCTTATGTTCTCATTGACCAGTCCTTGAATCGCAAAGAGTCGATGCTAGATATCCTACTCGGTTTACAAAGATGGAACAATACACTATGGTAGGTAGTGTCAACATACTGCTCAAAAAATGTTGAGGATTAAGATTATGCAGTTAACCGAGCGCATCATCGATTGTTGTAGGCCCCAAGCCCCTAAGCCGCAGTCAATTGAGTAGTTGAGGACGAGAAGCGAGGCGAATACAAAAACTAACTATTGTGTTCTTTGCAAGCGGGCATTTTATCATATATTCCCAACTTTCTAATGAATTCAATTGCTGCGGACAGTGTGTTAGTCCCCGGGTATAGCCACTCTCTTCCATCTGTAGGCATCTGTAGGCACTTTAAGATACTCCTGTGTCGTTTTCTTTATATTCTGTGGTGTTTTTACACTGTATCCTTGATCCTGGCGAGCTTATATATAGGTACATGTGCTTCATATAGTAGGAACATGCATACTGTGAATACCAAGGCACAGATTGACAAAACATATATTCTTAACCTGCTTGGTCTATCATGAACGACATGAACTGCGAAACGGAGGCCGCTTGGAAGGAAAAAAACTAATCATACATTTAGGGGAAATATATCAAACAAAGAAAACTCGTTTACATGCTCTCGTTACACCACCGTTCAAACCTCTCAAGTCCATATGATACAATAAGCGTGGCATGACAAAACTCATCCACGTCCGACGGCCTGGCGCTGGTAAACAATTGATTCCCATCTATGCAGCGCACGCTATTGACGAGATTATTCTGGTATTGATTGAACCAAGCGAGCGGCGATGACGCCTCCCATAGGCCTGCGCCGCCTGAAAACATGATGCCTCCGGGGCAAGGAGCCCAGCTCTGCTTTAGAGTCAGGTACACGGCCTCTGTTAGAGTCGCGGCCAGGTACGTCCGCCGAATAGACTCGGAGAATATCCACGCCTGCCACGTAGACGTAATGGAGCCATCTGTTCGTAGCTGCGTGTCAACCGGCCCGTTGCTATTCCCACGATCAGTCGATGCGTCGGCTTGCTCCGAGGATAGGGCGAAGCCGGCGCTCTGCCACAGCTGTCGAGCCCAAAGAGAGAGAGTATCGATATGCTTTTCGGCCTGGGCGCGGGCGCGAATGTCGCCGTCGAATAGGCGGATGATTTTGTATACCAAAAGAGCTTGAGTCCTTGCAAGATGGCACGCAGGGTCAAGCATAATGACTCCAAAATCTCCATCGGCGCTGGGATTCTGCCCCCCGACTAGGTTGTTGACGCGGCTCTCAATAATGCGCATAATCATCTTTTCGGTTGCGGGAGTCCTGGAGTGGTATGCTGCAAGCGAAGCGAACGCATCTTGGATACAGTCTGGCAGATGGAGCTTCCAAAGCTGGGGGTGGATAAAGGGACAGTGGCCTTCATTAGTCCATTGCTTCAGCCAGGTGTGCAGTAGGTCGATAAAGTATGTGAGTGCCTCATCGCTAAAAGAAATTTGGGACGGGATGGCACTGGTATTATGGTCTACGGTCCACGACGAAGGGGATAGAAACCATGGATTCTGCAGAGCCTCCGCCGTTACTGGATGGCGGGACTGGGTGTGGACCTGCTGCTGCTGCTCCTCACCAGCATGAGACGCCGGACTCGGAATCAGGCTCCTCTCGCTTGTTGACGACGTCGATGCCGGCACTGCAGACACCGCGCCATTTGCTGCAAAGACGAGATCGTACGGCGGTGCGATACGCGGGGCGGGATAGCGACAGATGACATTCTTCTCCAGACAGCGCTGGCACGAAGGCGCCTGTTTGCTGCAGCCGCGCTTCGCTTTAGTGCAGGGGATACAGGCTAGGCGCTTCTGCGGAAGAAAACCCGACATGGCGGCCGATCGGGACTGAGAGTCTTTGGGTAGGGGATTCAAGTTTCATGCCCACTGATGCTCTTATTCTCCTGAGACCCGGGGCCGAAATTTGTCATCTCCCGCATTTCTCGGCGGCCTTTCTTCCGCCAGGCGGAGCCGGGTCGCGGGGCTCTCATGGGTTTTATAGGCGACGCCGGCGGGAAATTTTCCACTGCGGACGGAGGCACCCGCCGCCGGTCACGCAACTGAACAGCCCACATCGGACGCCACGAAAAAGGCAAATATGGCTGACAGGCTCTGATGTTAATCTACATTAATAAGACTGTTTCCTTGACAGTGAACTCCGCTGCTTTGAGGCGGACTTCGAGTTGCGGACAAGAAAGATGGAGAGCAAAGGGAGAAAGGTAGCCTGTCGTGGATGCCCTAGTCCTAGACCTTGTGGCTTTGTTTCATTGGAAACTGGAGGAGCAGGTTGAGTATAAGAAGCAAGCAAGGAGCGACGATATTCTGCAAAATTTTCCACAGCCGTCAACGACTATCATACAGCAGCAAGCACTACCACCGAAGCAAGGTTCCGGCAGCATTGCTTTTTCAGCAGCCATGAGTCTCCCATCTCTGAAGCAGTACCATCGAAAGCCCTATGCGGCCATCTCTCCCTCACGCCAAGAACTCAGCCAAGCAGGCAAAACTATTGTAGTCACTGGAGGCAATAGTGGAATTGGATATGCCATCGCCCGTGGTTTCATCCAAGCTTTCGCCAAACACGTCATTATTCTGGGCCGCCGTCAAGACGTTGTGAAATCCGCCGCTGGGAAGCTCGCTAAAGAAGCAGACAGCTTTGGGTCGTCTACTACGGTTGAGGGCAAAGTCTGCGATATTGCAAGCCTTGAGTCTACGGAAACATTCTGGGAAGAGCTTCAACGTAATGGAGTCTTTGTCGACGTTTTGGTCCTCAATGCGGCGGCGGCTGGACAATCAGCCCCCATTCTCAGAAGTGGCCTTGGCAATATCTGGGCGGAATATGAAGCTAATGTACGCTCTACAATGGATTTTACCGAGCGATTTTATAAGCAGACGGTCAAACAAGGTGCAAGCTCTCGCAAGGTTAGTTTGTTTCTATTTTTGTACTGTAATACATCGTAGGGAGACTAATGCTTTCGTAGTTCTTGGTGTACCTCTCGACTATTGCCGGATATATGTGGCAGTCAATGGCTCCGGAACGTCCAAGTTATGGCATAACCAAGAATGCTGCTACACTCTTGGTTCAACAGATTGCCAAAGACACTGATGTAAACGACATGCAGATCGTAAGCTTCCATCCAGGTGGCGTTCTCACAGAGATGGCTCGCAAGTCTGGCGCAAGCGAGGACCTGGGAATTCCTTTTGATGATGGTATGGATTCATATTCATATTTTATCGTTATAAACTTCTAGACTAACTCTGAATTTACAGAGAACCTTCCAGGCCAATTTGCAGTCTGGGCAGCTAGCCGAGAAGCTGAACATCTGCATGGTCGATTTGTCTGGGCTAACTGGGATGTTGATGAAGTGAAGGCTGTTCTGGGTAAGCAGATTTCGGAAGAGCCTAATTTCCTAAAGGTTGGAATCGAAGGGCTATCTGAAAAATTTCCCAATCCTATGATAACACCTGAGCTGCTTCAGAAGATTATGGAATTTAAGCAGCAGGCACACCAGGCTAAAAACTAGATTGTATTTAAGGGCAAACTGTACCGTATGGAACGGGACTTCTACAAAATAAGAGTATGTATACATAGTGACACTAAACAAATCTTTATTAAATAAAAGTATATCTTCATATCTGAAATAGTTATTCCAAGAGAATTGTAGGTTAGTAATTATTATCGCTGGCATTGAAATAGTAAGTTAACAGGGGAAATTGCGCCTCCTTTGAAGCAGAGGTAGTCGCCGACTTACTCAGACGCATTCAAAAGTAGCTCTATATTACACCCAGTCAACTGGAAATACCGCATCTGTATATTACAGTATAAATTGATTCGATGACTACTGTTAGCTAATATAGGAAAGATGCAGAAAGAGTCGGCATTGTGAATAAAAATAACCTTATGCTTCTTCTATTTTTATATAGCACTATATACACGCTTCGTGTGATGGCTTCATAAATTTATTCACTCTATCTAAGTTCTAATCCGAGCAGCGTCTCTCACTATAAAACTTTTAGCTATGTGCTAATTACTCACATCTGAGTCTGAATCTGTTGAATCCGACGAATCCGACGATGCATCATCATGTGCCTCATCATCTGGCGAATCTTCAAACTCTGGACCGTTTGTATCAAACGTATGATCTGAGAAATGAACCAGCTCTTTATGCGTATAACATTTCCAACATATGTCGTAATCAATACATTCGTTACAATGATAGCAAAAGCCATAAATACGCTGTATCATTATGTTAGCGACATGCGAATAGGACCGCTCATTAGGGCGAAAGGCACTTACACATCTGCAACTATCACATGTTGCTGAGCTGTAGACTCCCTTTCTGGATTTATTTTCTTCGGATTCTCCTTCTGGCGCCTTCTTTTCATCCTTGTCCTTTTCATGTTCAGAACCGAGGCCATGCTTCAATAGCTCAATTACTTCTTCTGGCTGCCCAGTAAATCTAGCTATCTTCAGTGGTGTCCACTTCTCCTTACCAACTGAGGCTTGGACAAAACGGTTGGCCCCGTTCTCAAGTAGGAGTTTCATCGTCTTAATTTGCTCTTCTGGCTCGCTGGCGTGTTCTACAGCCAACCAACAGTCTGTGCCGCGCGCCGCCCAGCAAAGCGGCGTCCAGCCGTCAATGTCTAGCTCGTCAATAGCCTCTTTATTAGGTAAGAGTGATATGATTTTCTCCACGGCCTGCACTCTACCAGGCTGTGCTGCCCAATGTAATGCGGTCCGTCCGATGCTATCTCGAGAAGTGATATCCCCCCCTGCCTCGAGGATCGCCTTCAAATTTTCGATACCATTGAATGCTCCGGCATGTATAGGCATGCGATTCATTGAATCCTTGATATCAATTTTTGCTCCTTTATCCAAGAATGTTTTGATCGTTTTCGGCGTTGCTGCATATGCCGCTGCATGAAGGGCAGAACCAACAAAGCCGCCTTCTACGTTCACATCTGCTCCATGATCAAGAAGGTAGTCGACTGTTTCGTCTACCATTCGATTTTCACCTGTTGCGAATTGCAAGCATGCTGCTTGTAGAGGAGTTCCACAGGAGCCGTAGTTGGTGACATGATCAACATTGGCTCCATTCTCAACGAGGAATTTTAAAACATCCATGTGGCTTAATCGGCATGCTTGATGGATAGCAGCGCCATCACATGATGAACCGAGGTGAATATTGGCGCCATGCTTGATGAAATATTTGACACGCTCTAGGTTTCCCACGTAGGCTGCCAGAGAAATTGCTGTATCACCCCTTGTTTTTTCCTGGATATTTAGATTTATTCCAGCATTGACAAGGAGTTTCACATTATACATTGACACATCGGTATAATGAAGAGCTGACTTTCCATCCTGGTCAAGTTGATTCACATCAATCCTTGAAGGATATTCCATGAGAACAGAGAACACATCTTCTTGAGCAGCCATATGCAAAATAGGCAACCCCTTCTCTGATACGTGTTTAAGATCGGCCCCATGTTCAGCCAGTATTCGAACTGTTTCCTTGGAGGCATGAGATGCGGCACATGACAGAGCTGTCCATCCTCTCTGGTTCTCGTCATCTCCGTCGTAAACTTCTTCCAGAGATGCACCGTGGTCCAAGAGAAGTTCCATTGATTCATCGTAGCCGAACCAAGCCGCATGCATAAGAGGTGTAAATCCTGAATTCTTTCCAATGTTTGGATCGGCGCCGTTTTCGACTAGGATACGAACAATATCGCTATCGGGAACGGCGAAGTACAAAGGAGTTATAGTGATTGAGCTAACTTCGTTGACCTTTGCGCCTTTCTCTACCAATAGCTTGGTAAGATCTTCTTTCTTGTCAAGCGCGGAAAAATACAACGCAGACTGGTCGTTTGAATTCAAGAGGTTGACGTCTGCGCCATGATCCAGAAGCCTCTGAACAAATTCCATGCACTGATCGCTTCTGCTGGCATGAATCAGTACAGGCGTGCCGTCGGAATCTTTTGCGTTGGCATCGGCATTGTTTGATAGAAGGAAGTCAAAGATCTCGAGCTGATTCTCGCTCGCCTCGTAATCAGTAATCATCTGAGTGAGGATTGGAGGTGAAATAAACTGGCTGTTAGGGTCTGCGCCGCTGTCAACCAACATCTGACAAATGTTCAGATGGCCTTTCACAGCAGCATATCGCAGAGCAGTGCCCCACATTGAAGGTCCAGGCAGATTTGGGTTGGCCTTCTTGTCAAGTAGAAGCCTCACGCACTTCTCATAGCCGTCATCAACAGCCACCGTAAGCGGCGACCAGCTTTGTGGGGTATCATCAGGTTTGATGCCCATATTAGGATCTGCTCCCATGTCCAATAGCACTTCAACGACGTGATGATGTCCCCATAAGCAGCCAAAATAGAGAGTTGTCTTATTGTCCTCATCTGTAACCTCTATGTCGGTTTTCCCTTCTTCAGCTAAGATTTTGGCGATCTCAGCATGGCCTTGCCCTGCAACATGATGGATGGGTACTCTGTTGAATAGATGGCGGGAGGTAATATCCGCATTATGCTTAATGAGGGTTCGGACCATACCAACGTGGAAATTGCGGGCTGCTTGAGAGAGTGGAGAGGCTTTAATGATCGACGACCAACTACCTTCAATATCTGGAGGATATCCCAAGTCAAGTATTCGGTCTGCAAACCGATCAAAACCAATCCACGCTGCTCGATGAAGCAGGACGGGCGACCAGGCAGCGACATCGGGCTTTGGGTTATTTGAAATGATGCGATCAAGCATATCTAACATCATATCCTCATTGCCATATGCCGCAGCGGCCACCATGATGTCCATAAGAGTGGATTCTGGAACGTCAATTTTCTTCATAAGTGCCAGCACAACTTCCGATTGACCTTTTGAGGCAGCTTCAAGCAAGCCTCGGCGTGTGTCTGTGTCATCTCGTGCTTCAATGACATCAGCCAGACCCAAGCTTGCGAAAATTGGGAACAGAGTGTCTAAACAGGTAGTGCTCCTAGTGATTGGATTCGAGAGCGCCCAATAGCCCTTTGCCCAGCTACTTGCCAGTTCAGGGGCTGATGGTTGGGAAAGAAACTTGGATAGATCGGGCTTAGGGGAGCTAAGTAAAAAATGATGCGTCCACGCTTGGAGAGCGTAAGAGCATAGGTTTCCTCGATCTGCAAAGGTAGGTGATTCGAAAGATTCTGCATCTGTGGCGGGGAAAGTCTTGTTAATATACTCTCTTACCGTTGGTTGGGAGAGATATTTCAAGCAAAAATTTACGATGTCCAGGTGAGCTGTTTTCTTTATTTCATTCCATAAGAATCGGGACTCAGCAGATTTTCCATCGCCTACACCGCTGGCCATGAGAATATTTCGTAGTCTTGGATGCCAAAATTTGACTTCGTTGTGTTGTATCACAACAATGCCGGCGAGCCACACCTTGATTTTGGATATAAGGCTTTCTATCGCCGCTGAATCGGGAGAGGCGTGACCCTTGTCGGCATCAGATCCAAGGTAGATCACTGTTGCGAGTTCCCAGATAGTGAGTGGCCGTACGGCGTAGAGGAGCCACGTTAGGAGCTGTCGTAGAATTGCCGGCTCGGGAGAATTTCCGAGGACCCAAGCCAGCAGCTGTTCCAGGTTTTGATCATCGTCAGCTGTTGCATTAGGATCGAGTGTCAACGACTTAAGTAAGTCTTCAATTGAAGTCTCATGTGGCCAATCTTTTCGTACGGCCGCTTGTTCCCAAATGATATGTTTGGATAGAGGATCAAATTTGTCAATGTATTGCAACTGATCTTCAATGACACGAGGCTCAAAGTGAAGCTCCGGCCGTGCCGTGAGTAGCCGTGCCATGTCGTCTGTGGAATCGGTATTGGCAATGCTAATTAATTTTTCCTCAGACGCATCAAGATCCATGTTAATACACCAAGGTCCAGAAAATTCTTCTGAAAGGGCACCCGGTTTATGACTTGTGACGACGACTTTCCATGAATTCTCGCTCGCCTGTGAAAGATATGCGAAGTTGTCGAGGAACTGTTTTCGAGAGCCCTTTGTGCACTCATCGAAGTGATTTATCACAAACATAACATGATCCACCTGGTCAGTAAATCTGAAACGCTCGAATAGATAGATTAGATCTGCCTCAGTCCATCCACGTTCTTGCTCAAGACGACCAAAAGTGCTTCTGATACGATCTCCACTAGCAGGATAGAAACACATAATCTGGGCCAAAAAAGTGGCGAGCATGTCTCTAAGAGAGTCACACCTGACATCGTATCGATCAAAAGAGAAATAGAGGACCATTGTGCTTGCGCTTTTGGCAGCATGCTCTTCCATGACGTAGAAAAGCTGCTCCGCTGTTTCGCGGACGTGTTGGGTGCCATGAAGATAGAGCATTTGTGGGCCACGGTGTTTAAGCCACGATTTGATTTGTTGGGAGTTTTCAAGATCTCCAGTGTCACGTTTGCTGCTCTGTAGAGGAAAGATAGGCGAAGCAAGAGTCAAAATTGTCCTTTCGTAACGAAGCTGGTCTGCGGGCACTGGGGTATTGAAGGCTGGAAATTTCAACGTTAGCCGTCTTTACAGGTATGAAAGGGAGAAACAATCTCACTATTTAGTAGATCCCCAAGACATTTGGTAAGATGGGAGTAGTCGTAACCGCTATCGCTTGGTTCAGGAATTCTTTTCTCCATGGGTATACCCAGTGTTGCGCTGAAAATGTCAAACGCCTTTGAGCAGCTGTTAGAGCAAATCGTTTCATGCCGCTCCATATTTTCTTCTAAGTCTCACCTTATTTATTTTTGATGAATATCCTTCTTGATGATGGACGCTAACTGCTCGGCTGCGTAGAAGAATTTTCGATTCAACAAACAAGCCGTTGATCTCCATAGCAGCTGCTGCAAACCCAGAAATTGCAGAAGTAGAAGGTCGAATCTCCGCAATTCCCGAATCAAACGCACCAAACAGAAATCGAGAAAGTCTGTCTTCCATGTCAAAGTGGTCAACACTTCGATGAGGAGAGCCGAGAAAAACCTACGGCAAGTTAGGAATAGGGTATTCTGAGAATCGCATACGATAACCCATGAACATACCAGAATACGACTCATTTCTGTAATGTCTACCCAGGAAGCTATATCAGCTGCCGCCGCAGATAGAGCCTAATAATTGAGAGGTTTAGCGACCGGATTCTGTAAGATATAACCGCTGAGATTAAACGCACATCTTTAACTAGGAGACCTCCAATATCATGCGCAACAAAAATAATGAGCCGTTTCTAAAGATTGATTGGTCAGATTAGCCGTATAGATTCGTTTCACAGCATCCTTTAGGTTCACCAACCTGACTTTCATTTCTTCTCCTAGCAGCAAGTGCTCGCAATAGTTTCAGAGCGCAGTTTCGGATGGCCTCGCGGCTTTTCCTGCCACAAAATAACTGTAGTGGCTCGTACTCAAAACGAAGAATCCTAGATGGTGTATCGAGTGATTCGGCATAATTTGCTACCCATTCACTACTACCGGAGCCCGGCCCTGCTTGGGATTCGTTTTCCCACGCTCCATAGACGCCATGAATTATTACGAAGCTGAATTGATGATTGCAAATCAGATATTTGAATCTTTTACTTAGACATAGGTGGACACTTACTCTACGGCTATTGCGGAGGGATCAGAGTTCCCCTCACCTTTCCATGTAACATGGAGGGGCTCGGCATCTGGATCTAGCTCTTCCTCTACCGGCACATTTGCCTCAGTCTCTGGAGTTGCAGCTGAATTCTCATCAGGAGTTGATTCATCCTGATTGTCGTCACCAGCAGCTGGCTGCGTGGTTTGCTCTTGTTCTTCTGTGGGCGCTAACTCAGGCTCTGGCGAACCGCCCCGCGGTGAATCGGACGCGCTAGAGGCAGATGAAGAATCTGAATCTGACATTTTCAGTTTGACAAGAACAGCTCAAGTAGCCGAGGTATCAAGCACAAATAGCCAAGGCTGCTTGTGTTATATACACAAGCCTGGAGGGCAGCCCGTGGATGTTAGCTCGTGTACTTGAATTTGGCAAATGAAGCGTAAAAGATGAAAATAAATGTTTCTGCACGTGAACGATCAGTATGCCGATGCCTGCTTCATGCCACTATAAATTGAAAACGACATCATAAGAAAATGAAGACGACAGTGAAGGAATGCGTGGTTAAGAGGGCTCACCGACCTCAGTCGGATTCTAGTGCACCGCAATAGAGTGATACAACGATATATCCACTCCAAATATAGCGAGCCCTTACTATTCGACGATCAAGCGGCCTCTCACAGAAGCATAGTCCAGCTTGGCCAGCTTGGCCACAGAGGAAAATGTTTTACTGAATAGCTTTACCGCGGGGTCCTATGACGCTGAACTTCCCCTCCAGAGAAATCAGACAACACCTTAGAAATGTGAGCAGAGCTGAAGCGGTGGAGCTGAACATTGACCCAGGTCAAGTGGCCGCAAGTACCACGAAGGTACCCCTCCCGAAGATCTGACATGCATGAGGAATACGGGGCTTAGGGGTTCGTTCCTACGCGTTGATTAGATGACCTCTAATGTGACCTTACGCTCCATGCATTCAGCAGGAGAGGCATCGGCTTCTTGACAAGAGGGGCTGTGCACTTTGTTGCGCGGCAGAGCCGCATCGTTTTCGCGCACTGTAGCCTTAGCCGGGCCGTTCCATGAGGACGAAGAGTTGGCGCTAAATAACAGGATCTGAACCCTGCTTGTTTCGGACTTGGGCTACGGGAACACGCGAGCCAATGGAACAAACCCTGGTGATGGGGGAAAATCGAGCTGCGTCAATAGTTTCTTTAGTGACAACCATGAGATCAAGCAGCTCTACCACGCGCAAACAAGCTGCTGAAGCAGGGTGTTACCTGCGAAACTTCATATGCTGATTACTGTCAACTAATCAACTAATAACAAGTTTACAAGCTGTTTCACTCAAGTAAGGATCGAAGAGTAGGGCTGATGGACCGATAAATTCTCCGCAGCTCATACATGCTGTATGAGTACATATTAGGCACATGTGACAGGAGTGGATAAGTAGACAAAGATGGTGGGACGATGTTAAGTTCGCGGCACTACTACATAGTCTGTATTGACTACAACCTCGTGATTCAGCCGCAGGTACATATGCCAGCAGTAATTATGCCTCGCAGCCCTAATTTCCTAGCAAGAAGGGGCACTTGAGCCTTCAAGTTTGTGGCAGTGCTGATACTTCCATCTTGCTATAAACGCCCCTCTTATGATTTATAACGCCATTGGTTAGCAAAGAAATAACTTGTTATTCTATACAAAGTATTCGCTGCAATCAGCCAAATTAACCATGGACCACGATCTCAATGACGACCAAATGCCAGATGAGGAAGCAGTGGACGCTTTCATCGACTCAGACCTCGATTCAGATCTCGAAGACACTTCTGTGAGCATCGGGTTAAACAAAACGGGCGAGCGTGGCAGCGGCTATCATACTCGCAATGACCCCTCTGCACCATATCAGCGACAAACAGTCACGGAGCGCCGGGGCATTATAGAAGTTCGCTGCAAATCACGAGATGTTATTCATGGAGTCCTATCAGAAGAGACGGGAGAAAACGGGACGCTTGTTGTCTACGATTTTTACCTTGATACAACTCGGAGATCACGACGGATCGTGTCTGCGTCGCTGGAATTCGAGTTTGCCAATGTTGTTCCCGGAGTTCCCGCACCTCAAGTTCAGGCCATAGCGCCTTCGGGACGTGTGACCTTATTGCCTTCAACTCAAGAGGAGTCGGTGACTCATGGAGCTGAAATGAACGCAGGCGTGAGTGAATTAGGCGCAAATGCTGGCGGGACCCTTAAGTGGGAGAAGACTGTGAGCTATACGGCGAGCGACGATGCTAGAGTGACGGGGCACATCTTCAGCGATGACTACGGCAAAGGCGTTGGTGCGAGCTGGGTCCTCCACGAGAATGCGATGCTCAAATCGGGCGTACCAAGCTTCCTGCGCTGTGCCATCTTGCTTAACCGCGGATTCGACGACAACAAGTTTCAGTGTAAAGTGAGGATCAAGGTAGAAGCGGATTGGAAGTCTGAAATGGGTCGATTGTTTGGCTCAACTCCTCCGGATGACCCAGTTTTGTTCGACCCTGAGATGCCTTCCACTAATAAGCTACGGAAATACGATACAGAGAACTTGGGTTCTATTGGCTTGGACGAGTTTACAGATATAATTTTTGACAAGAAATTGAAGAAGAAGGAGGAAGCTTAGTGATAGCAGATGGCGAGGGAGCATATTGATGTCCAGCAGAATGGCTGGACAGCTTGGGTAAAATCAGAGCCGCTCTAGATAAAGGATGGGCTCTACTAGGCATAGCGTTCAGCAACGCAGCAACGCCGCTTGATTAGCTAAAGATTACTATACAACTGTCTCCATAGATCCATCAAGTTTAACTGGGGTGTTACAGTAGTACTAGTGGTAGTGCCAAGTCCATGGGCTGACAAGCTAAACGCAGGCAGAGACGGATTTGTAAGACTGTTGCTGTGAGTTGCCAAGTCATAACCAAGTCTGGATTGTACGAACACAGAACTATTTTGGCAGGAATTTCCTTCCTAGGCTATTATCTGCAGGGCGCGAATACTAGCATGGCGGATTGTCGTCCACGGGATATCATTGTGGCCAATCAGCCCAAAACCAAGCCCTGTAGAAGTGTCTAGGTTGACAGGGGCATAGTGCTTAGTTTGCGAATCCGTATAAATTGTTGCTATTCAAACTGTAGAGAGCGAAATTGGCTGAGAATCCCTGCAATGGTTTCTGGTTGAGCTTCGCTAGGCATGTTGAGTAACGGCGGCTCGCAACATGAAGACCGAAATTCACGCAATTACGCTCGAGACTCTTTCTGGTAGTTTCGCTAGCTTCTTAATTAGTGTTTAATTCTGCTATTAGAAATGCATGAAAACTACTATTTTTGGAACATACATAGTACGATATGCTGTACCAGTACGTTGAGTCTACTTTGCATATGTCTCTGGTAGCCTTAAAGGGTCATGTGGAGTAGAAATGGTCCCCTTGCATACTACAGGTCTTGCTTATTTCAGTAGTATATCCTGGTTGCTATGAGGCGGCAGAAGAGGGGCTACGCGATTGGGGGCGAAACTTGGTGGTAATCGCGGCAGAAGACCACGCCCGGGGGGCATGGGAAAGCTCGTAGTTTCGCAAACAAGTCTTAGCAACTTTGTTGTTTCAAACTTTCTATTGTCAAACCAGCCCTAACATTGCAACCATGAGCCCGCTAATTGACGATGAAGAGAGGGAGACTGGTTCCCTAGCAGTGGGAGAAGAAGTTGAGAAAGCAGAGTCGAAAGCTGGCGATGAATCGAGCGAAGATGAATCCGACAGTGACGAAGAAGATGGAGAAACAGACAACCGGAATGGTAAAATATCTGTCAAAGATCTTCTTGAAAAGGTTTTGAAAGCAATCAAGAATGGAGACAAAGATCTCACCAATAGCAGCCAATTAAAGGCATTCAAAGCTGGCGATGGCAACATCTTGGCCTCCAATACCGGAGACCTACGCCAGCCGACAGCTTTGCACATCATGGCAGCAATGGACAAGAAGGAGTTACCAAAGCTAGACAGCAAGATGGAACCACTCATCAAGCATCTAGTGGAGCACGAAAATGATACTCTTTCTTCCCTAGATCGATCGGGTCATACACCTCTGTTCCTAGCCATCGAGGCGAAGAAAGAAAAGATGGTGCAGTGGATGTGTGAATCTCATCCAAAGATTAGTACCATTTTGGCCATCACCAGCAACGACAAAGATAAAATGAACTGCCTTCATATTGGCATTGATAAAAGGGTCAAATTTCTAGATCTCCTTATCGAGAAAGCAGATCCTGAGACCTTAGCAGCCAAGGATGGAGATGGAAACACGCCTCTTCATCTTGCTGTGGAGTATAAAAAATGTAAAAAGGAACAGCTGGATATTATACAGAAGATAATTGCTAAAAGCGACATCGTTGTGCAGCATAATGAGAATGGCGACTTCAACGACACCGGATTGTCGCCGTATCTCCATCACAAAGAAAATGTCAGGAAAGCCCAAGCAAAGGAGAAAGACAAGGAAAAGAAGAAATTGAAAGAGGAGAAAGAACGTGACAAAGGCAATACTCGCGTTCGCCCCGATGGCGTCGAACTTGATAATTCTACGCAAACCCGAGATTCAGCAGCAAAGTCTCAAGAATCTAGCGGGCCTGGAGGACCTTCAAATCCCAGCGGGCAAGCTACAGATCCAAGCAGCCGTCCAGATAAGCGACCGACCATTCAAACTGACTCTCGTAATAAGTATGGAGGGCGGACGCAGCCAGCAATGAACGTGAGCTCGCCAGCGACGGGTACAGCACCACCGCTTGTGAATAGAGACGATATGAAGAAGCTAGCTCTACACGCACCCGATACAGCAGTAAGACAAGCTGGAGATGCAAGATCGGTTACTGACAGCGGCCATAAATCCAAGGTCGATGAAACAATTTTGAAAGATGTAGAGCGCCTTCTGAAATTACACTATCTTCGTTCCCGCAGCTACAACTCAGCTATGGAAATCTTGTACGGACGTAATACGACTTCAGGTAAGGCAAATAGATCTTCACTCAAGTAAAATATTCTGACTTAAGGTGCGAATTTTCGAGGCTGACTACTTTCTCACAGACTTGGAACTATATTTTGACTTATCGGGGCACGCCAACATAACCCAGACTGGGCTTGAGAACTTGTTATCGAAGCTCAAGTTTGAAGACATTCTCCAATACGTCGCTATTCCGAAACTCAGTGTAGAGGTGAATGTAAATGCAGCAAATAGCAAGCGAGCTCGAGGATCTGGGCGTTCATCAAAACAAGATGGAGATGGTCGGAGAGACTTGTGCTACATCTTCGATCGATTGAGAAAGAAAGGTGTTAAGACCGTTCTCAAAGTCATCATTGACGACTCAACGATGCCTGCTCACAGCGATGAGGCCATTGAGGACGCATTGAAGTTTATGGACGTGGAAATTTGGGATTGGAAGAGGACGGACTTGTGCTCTGAAGTCATTTACAGGGTGGCATCTAAAGCACGTGAAGTCCATTTATATTGGAGCGGCAATAATGCAGTCCTTAGAGGATGGAGCGAAGAGGGCGGCTTGAAGAGACTAAGTCAACTGAAAACAGTTCATCTGCATATCCAACAGGTATGGACGCATTTATAAATGGGAAAAGGGGGTATAACCTTTACTAACATTACCATTTTCTGGGAACAGGGTCTTGAATCAAGCCAACGAACGAAGCACAACGTTGAAGATTTCTGTGACCGTATGAAGAAATTATGCCCCGAAATCAATGTACTAAAGGAGTGGCCGATTGTACAGCGGGAACAGATGGATATCAACGCCCTTATGGCTGGAGATCAAGCCGAGCATACAACTAAACACGAGTGGATCCAGTGTATGAAGGACTTCCGACGACTACTCTTCGATGCCGAACGCTACTACGAGCGAGGAAAAGTTGAGGAGACTATTGAAGAGCCAATTAAAATTGCTCTTATTGATGACGGCGTAGACGTTAAAGATCTCGAGTTTAGCTTCATTGGAGGCCGGACGTTCTGTAAGCGAGACGAGGAGCATAATCTTAACGACCCTTACTATGTGTCTAGTACAGGACACGGAACCATCATGGCGAAGCAAATTCACTTGCTGTGTCCTCGCGCACAGTTTTATGTTTTAAGGTTGGAGGACCATGCTTCAGAAGAGGGCGGTCGACAGATAACGGCCAAGAGTGCCGCGCAAGTAAGTCGAATGACACCTCTGCTGCCTCTACCGCCTCTATACTTCTACTATTGAATCAATGAGACGCTAATTCCTTTTAGGCAATTATGGCGGCCGTGAGAAAGAAGGTTCATATCATTTCGATGTCTTGGACTATCGATCCTCCTGAAGATGAGGAAGAGAGGCGGCTCCTTGACTTCGCCATAGGAACGGCGGCGAACGAAAATATTCTCCTTTTCTGTTCGGCGAGCGACAAGGGAGCCAAGAGCAGTGAAACCTATCCCTCCAAAGCAACTAAAAAGATATTCACCATTGGAGCGGCGACATCATCGGGCATGGCCGATCCTTGGGTCGGCAATCTTGGAAACATCAACTTTACATTCCCAGGCACTAAAGTCGAGATGGATGGGCTGCGAACTGATGATTCTTCGTCGAGAGAGGTCAGTGGCTCGTCCATTGCAACGGCTTTGGCCGCTGGTCTTGCAGGCCTGGTGTTGTATTGCGTTCAGGTACGGCTGTTGCTGGCGACCGACCATGAAAAGCAAAAGGCGCGGCGGGATTTCCAGCTTTTGAAACAGCATGATTATATGATGAAAGCTCTCAAGGATATTGGTACCACGGAGGAGAGTAATCACAAGTTTATCGAGGTATGGGAGGTATTTGGAAAGAAGGTCGAAGAGAAGGAGAGATATGACCAAGAGAGGTGGCTCGATTTGATCGCCGAAGTAGGTATGATTCTATGCAGAAAGATTAGTTAGTTTAGCGTCATGGTCATAGACAGATATAATGGCATTAGGCATTTAATAATTTCCACTATTTTCGCAACTCGGCCACTGCATGGGGTATATTTTATGATACCGCTCGAGACAGCAGAGGATCTATAGAAGCCCCTATATCAACCTTCTAAATCTACTAAGATACATATTATTCCGCGTCTTTTATACCCACCCTCTCCCTTTTCTGGATTTTTCTCTTAATCTCTAAAGGAGTCCCCATCCATGGCTTCGGCCGCTTCTATCTTGTTTTTTCCCCGTTTCATATTACAGGACAACAGCTAGGCAAATATCAGTGAGCCGCGATTTCGCCCCACGTTTCAAGTTTCGGCTTTGTGGTAGCTTAAATAGTGGGCTAGACAAGAATTTCCGAACCCCTAGTCTCCGTTTCATACGATTTGAAGGTATTCATGTCTCTGCTTTTTCACATTCGTCACAATAGATTTGAGTGAAGGCGATAATTATATATAACTAGAAGCAATCGGAATGTGAAAATCCGAAAATAACTTGGAATGAACCACATCATAATCGGCAATCCAATCTACTAATCTTCAATGATCTTACAAAGGTTTTTTTTTTTCTAATATACTAACTTGAGCAATGCAACTTTTTTGTATCTCCACAGTTACAAATTCAGCTGTGTGAAAATTGCAGTCGGTCCGGATAGTCGGATTATAATAAGCCATGGCATTGGATTCTTATAAGAAAAATGAAAGATGACTCATTTTGGCTCTTAAGTATCGTAGCGCTCGAATGCTAAATCAGGGTCTTAAGCCCCTAGTCATTTAACTCCGTGATCGTCGTATCTCAGACATATCTCGGAGTAAACGGAATTCCGCAAGCTTTTCCCTTTGCATAGTTTGAATATTTTCTTGAAGTGCCCAGTGAGTACACAGGGAAGTACGAATTCATTCATGGTACTGTTAATACATTATAATAAATAAACTGCAGCCTCGAGCATTCATTCAACACACCTGCCGAGCATATTGCATCACCGCCACCGCCGAGATTTCGATTATTTGAGTACAGGTATCAGCCTATACCTAAATTTGATGGAGCTTAAGCCTGGCATTTTCTTTGCGACTGAAATTCTTCCTATCAATTACGAACTCGTTCATCGTACAGCTCATAGGCCAGCCGAAGATAGTCTTAATCTTGCAAGAAGGACAGCCTAGCTGTACCGAAACTCGCCTAACCCCCTTTTCATCAAGTCCACATCTCGACCAGCGCTAGAATATTCTCTATAGTCCACTTTGAGCTCATTGTATCGGCATACTTGCAAGAAGTCGATATTCTGTCCCTGGTGCCATACAGCAGGATGAGCCCCTGTGTGTACTCGCGAAGAATGGCGCAGCGTACTTCTGTACTTCTTTAGCTTTGGTTGCATGACGGCTACGCAGCTACGCGGCTCACATCTTGTGGTTCTATGATAAGTCATGTCTGGAGCTATATATTATCTGTGACTGTTATGCTAGCATTTCCTGTCCTTTTCAAGCCGGTTACCCTTTGACAGATGGCACCCTGCTGGTTGGAAATACCTCAAAGGTGGATTTCATGTTTCAACGGCTTAGTCTCTGAATCTTTCTCGTTATTGTGGAGTTAATTACCGCAATGCATTCGATTATATCTGAGTATGAGATAAAGCGTTGAATTTCGAACTCTGCGTTCCGTATCTATAAATTGAAGGATAACACGAATTGCTGATGGCCTTTATGCACGAATTACCAGGAAAGACTGAAGAATACGTCATAGATAGAGTCCTATAAATAATTCAATTGTTCAAGCTATTAAGTGACAGATATGCACCCATGGCTACACGTAGAAATCGCGACGGCGGAGATATATATCGGGATTGAAACATCCCAATCGAGCATCTCATCATGCTAGCTCGGCCTAATAGACCTAACAGATCTTTTTGGCAGCCGCAGATTTCCTATTTAAGCAAAACTAGTACACTTGGCGCCACCTTTATGTTGGAAATATATTAAAGTGCCAAAAGGGGGGCTAGCTGAGATTTACAAAGCAACAATTAGGCGGCCGCTCCCATACATCTACACCAAATTCTCCACATATTTTGAGCTTGTGCGTTTCAAAAGAAGCTAATAGGCGGCTGAGACCAAATTAGAATCTGCCAAAGGCCGAACGCCACTTGCAAGGGCATGATATCTAAGTTTTTGAGATCAAGAGATCAGCCATTATCGACTAAGATAGGAGCCCCGATTTACAGCTCTCTGAACCTTGGGAACATGGTATTGCCTACCAAATAGAGATTCCAATATGACAGCTTACAATATATTGACTATTCAGTCATCGCGCTCACATTTAAAGCCTCGAGGTTGAACGATAAGCTACAAGCCACCTACCATAATTGGCATCAGAGAGCTTCCAGAAGCAGAATTAGCAAGTTGACGATGATTACTTGTTTAGAAACGTGTATGACCAACTTAGTTCACAGTCCTTTTAATTTTGTCCACAGCGAATGTTTCGAAAATTCCGATGCCCACGCACAGAATCAGCAGGCCAATGCCGGCTAGTAATCGTAACATCGTGCCCCTGATAGCGGCAGCTCCTTGATGAATATGCTTTTAGGTTGTCGGCACCGATTTACTATAGCTGTTGCAGATCCACATTATAATTAATGAACATGGGGTCGCAGCATCCTGAACTAGGTTTGGCGGATACTGGCCACCAGCGCCCTTGATATATAAACATCGCGGTCTCCCACGATAGAATCACTTCAACTTCCAATCCATCGATCCATCGAACATAGATCAATCTGCTCATCTCACTACCATAATGCAGCAATCTCAAATGTCCTTTCGAGCTGCCGCTGTGTTCGGCTTGGCTACTCTCCAAGGCGTTACCGCCCATCTTGCCGCTTATACTCCTGGAATGTACTGCCCTCAGGTATACGTCTATCAAGATTATAATTTCCATCTAGCCAGAAAATGCTCATATATTCTACAGAACACTTACCAGGGCCCTCTCACCAACTTTTCTGATCCCAACCACGTCATTTACGACCCTCTCTTCAACCTTGAGCAGGATAGCTGGTTCCTGTCCAAGGGCCGCAACTGCTGGCTCGCACCACCAACTGGTGTTTGGGAGATCCAGGCCAACTCTGTCATCCAAGTCCCATGGGCCAACGGGCAAAACTCTAAGGGATACTATGCCGACGGAAAGGAACAAAACCAGCGCCCTCAGCCATTCTCCGTTACAAATCCTGCAGTCGTTGCTGCCGGTCTGGTCTCCTCCTCTGGAGGCATTAACAGCCCCAACTTGCACGCCGGTAACAAGTCCACTGCTGCTGGTACCGCTGTTGCCATTGCCTACAAGTCCAACATCTACGATGTGAAGATGGAGGACTTTGTTGTCTTCACCACCGCACCTCAGACTCCATTTGAGCGCCTGGTTACCTACGATATTCCCAACCTGAAGGCCTGCGACGAGTGCCTCTGCGCTACTGTGTAAGTTATATATATGCAATATGGAATAAAGGCTATTCTGCTAACAGTTTTATCTAGTTGGATTCCCAACGGCTATGGTCAGCAGAACATGTACATGGCTCCCCACAAATGCAAGATTGTCAACCCCAGCGGAGGCCAGCAGCCCAAGACTCCTTCTCTGGTTCCTGGCCCCAACGTCAAAGGGCCCAAGCAGATGATTGCTGCCTTTCAGGCCAGCGGAAACAATGTCCAGTGGAAGAATGGCCAGCAGGTTCCCACCTATACCTCTAGGATGGGATTCACCGCCGGTGCCCAGACTGATATCTTCTAAAGGACTTATAGATTGCAAATCTCTTTGAAGCATATGGTAGGTGGATATCTCTCTATAAAAACTGACGATGTTTTGTTGCTTGTATCTTTGCTACATGTATTTATTGATTGAATGTTTACTCCACAAGCAAGGAGCGGTTGTACATAGTATTTCTTCATGTATGTAAATGAATGTAAATTTGATATCGATAGTATAAAATAGCATCACTACATTTTATTATTTTCACTCAACAATGTCCGAGCAGACTCTTCCAATTCGTACTACCAGTACGTTGCACTCAATACCGTATTAGCTGATGATACTTATACAATTTTCAAAGACTTTACTTCCCATTGCTGGAAAAGTGTCATCTTTGGCCGCCAAAACGTAGCATATCCTATTCTCTCATACGTGTCTTCTAATTCGTCTTTTAAGAGCCGCAAAATAATGCCTTCGCCAAAACTCGAGGCTTCCTCGCCTCTAGTTTCATCATCTGCTTGGATAAGCAATAGTGAGAGATCGTCTTCCGAGAAATAAGCTGAGTCTATGTTGACATCGTCTATGTTGACATCATCATATGCAAGGTCATTCCTCATGGAAATCAACGTATCTCCAAAGATATCATCATGGACTTCATAAATAGAGTGTGTCTTCCAGTCATCGGAGGGCGAAGGCTCATCATACCGCGCGGTGCCGACTAGTAGCTCATTGTCTTCGTTCGAACGAATATTCTGTTCGCTCCGTATTAATGGCATCGTGAGTCCTTCTAAGACTATAGAAGCTGATTTGGCTTGGCCGAATTGCCTTTTTAAGTCTTGAGAAATACCTTCAATCCGAATTAATTTGGCATCATACGGGGTCGTCTCAAAAATACGTAAGGTGGAAAACAAGATCGAAGCATCAGTTACCATCCACGACCAGGATGGGGCTCCGTGTGATTCGACATGCCGACAGGAGGACATTTCCGCATACCATAGCAATCCATGCTTGAAATCAGCCGTCCAGATGCCGGCAAGATACTGTCCGCCAATTGCTGGATGTATCATCTGAGCTATTCCGGCAAATGCGGCAAATTTGTCAGATCCGTAAGTTAATTGACGCGCAGAGTACGTTTCAACCAGCTCATAATAGTCTTCAAGAATGACCTTGACGTCTGCTTCCATTTGAGGCGGTTTGGCCAAGATATCAGAATAAATAACTTGCGCGGCGTTCTGAAACTGTTTATCTGGAAATTGGTTGCCCATTGGTGTATTATCCGCTGATGCCATCCTGCTCGGACAGCGCCAGTATATTTGTCGTCTCCCGTACAGCAAATTTCGAGGTGACAAGACATACTCTTGCAAGGTCCATCCTCGCGACATTAGTGCACTTTGAAGCATAAGATTACGTAGATTTTCCTCTTCGCGCGATTTCCACTCTACTTCAATTTCTTCGGTCTTTAACTTGGCATCATAAATCCGAAGTTGCACGGTTTTTGGAGCTTTAGAGAAACGATCCCCGTTGTTCTTCAAGATTCCCACTGTACTTTTTGCTGCTACAAGAGCGGAGATGGTCAAGGTGGCGTTTCGGTAAATCGCTCCCATTTTGATAGACTCAGCTTCCCAGTCTTCTTTTGAGTCTTGAATTATACAGAGCGAGTCAATCCAAACATAACGTATGCCAAGTTCTTTTGCAATGCGGAAAGCATCTTTGAAATTGTGGGCAATATCAGAGATTGGTAACTCTTTCTGGTAATCGTGATATGTCTTCGTCGTGAGGATGGCCTCTATTCTCCCACCCCAGCAATGACTTAGGGCGATATAATTTGCTTGAGCCCCGTGAGAAATATGTACCCGAGGGGCGAAAGCAGCGTCTGGCGGTCCAATATCCACCACCCGAGTTGGAAGTTCTGGAACTTTGTTCGCCAAACAACCTAGGTGTGTCGTCTGGCACTCATCAAGCCATTGGCGTGCAATTTCAAATTGAGAGTGCGAAGCTAAGTCTGGGTCTACTTTAAGGCGGCCAATTTTGGTTCCTTCAATATCCATCATGCATTCTATATTCATTAGATGATAGCACAATGGTATTGATTTTTGAAGATAGTTACCTTGGTTGTTCAATGACAACGCCAGAAACGGAAATGAATTAGAATCACCCTCATCTGGGAGTTCTGTTGGACCAACTTGGACCAACAGAGTATTGAAAGTCTCAACTTTTCCCAAAGGATCTCCCAAATAGACATGGTCTGTGCTAAGACTTAGTTTCACATCAGATACTACCAGTTCTTTCGCCGCAGTATAGGCTGTATTTTCAATATTCAACTCAGTTGCCGTTTCCCATGCATAAAGCGGGAATTGGTAATCGCCCTCTGTCCATTCGATACCTTTGAAGCAGTCTAACATGAGCAGGCATAGATCACAACCGTCATTTGCAGACTGTTCCAAATCATGAAAGGAGTTATGGTGTTGATAGTAAGCAGAAGCGGGAAATTCATGGCCAGAAAATTCGTCCTTTGCAAGATTCAATAATTTTTCAACAGATAGGCCCGAGCAATATCGGCATCGTGCACTCATTCTGATCGTACGTAAATATCGCGTTGTTTTCCTAGATTCTAGATGGTTGGTCTAATAGAGAGGGGTTCAGCCTAAAGGAACCACCTGTTTAAAAGCGCAGCAGCTAAAAACAGGTCCCTGTACCTTCTTTTTAGCTACTGCTTATGACTGCATTTAGTAAACACAGGTGACCAAGACAAAAAGAAGACGACATTGCAGAATTTGCCTTGCCTATCGCATTGCTTCTAGTACTTACTGAGAATCAATTATAGATACATACAAGGTTGATTCTGCTGTATTTAATAACCAATATTCATCTACAATAACCGTTCTAATAATGCGTAGATGGCGAATAAAGATAGAAGCCACACTTAATACTCGACGATGAAAAATGCCTACCCAGGTAGTAGTACCTAGGTACCTAGGTACTACCTACTAACCTAACTTATTCTCTGCCAGGCAACAGGACTCTTGACAGGTATAAGCTACATGTAATCATAGGCTGGCTACTAGGCGTATTAGTTAGGGCCATGCTGTTGCTAACGTGCATCTAGGCACGGCATCTATAATAGTAGAGGGTGTACTCCGGTTGCTAGAAACGGCAATCCAAGACCCGCCAAAAATTACATCAGTCTTTATCGATAAGATTGTCGGCCAGCTTGTCCTCAACACCAGGACTTTTATAGCCGACATTTGTTCCAAATTTACATACTGCAACATCATAATGCTGGACGATAGACCATGTCGCAATTCCTGTCAATTATAGGGTGGTCTTTCCTCCCCAATGTAAGACCTCTACTCTTCATCCAACGCATCCATGTAGCGCTTCGACTGCACACGAGATCAAGCAGCTAACCGTCAAACGTGAAACCCAGATCGCCACATCGTGGATCCAAACCATCTACTATGGTCTCACAATCCGCGCCGGCGACCCGAAACCGGCTCCCGGCAGCCCACGGTTCAACAACCACCGCCGCAACATCCACGTCCTCGTCGTAGCGATCTACCTCGCCTACACCATCTACGAGGCCGACTACGAACTTCGCCGCCAGGGATCCTTCTACACAGACCTGGGCGTGCCCTTCTCCGCCACCGATCGCGACGTCAAGTCTCGCTTCCGCCGTCTCGCAGCCCTCCATCACCCCGACAAAACCGGCAGCGTCGCCCCCGACTCGGCCGCATACTTCATCCACCTCAAGGCTGCGAGCGACACACTGCAAGATGCCGCGAAGCGCTTCGCCTACGAGCGTTTCGGACCCGAGACGATAGCCTGGCAGAAGTGCGTCACAATCAGAGACTTTGTCACGCGGGGTGTCTTCTCGGGCATCCTACCGCACTACGGCGTCGCGGCTGGGTCGATATATGTCTTGGGCCTGCTGGGTTACATGGACTTTGGCAAGTTCTACCGCTGGCTCATACTTTTGACGCTCTGCGTCTTTGAGATTCACGCTGTTACCCGACCAAATTTTCCCACACTACTCGACGGCCTCAACTTCATCTTCTCTACCACGGCTTCTCATCCGCCGTACCTACCATATCAACTGATACAGCTTACACGCAAACTCACCATCACTATATACATTGCTCTGTCGCAAATTGGCCCGCTGCTGGTAATGGACGCATCACCATCAAAGAGATCCCTTGGAGATGAGGACGAGCTATTACGCCAGGGCTTGACTCGCCTAGAAGCCATCACTGGTCAGTTCGACGTCGATGCGACGAGGCTAATGGACATGGAGATGGCGCCTTTCAAGGGTGATGCTGAGGCAACAGCCAACCTGCAAGGAAAGATGAGAGAGTGGTTGATCCAAAACACAATTCGTGCTGATCCCATGGTCCGCGATGCTCTGGGCATGTCCTTGAGAAAGCGGCGAGTTGACGTTCCAGCTGGCGCAAGGGGTAACCGATAGAGCTTCAACAAATGTTGGAAATATGTAGAACAAGCGTAATGTATTTCGAATTTCAATATGCCATTTCTCTCCTGAAACGATGCCAAATTGAGTATCGACTGAATTCACCGATACGATCTGACTCTTGACTATGTCACCATCTTGCCTCTCCAAACTTCAATATGTGCTCATGTATAAATAACAATAAATCTATGTGCTGAGGAAGCAATGTATCTATATCTACTTTTCGCAGAAGTGTTATCCAAGATTCTAGTGAAGACTATTAAAGAAAAAAAAAAAAAGTCTACAAACGCTGTGCTCCACGTGTTTCAATCGGAATCAAACACATCGCCACAAACGCTGCGAGGATTAAAACAGCAGACATGTAGATTGGTGTCGTGGACCCGTCTCCAGGAATATTCGCTGCAATGAGCGGAGCCATCAAACCCGTCAACCTGTTAAGGAAACTGGCAACTCCAGTGCCGGCGCCTCTGACGGGAGCCGGGAAAATCTCCGGCGTGAAAGCATATAGGACGCCATACATGATGTTCTGTGCAAAAGCTTCGATACAGGAGAAAATGAGTTGAGTCGTGGATGTGGTGCCGTATGCGGCAAAGACGAAGAGAAATACTGCCGAGATGACAGTGGAGCTGGCCAACGTACCGCGGCGGCCGAAGAAAGGGGATGGATGGTCGACTAGATACGCGGCGAGGAGGCTGCCAGGGATACCCATTACTGATGTGATGGCATAATTACGATATGTGGTGCCAGAAATGGCTGATGTCTCGTCTTGCATGGCCTCAACCTGCGAGTCATCGTTGTGGTGAGAAAGGTATTGGGGTAAAAAGGCGTTAAACAATGGATATCCTATGCATTCATTATGGTTAGTCGCCTACTCCTTGATACGAAAATCAGTCAGATATTTACCCATTCCTATAGTAGCCCAGCAAATCCAGATAAGAGTAGTAGCCAAAGCCAGAGTTTTGGTTTGAAAGAGTGGCCGCAGCCTCTCACCCGAGAACCCCTTGAGCTTCTCTTTAAAGAGGTTTGATCGCGGGGCGGAGGATATCGAGTATCGCTGGGCGTTATGGGAAGACTGCTCAGGATCCTCTGCCGCGACTTGATCCAGGATTTCTGAGGTGAGCCACGTCTTCGCACCATTCCGATAGGCGATGCCGTGGACAACGGCAACAGCTTCATTCTGGCGACCCTTGTTGAGAAGGAATTTTGGTGACTCGAACATATAAAAGATGAAGAAACGAACACAGAACATGGCAAAAGTAATGATGCCAATAGTCATGATGAAGTATCGCCACCCGAGATTTACTGGCCATTGCGCAATGAAGAACCATGCGGCAAGTGAAGATACAAGTTGTCCGATAGGCCACCAAACGGAGAGCAGCGTGAGTAGAGAGCTGGAGGCGTCTGGTAGAAACTCCAGAAACAAGGCGCCATCAACAGGCAAATTTCCACCAACACCAAAACCGAATGCAGCGTAGAGGAAACACACGGCTCCCCAGCTTCTACCGTACGCAGCTAAAATGCCGAAGATGCTCGTGATAAGTAGCGTCATGTTGAAGGCAATTCGACGGCCAAAGACATCCGACCCTATCCCCCACAGGAAACTCCCAAGTGAGAGACCTACAAAGCAAGAGCTTGTCGTATACCTGACTGTCTTTTCTGGTATATCGAACTCTGCTGACAGCGACGGTAAAGTTAGCGAGACGCCCTGTATCGTTTGTTAGTGGTCTTAGTGAGACGGATAGTGACGTATTTTATAGCAGTTCCATTCCGCATACCTGTAGCCATAAGCTAGACGTCGCATGTTAGCCGTCTACCTTCATATAGAATCAGAGAGAGAGGACGAGTCTTGCTTACTTATCGGCAAACCATCCAAAGCCACAGAGGATAAAAAGCTGCCAATTGTACCGCCCCATACCGATATCTTGAATTGCCTTGTTGATGAGCTTAGATTTTACTAGTATTGGTTTAGCGGCGGTTCCTCTCTCCAGTGCCATCGTCAACACTCACTCTCATAATCGGTCCATTCCCCTCGCTTGCCTTGCCTCATCTGCGCCCTCAGGCCCTCGATGGTATATTCGGCCGCATTCATCAGCAGCATACCCTCGCCCTGATCGTCCTTTGCGGAGCCCACATCGTCCTCATCATCTGCACTTTCGTCCTGCGTCTCAAATTCGACTCGCCCAACCCGCGCCGAGTGGCTGTGAAGATGTGCCTGCTCTAAGGGAACCAGAACTCCGTCGTAGTTATCCACCGACTCCGTGCGCCCCAGCCCAAACCGCCATGAGACCATGATTAGAGATTAGTCGCGCCGGCGCAACCGGGATATAAAAAAAGCCAAAAAGATTATAATGTTAACTCATTAAAACAGCGCCGCTTCTCGACTGTATGTCACACGGCCATCCGATGGAATGAAAAGAATAGAAAAAGCCCGTAAATGTTGGGAGAGCACAGAGATAAAAGTGAGCCAGAATCACGGCTGACTGATGTGGAATCAGGTTTCCGATTTGATGTCGGGTTAGGTAATCCGACGCAAGGGGCGTTTATTTGACGACGGTGGAGGCCGAGAACGGTGTAATGAGACACTGTGATCGCATCCAGTAATTCCCAAGCAGCACGCGGCCTATTGTTGCAAGCCGAAGTGTTGGTGATGAATCAGGGACCCCTGAGAATGGACGACGGTGCTGCCAAAAATGAAGAAAAGGAAAAAAAGGGAAAGAAAACGGAACAGAAGAGCAAGGCGCAACGACGAGCGTGGACGAAGATGAGATTGACGTGATCGACACCAGATGACAACTTAGTCATTAGGGGAGCATGAATAGCGAAGCAAGGCGCCCCCGTGCACTCGGTCCTGCCGCACTCTGCGCCAATCACAGTGGGCTTCAGCGCTATTTTAGTCATTGCTAGCGGCCGGGGATGTCTTCAGCGTGGCGTTAATGTGGTATAAAGTCGTGCCCCATAAAGCGCAGATGCGTCACACGAGATCCCGCAGCAGCTCTACATAGATCCCAAGACTCGCAGCAAGTCCGCTTTTAACAAGGAATACCTATTAACACCATAAATGGCCAGCCCCTGAATGAATACAGATGCTAATCGTTTCTTTTTCAAGTCTCCCACCACAGGCTTTGGCAATTTGAACAGGCAACCGGTGTTTAATAGAGCCAGCTCCGCACCCCTGCATATATATCACCGTTATTTGTGGCGTCATCAAAACGAGGTCGTGCTTGAAGATTCACGGCACGGACTTTGCGGTATACAATTCTTATCATCTCAAATTGCTGGGAATCTCCAACCGAGGGTATTATCGCCCTACAGAGTGCAATGCAGTAAATCATTACGTTTATCATTGAACTTGTGTTCAATCATCATAACAGGTCGCAGCCCCGATTCCGCGAGCTCTTCGCCCGGGTTAAAACACCAGCCTGCGGTGCTCGGGTATATATCCCAACTCCAACGTTAAACCAAGGTGCCCAAAGTGGCGATATTACATATAAAATCCTATGACTCCAGCTGGGAGGATCTCCTTAATCCTCGTCATTGTCTTCATCGCTGGTTGCCTCAATATTAGACTTGTCCGACTTGGATTTTTTCTTGTTCGTAGGAACGCTGGGCTCTTCAATGTCCATTTCGTCGGGATCATCGACATCTTGGCCTTTTGCCCGCAGCGCCGCGTTGATACCGGGAGCCGCTTTGAGAAGAGCAAGATATTGTTCGACGGATAGAGAAATGCCCTTGGGCGGTAAGTTAGCATTTGTGCGCTCCAGCATGTCTGTTTTGGTTTCGTCAGTATACGGTAAGCTTACCTTTTTGCCTGGGAGCATTTTCCCATCCTTCTCGTAGTACTCTCGGATGTTGATGAAACACATCTTCTTGAACTCGGAGACTCCTACACGTCGTTTGTTTGACAACTGTTGCAGATCAATGTGTAAGCTAGAGCGCAAAACATTTTGATCAGACATCATATCGCACCTCCCAAAACGGATTTCCCTCGTCGTCTTTGCCATCAGGCGCACTGGCAGCGGCAGCGCTCTTATTCTTCTTCGAGGAAGAGGTCCTGGGGACATCGTCCTCGCTGTCGCTGCTCGCCCGTCGCTTCTTGGTTGTCGGAGGCATGCCTTGAGGTGATATAAGCGCAATATCTCTAACCCAGGGGTTTAATCGCAAACGAGAGGTCGTATTTGCGTTTGCGATCCAGATCCAGATCAGCCAGGGACGGTAGTTGAGGAAGGCTCGCTACGGCGCGTGGAGCATCAAGCGGGCCAGACGCGTTTCGTTTAGGCGTGATTAATTAATGGGCACTTTAGAAGAGCTTCAGGCGGGGCAGCGACTCAATGGTCACGCCAGCTCACGTGAGGACTTCACCGCTGCATGCAAGAGCTGCGTTGAGCCGTTAAATATCTAATGAAATGTTCATAATTCACATGGAAGAGCCAAAATCGAGCAGTTGGCTTGAAAATAGCCTTTCCTGAATTTTGCATCCTCCTATTCCCCCTAACAAGCGCTGCTCTAACTCTGCTTAAAGAGAATGCAGAGCGTGTTGAAAACCAGGGGTTGAGTGGCAGTGGAGGCCTGAGCTCCAAATTTAGAGGTAGATGCGACTTCGACCCGCAATTGTCCCCTAAAAGGAGAAATGTGGGAGCAGCCTCATCAGATTGATCTTATCCTCCATACCGGCGCATATGAAATACGGAGTCAGCGGAGCATCTCGAAGTCTTCCCTTGGACCACACCATATACATAATACTGCTGCTTCTGCTGCTGCTGCTGCTGCGATTCATAGCGCTGAGTAGTAGTGGCTTCACCGTGCATATCATCTTCTTATACACACACACACACACACTCTCTCTCTCTCTTCTATTCTTACGGCGGGATTGGCGCTTGTTTGACATGTTTTCCGCTGCTCTCCGACACCACATCACGACACGCTGACGACATAGAGAGACCGGCTTGTTGGGGCCAAGCCAGTAGAGGAGTTTAACTCCAATGAGCTCAATCGCATCTGATCTTGCGCAGCGTCGCGACGACTCCGCCGAGCAGGCCTCGGCCGAATCCACGAGTCGAGTCGAAACCACACACACAAGCGATGACGCGCCGCCAGACTACAATAATGATAATGACGATGATTACGAGTCCAAGAATTTAGAATGCGAGTCTAAGCCACTGTTTGCCGATGCAAATGGGGGCAATCAAGCGGCCCCGGAAGTGACTTTCGCCTCGAGAGCTATCCAGTTCTTTGCGACAGCGACGCCGTCAACCCTTGCGGGATTAGGCGTGGGAGTCTCGGCGGTGACTTATGCTGTTCTTGGGAGGCTTGGTCTCGTGCTGATAGGAGCATTCGGCGGCGTGGTCTCCTTTATTATATGGGAATCGAAGCACCCGGAGCTGGCAAAGGCCATTCGCGGTGAGGAGAGTACGAAGGTGCTAGACAGGGTTTGGGCAGATTTGACGTCTGCGCGGTCGCTGGAGACGCCAGATGATGAAGATGAGGATCAGAATCGTATCAAAAGCTTCGACGACTTTCGCCCAGAAACGAAAGAAGCGCTGAGCGGCTTAGTCGATGCCATTATCCAAAACTACATCAAGTGGTGGTACAATCCAATTGTACCTTCCGATCACGCTTTTCCTCTCGCTTGCCGCAAGTCGATCACGTCGTTTGTCTTGGCTATATCGAACCGGATGACCCGTAAGCGACCGGCCGACGCTTTCCTGGACCTCCTGACCAACTCAACTTCCATGATAATCGTGTTTCTTTCAGAATTGGCGGCTGCATTCGCTGCCCTCCCGCCTGATGCGAATCTGACAGCCGCAGACACCATATACAACTATCTTGCCGAGAATCCCGACTCTCGTCTTGCGAATCTGCTAAACCAGAGGCAACAAGCAACAAAATTCAAGATGGTATCCGAAGATTTGCTTGGATTCCTCGACAAGAATGCTTACAACTGCGACCCAGCGCGAATTTTCTTGCGGGAGATTCTCGCAAATTCAGTGTTTGAGCAGACGTTGCAGCAGTGCAGCAGGGCCGAGTGGATCAATGGATGGATTGTATATCTGTTAGAAGCGGGCGAACCGAATCTGAATCAAGCAATTGACGTCGGGATGCAGACCGGCCGCGATGTGGCCAACAATGTCTTCGCCGACCTAGATGGCAACGTTGGCAATGTCGGCATCGCAAAACCCCGGCGCGGTAGTAACGATCAAGGCCAGACTCGGCGCAAGGAGACGTCTCACAAGAAAAAACTAAGCAAGGCAGACGAGGAACTAGAGGGAGCCATGGAGGAAATGAAACGAATGAATGCCATGATAGCAGAGGATGAAGCGCGACGGAAAAGGGCCTCGACGTTGACCGAAGCATCTGAACGCTCAAAGCAGAGCATGGATATGGCAACTCGAGATGCGGAAGCTCAAAAAAATGAGGAAGCATTTTCACCGACATCTAACAGATTCTCGCCCGGAGGAGCATCGGTAGACGGCGTCTCATCCAAGAGCGATACAATCTACACTCCCCATACGCCGCGGTCTACAGCCGATTCCGCTAGCCAAGAATCATCTCCACAGGAAAACAAAGAGCAGTCATTTACAAGCTTCGATCAGATTGTCCCGCCAGGCCAACCAGTAGTGGACGAGGAAGAGGCACCGAGAAAGGAACCGCTTACTTTGCACAACGCTTCATTCACTCTAAACGACGATGGCTCGGGCGACACGGGGAAGATTCGAAGCAAGCCGACCGTAGACTACCTGATTCAGGTAGAGCCGTCATCTTCTCACTATCCCGGTTGGATGATTGTAAGGCGGTATTCGGATTTTGAGACTCTTCACGAGATCCTGAGACGAATTGCAGCCGTATCCGGTGCCACAGCCTTCATGGAGCTTCACAAGGAGCTGCCAAGCTGGAAGGTTCACACCCGAGAGTCTCTTCGTGGTGAACTGGAGAGGTATCTACGAGATGCTTGTTGGTATCAAGCTTTGGCAGAAAGCGAGGGAATGAAGCGATTCCTCGAAAAATCACAGGGACACACGCATGGCAACTCCAAGTCATTTGGCTGGGAGACGGTGGGCAAGAATATGCTTGAGGTGCTGTCCATTGGTCCAAAAGGAGCCGTAGAAGGTGGAAAGACTCTTGTCGGCGGCGTCAGCGGTGTCTTTGGTCACTTTGGCGGCCTGGGTCGAAAGTCGACCACTCAATCCATCGACCTTACTCCCCCGAACCCAAACCGGTTATCCACATCGTCGATAACGGGCAGCCGAGTCGATAGCATTGCACGATCACCCGCGAGGTCGGAACGCGCCAGTCTCGATAGTCAGAGATCATCCGTCATTGCGACACAGCCGGGCAGAGTAGAGCGAATGCCAAGCTTCGTCCAATCTCCCAACAACAGCGAGACAGATCTACGGTTGGGCCAGAGAGGCCGAGTTGACTCGATATCCACTTCAGTAAGCGCTCGACAGAGCAGAGAGCACAGCAGAGCCTCCAGCTTGGCCGCTCTCCGGTCACCATCATCAATAAGTCTAGATTTTACAAAGCTTCCGCCGCCGCCAGATGAGATTAGCGATGACTATGAATCGCAGGCAAACGACTTTGAAACGAAGTTGCGTAGAAACGCGAGTTTCGTGGAGGATCAGAGCCGTAACAACAGCTCGCAGGTACTGAGCGCGTCCGCGTCCGCGCCGGCGTTATCGGGAAAGAAGAGTCCAGCGAAGCCTGCCCGGCAATATGCTCAGCTAACGGAACCTGAAACTCGGGTAGCTGTTGAGCTCATCTTTGCTGTCATTAATGAGATGTACACTCTCTCTTCAGCTTGGAACATCCGGCGAACACTCCTCACGGCCGCGAAGTCGTTCCTGCTACGCCCTGGAAACCCTTCTCTCTTGACCGTACAGTCTCTTATCCAGTCATCTGTGATAGACGCCAACACGTCCGACGCAGGGATCGCGACAGGGTTGCGCAAAATACGCGAGAATACCATGCCCACGGAACAGGAGCAAGAATCCTGGCCAGCACAGTCGACGGAAGAAGAGAAGAGAGAGCTGGCCGTAAAGGCACGTAGGCTGCTAATACAGAGCGGGGTGCCGGCCGCGCTGATGGGCGTGATGGGGCAGTCGGCCACAGGCGAGGCCCTCGGACGTGTGTTTGACTGTTTGCAGATCGAGGAGATTGCCAGGGGATTGATTTTTGGCCTAATACTGCAGGCAGTGAGGGTTCTTACGCATTGATTACGCATTTTTATTATTTTGGCACGAAAATACGAAATAGGGACTACGCCACCTGAAGCTATTGGCAATGAAGCGGGACGGAGATTATAACGCGGTATATGAAAAAGCTTCTGCTACGGAGAACCACTGGGAGGGATATCCGGGGATGTTTTCTTCTTTGGTTCTGTACACGATGAAAAAGAAAAGAGGGCGGGAACATAATTAACTCTTGGTTGCTTTTTTTGGTATTCCTCCGGAGGACTATTGGATGAATGGGGTGCCTTTTTTGCTGCCCCCCTTTTCTTGACCTCGGGTGTAAGCCAACCTCTTTAACGATGGGATGAGACGTGTGTGCTTCATTTATTGTCTTCAACATAGCATACCTACAGTATCACTTTTTGAGGCCATCATGTAATATTAGTGTGGCCTCTTCCTTTCTGTTTCATTTTCTTAAACTTTTAGAGAGAATAGTTGTAATATTACTAGATGGGCAGACTTTGCTCTTGTTCCAACCCTCTATCTCTCTTCCCTTTTATTCCACGTGCACCCCTTCTTTTCAGCTTTTACCTTAAAAAGAAAGTAGGTTTGCTCACACATATTGATCCCGCGCTTACGGAATTTCCTTTATCCCCCTCTACCAGCGGGGTGTGATTCTATCGCTTGCTAGCTGCGAGATTTTGGGGCCGCGGAATGCAACTCCAGCATACGCGCGAAAGAGGGGGGTGCATGGTAGCATCGAACCTCGTCTGAATATACCGAGTGCATGCCGATATTCGGGGTCTGGATCATTCGCCGGGATCTTTCTACCTGCGGATCGGCAATTGATCACTCTCGAGGGGAAGAAGGGGGGGGTTTATCTCATGCTGCAAACGTGCCAGTAGTCAGGAGTTTGTCACACTAAACCGTTCTTTTTTCCTGCCTTCTTCTATGGTTCCTCATCTATAATCTAAAATGGGGCAAAATAAAAGGCTTCTATGGAGAAATAGAAAACCTGCCAGGAGAGGGCCCTGCCTTGGTAAAGTGATTAATCGTCTACGACGTCTTGTTGCGTCATGCATTATATGCACCAGTGTCCAAGATTAAGGCCCCCCCTTCCTTTGGCCGTATTTTTTCTTTTTTTTTTCTTTCTTTTTTCTTTTTTCTTTTTTTTCTTCTATTTTCTTTTTTTGGAGTGGGCCAATTAAAGAGGAGAAAGCAAGGGGAACAATAGCAAGTACTGTATCCTGCATGCTAGCACTATGTACCTACTCAATGCTTATCCCTCAAACCCTCGAGGGTCATATCTAGCCATCTACCTAATTTATCTCTTATCCCCCCATCCAGGGGTTCTCCATATTTGTCTAAGAAAAGCGAAAAGAAAAGAAAAAGGGAATAAAAACATACTAACAAGCATATCCTGGTCGTAATACACATATGTACTGCATAGCAGTAAAATAGCAAGAAACAAAGAGAAAAAGTACATGTCACTTTGTGTCAATTTCTTGCCTTGTCCGTCAATATCATGCACCACCCTGTCAGCCCCATATTCCGACCGTTTTATTTTATTTTATTTTCCTTTTTTGGGGGTTCTTTTTTTAAAATTATTGCTTTTTCCCCAGCTTTTTTTTTTTTTTTTTCCTTATTCTAATTTTTTTTTTTTCAACTACTCCTTGTCTTTTTGTTTATTTATTTTTTTCTTCCCCCTTGTCAGCCCAAATCTCTATGCCCTGCCCTGCTTCTACCCGGCTTTGCCCACCTGTAGTCTCTCGCCCTTGCAGGCTTACCAATCGCTGCCACTACTGGCCACTGCTAATACCAAAACAACCACTTCAAAATAATCTCCATCTCCATCCGTGCCTGTGCAACACACACTATTAGCCTAATGCAGGATGCCATCACAATCAATAATCCCCATCGCTGCGTTGCCCCTGCCTATCGTTATCTCCGTCCTCTGCCCTCCGTCCTCGCCTGAACTTCCCCTCAGCCATCATCGCCCTCGACTGCATACACTATAACTGCCTGCACCTCTTTCAGTACAGCTTCATTTCCCAGCTCCTCATGCACACGCAGCACGTGGACGATCAGCATCTGCGGCACTATACGCTGCCACTACTGCTAGCTCTGCTGCACCATCTTCTCCACCAAGGACCAGCTCTCTCTTTTCCGACCTTATTATCGTTAACTTAACTTGTGGCATCCCGCTAATCCGCCCACAGACACCGGCCCCCCGGAGCTCTGGCCGCTTCCGGCATCAGATCCTCCACTCCACCACTCCCGGCCTACCGTTGAAACCGCCACGTTTACGCCTCTCTTGTCTCTATATTTCCGGCCATGTGTTTCTACGGAATAGTATCACGGCACCCAGTGCCTATAATAGTGCTGTCGTATATGCGGGGAGCGTTCTAGAGCCTCTCTTCCCCATCTCTCATCTTGAGTCCTCAATATCCGAGTTGTCCATAGCCAGCCCCATAGTATCCGGTGGCCACCTCCCCCCTTGCAGTCAACCGAGCACTAATGTAGGTACCTCCTGTAAGTAATAGCCATCGCTTTCTGTGAGAAATGATGGCCGTTGAGCCTCGCTTCGCTTGCATGCATGCACATGCACATGCATATACAGGCGTAGTATATACGTATGCCCACATACATGCCGGCATCTGGCAATTCCCCTCACTCAGGTGGCATTACCGTTACAAAACCCCCAGCCACCGGACAGCTTATTCTTATTTGGTATCTAGTACGGGGTATGGCAGTAAATAGTATCAAATAGTAGCAGTGATGCCTGCACGCAGAGTAGCATTTGATGCAATGCGAGGCTACGCAGACCAAACTCGTCACTTGACAAGCGCCACAACACCAAACACTGCAAGTCCCTGCAGCATCATGAGCCGTTAGAGCCAAGCTTTCCTGTCAGTTGTCCGCTTTTGCCCGTTCATCCCATCTATTTCCGTGGCATGCTGGCACTAACACATAGATAGTGTTACTACGATCCCCACGCCCCAATCTCGTGGTCCTGTCACCACCCGGATCACCGATAACAGTAGTTGTCTCGTTTGTTATATGCTTCATCGTGACGTCGTCTCGCTTAACTCTCTCCATGCCCTGCTAGCGAACGCGATCCTGCATTCGCCTTGTTCCCCGTCCCGTTCCCCCTCCTCCTCCTCGACGTTTTTGTTAGTATTTACGACCCTTCAGCTCAGTTCGGTTTGGTTGCGGCTTCATTGACGGTGAATTGTCGGGCAAGCTCCGAAGGATTCGAGGGGCAGCCCGTCACGGAAGACACGCAGATAGATTAGGTAGTAGAGCTCGAAGCGAGCACACACGGCAGAGTCAAGCCATAGTTTTGACAGGCCGGGAGCTTGAGGCTTGACGCGATGGCGTCTGTGTCAAGCCTTAGCGCACCACTTGCTTCCCACAGATAGCCGTCGACGAGAAGAAGGGTACGCAAATCCGAATCTCAAAACATGCGGCTGAATCCAAGCCTTTGTCGGCCGACGCAAAGCAAGATTACCGCCGCGGTGTCTGCGGAAGCATTAGTCATGATGCAGATCCCATCACCGTCAAAAGTGGATTCCAGTGTTTCGACTTGATAGAAGCTCTGTTTGGCATTATCTGCTACTGTCCATCTATCTAATCGCAAAAAGCTACATACAAGCACCCATACATTATTTTTATGCATCAAAACACCAAGCTTTTGTTACCGTCAGCCGCCCCGCTAGTTGTTTCGTTTCGTATGCCTAGACTTCGCTCGTTTCAAAGCCTTGGAGGTGCCATTTCAGTCCCCCTTAGCGTATTCGAGAACCAAACTATCCCTGCTAGGCTGCCTCAAACAAACCAGCTACAGTATAATACCTACCCAGCAAACAAATCGGAGATTTCCCCCCCTGCCGCAATGGCTTAATATAGAATAAAAATTATGAATAGAAAAAAAGAGGTAGTAAAAAAGGAACGGAATTAAAGATAAAGATAAGGTAACAGAAGAATGAAGAGGAGAGAAGTGAAGTGAAGGTGGAAGAAAGAAAATGAACAACAGTGTCCAGGTAGAGAGAGCGGCAGCCAAAAAAAAAAAAAATTGGCAAAGATATGACAGGTAAAATTTCCGTAATGGCATATACGCTTAACCCGGACAGCGTCTAGCCATGCATGACAGGTCGCAATCGCATAGCGATGATGGCGTCAATCGACCAGCCACTGATGCATAACGGTTCCACTATGCAGAAAACAAATAATGAACAGATACTCCAGATACTCATGCAATGCTAGGTATGGAGGGTTGTAAACGAGCGACTGGTGTAATAACGAGAAAAAACAGGTTCATGACCGGGTATCAAAGGGTCTAGGCTCGTAACCAAGATGCTTTTATGCAAAAGAGCGACAAGAAGATTGGTAAATGGAGAGGTTGAAACACTCATAAGAGTGTCAGTGGGAAGAAATGAGCCTTATTTCGGTTTAAAGACTGCACTCGTTAGGAATATTTCCGTTTCCTTTGGCGGGAAGTCTTTGAGAGGAGGGACTGGTGCGGGTGAAGGCGGCAGTACAGTAGACATGACAGAGAATTTCGAGGTGGCGGCTGGGTTGAAGAATTGTAACATTGGTGAGGGGGCAAGGGTTGGAGAATCTGGCTGGGCGCTACGCCTCAGATTGCTCCTCTGTTGCTCATGCCCAGTCTGTAGTAGAGATCCAGGCTGATCTGCATCAGGCTCCGGCATGGCATTGTTCATCTTGTAGATCTCATCTTCTACGTCGGTCAAGAGGGCAAAAAGCTCATCGCCAGCATAGATACGGATGCTTTCTCCCGCAGAGCTCTTCACAGTAGACTTTCGAGTGAGGCCGTCCTTGTCCTTGTCTTCCTCTTCAGCTTCCTCGACGGCGGGCAGCTCGAGAATCATGCTTGGTACTTGAGCCACTACACGCAGAGGCGGCGGCGAGGCGCTCTCGGGACGGTTAGTGAAAGTAGTCTTAACCGGGCTTCGAGGAGGCGTGGCGATGTCCTGAATGACGGGTAGTGGTACTGGCGATGGCGTCTCGCGACCAACAGAAAGTATTGCGGCTGCGGCGATGTGCTCGAGGAGCTTTTGCCGAACGCGGGTACGCCTGTTCTCAGCCCTCTCAAGCTTGACGACCCAATCATCAATCGAAGCATCGAGTTCGGCCAGTGCTTCCTCTTGTCTAAGCAGCGGCTCGGGGCTAAATCGAGCTCCCCTGTGTGGGGATCGAAGATATTGGCAGATCCGAGAGTGCAAGCTACGACGGCCAGCCCTCAAGGAGTTGTAAGTGCGGCGAAGGTATTCCGCCTTTTCATCTAGCCGGTGGAGCTCCTTGGATAGGCTTTCGACATCTTCAACCTGTAGAACCTCAAACCTCTCGACTTGGCCAAGAGCCTGTTGACGGAGAATAGCCAGGTCGTTGGCGCTCATTTGAGCGACAGCCTTGAACGGTCTGACGCCCTGGGGAAGCTCCTCAAAGGCGCGCTGCTCAGCACTCCTAGATCGCTTCTTTTCACTGCAGCTGGGTTGGGAGTGGGAGTCACTCTTCTTGTGCGATTCGCCTCGTTTCCTTGGCCTGCCTCTATGCATGATACTTTGCGACTCGGAAGCAATTCGTCTATGGCCATGGCTGTGTGAACTCTCTTCAGCTGGGGTAGCGCTCAGCGGTGTACGGCATCGAGGTTCCCACTGTTTAATGGCAGGCTTCTTCTCCATAATTGGAGCTGAAGCAGGAGTCGGAAGCGTTGTGGCCGATGTAGCATCCATGCTCCCTGACACTGACATGAGGCGATCGCTGTTGTCAGACGTAGAGCTAAGAGGGCTCAAATACTGGCGGACACCTGTACCCAGTGGTGGTGTACTATCAGCTCTGAGATGCGTATATGAAGCGCTGCGCTGCACTTCCCGCACAAAAGTCTTCGTGTCCGGCTCCGGGATAACCAGTGGTGCTAGTCGTTTCGGCGAGGGCAGACGGGGAGGCTGAGAGTTCTTAGGTCGTCTCTTCACCTCAATCTGCTTCGGAGGCGCATATATCGCTCTGCTATTCGTCAGGTTGTATACATGTGGTGGAACCATATCCTGCTTGGGTCCATCTTCAGGAGCGCTGATGGACCGTTCTCGCAGCGGTGGTCGACCCGGTATTGTCGCTGTACACAGTTAGACGTGAAATAGATTGTCAATGGATACGAGGCTTACGAGAGTCCATGGCAATCTCTTGGACCGTTGTCATCGGACCAAGGTCAGGGATGGTGGCCTTTCGACGCCGGACGAGATTCGGCTGGTTCGCCTTGACTTTCAGTGTCGGAGTCGTAGCACCTGACCTATCGTTGCGCTCGGTGGCCTTGTTCATGGCGAGGGCAAAGGCGGTTTCGGGATCCACCGATGTGCCATTATTAAAGCAAGGCGATTGCCTCCCCTTGGGGAAGAGCTGATATTTGCCTTGTCCGTCTTGCTGCATCTTCTTAGCGGTCGATTTTTCATCTGGTAGAGCCGCCAGCGGCGTTGACTAGAGACACGTATAAGTCAGTCATGTACATGCATTATTCGACCATGTTGGGAGGCTGGCTTCTTACGGAAACCATCTGAAAAGCTGGCGAGAAAGGCCTTGGTGATGCACTCTGATCAATCCCAGAAATGCAGCCAGCTATGTGATTCATTACTCGTATGAATCAGCTTCGACGTGACGGACAGCCCAATGTTCAATGTCACCGTGTAAAGAGGGAAGACACAGTCATCCAGCCCTAGGTGAGATACAAGTAGCAATTCGTCTTAAACGAGAACGCTGTGAAATAACATCCCCAACCTTTCTACCATCCAGCAGGAAGGCAGGCGGGCGTTGGAACAAGGCGATGAGGGTATATATCTGCGCTACTGGCAAGATGGAGCCTGAAAGAACGATGCATTGCAATTCAGACGAGGCCTAGGCTAGCATGGATGTCTACCATGTTCCTCCTCGCTTGCACCCGACTAGAAGGGGCTATCCACAGTGGCCAGGAGAAGGCCTACGGGCCCAAAGAGTTCTAGCTCGGAGTGTCAAGGATATAGATATGCTTGAGGGGCTCTTTTCTGTGACACGGATGCAAATAGGACAGCGCCGGTGGCTGTACAGGTGCCATGCCATGTTCCCACAGGGGTGAATGCTAGACCCATGCTAGAGCAAAGCAGTCCGCAGGCTCCGGCGGAAGCTTCAAAAGAGGGTTAGACGGCCGGACCCTGGCAGACGGACAGGGCTAGAAAATATGGGAGGAGGAGCTGCTGCATGGCAACTAGGAGTTAAAACGCTAGCCCCTAGGCGACTTCGACCCGTTCTTCAGGTCGAAGCTCTTCCCCACCAAGCTTGGCCCGCCCAGGATATCCTTGCCTGCCATGATGTTCGCCCGCACGAATCCGATCTGTCGGGCGATTGCGTTTTAGCACCGGTATTCGGGGTCTGCTAAGGCGAGGGGAAAGCATTACGAAGAACGAGAAGAAAAAGAGGAAGATGGCGATATAGGGCCCTGCTGATGGGTTGGTGGGGGTTTAGTTTCAGGCGCCGGCGCTTGGTAAGAAGAGGCGGGCTTTGGAGAGGCCAAGAGTGAGATACCGACGCCAACAAGCATCTTCAAAGGCTCAACAGCGCAGCACCGGTGTGCCTCACAAAGCAATGACGATTACCCAGTGTCAAATATAGCAGCGGCACGGGCATCACGCGGCTGGCGATGATGATGAGGACGCAGTGCACGGCCAGAGCAACGTGATGAGATGAGGTGAAATGCTACATGGTACATGTATATGGGATGAACAAGGCTTCAGTGTTCAGAGCTGCACGTGCGCGAGCCCCTGCAGAGCCGTTCCAGCGACGCTTGCTTTACGACCTTCCCAACATTGTATAGCATCACCTCCAGGTGCGCCAACAGGATAATGACAATATCAGATGAAGAATACGAGTAGCGTCTGCGCTCAGGATCCAGGTGTTCTAGGCGTCTGGCCAATCTCCACTCCTGCCTTGTCCAGTCACCTCATTAGCGTGTCGCAGACTCAGCCTTCTCGTAACGCGGCTCCTGCTGCAACGCACTTGCACGACCGCAGGTGTTACGAGCTCGAGTCACCTGAACGGATCTGCAGTGCGGTCGATCGGTCTAATGCGTGTGTTCGTACCTGCATGGTGACGGCAGTAAATGCTTCACATTTCGTCCCGTCGCCGTCGTGGCGGCTGGCACTACCTTGTTTTGGGGGGGTTGTTGGGAAAGGCTGCGATGCCATGTCTTTTTGGCCCCAACGACGCATCACAGCCCCTGGAGAGGGCTGCAGCCTGCCTATGCATCCCGTAGTTGTATCATTCGTTGTATTCGCCTCTTTTGCAGCGCAAGTCTACCCTATGGTGCTATTTCAAGCTTCATTCTTATATAAATGACAACTTCTTCCACATCGCCCCCATGAGCAACCCAGCTTTACAGGATATTCTTCTCCAATGATTTTTTTTTTTTATTGACTCGGCTATGCATTGTCATTTCCATCAAAAGATATCAAGCTAACCACCATATTGCGAAACAAGGCTTTCTTAGCGGGTTCAGCCACCAAATGGAATCATATCATTGCGTATATTCCGCCTATGAGATCATAAGACCATTGAGCTAATCATTCCTATATAGGATTTGTTCAAAGGACTCTGTTACAATCCAAGCAGGCTTGAGGAATCACACTTGGCAGCTTTGCGTTTCCTCGCTCAATCTTGCTATAGATGACTATACCGCTTCTGTTCTCAACTACGGCCACAGCTGCAGGGTTGCAGTTGAGCATGAGCCGCTTGTCTTGAAGGATCATGATGTGCTTCACCGCCATAGTGACAGATGTCAACGATAAGTACGGTAAGCCCGTCACAACTCTGTCACAACTCTAGTCAACCTAAAACCCTTACGCTCAGCATCTGCTGCACACCCTCTCCGATCTCTAAAACACCTTCGTGGGGTTCTTTGTGATGAGATGAGTCTAAGCAGGTCTGTCACACTCTGAAGTAACTCAATCCTACATCCAGTGCATCCCGGTTTCGGATGCGTAGATCATTAGCAGCTACTCCCACCTCAAGTCAGAGCTGGATGACGTGAATTACTAAACTAGATCTCGATTTCCCTCTTGTTGCAAAGGCCTGTGTTGTTTCTAAACAATCATCAAGCTTTGGCATTTTCTCCGCTTTCCTATCGCCATTGCGCAAAACCAAGCATAACAGGGGTGGAGAAAATCTGAGACAGGTCCACGAAACGGCAAGCAGCTACCCCGAGTTGAATCCGGAGCTTTGCCTCTATCAGTAATATCTTTTTTCTTTTTATCGATTTAATAAGAAACGAAATGAAATCTTCTTTCCAAGCCGGATAGGTTTCCTTCCGTTGAGAATTTCCACTCGGATATCTCCGCCAGCTAATTACTGCTATGCGTCTGCGTCATCCGCGGGGAGCAATAATTCATTTATTAGATTACCTGAAGAAAATTGACTCGCCATCTCGTATCTCTCATTTATTGAAAATGAATAATTTAAACTTCATTGATGATGAAAATTTTCTGCTTTGCTGAAGGCATTCTGACTGCCTGTGCTTGTGCTTGCGCAGGCGGGTTTGGTCTGCGGGCTGCACAGGTTTGTTTCAACCCTGAAACAACTCCTGCTTACCACCTGCGGGGAAGTTATTCCGCAAACACTCTAGCTAGGGGTTATTCATATTTTTCTCTGTCTCTTCGCCTTTACTCCTCTTATTCCCCTTTCTAGGAAAAGGGAAAAAAAAAAAAAGATAATTCTTTGGCATTGACATTGGCATGTCCGTTCCATAATCCAGGGACCCACTATGAATCTGATATCCGAATGTGGACTCGGCCCCACTCTCCGGCCATGATGTGGAGGCTGTTCAGCGTCTGTAAATCGCTAAACTCGACCTCTCCAGAGCCACAGTTCTTTTCTTCACCATGTGCTTAGTATGCCCATGGACTGCAATACCCTTGAAAAGGAGATGAGTGGTTAATTTCCGAGTTTTGGTCACTATTGGTTGCGTACTATCAAATGGCTACGTATGCTAATTGTGGCATACGCATATATGATGACAGCGTAGCGAGGACAAGAGAACCTCTCAGTCTTCAATTGTTTGAATTTCACATATTCTGAATCAAGTACAGCAACGCCGCTGCTAGACGACAAAAGATCCATTTAACGGAAAGCCGTAGCTTAGCCTAACCTATACTAGGTTTCAGATCTTAGATATAACGCAGCGTCTGTGCAGCTCCATCAACATGGTCAATCCCCACAGCGCCATGGCTTGCAGTGCTACAAGTGGTTTTGGACGAGTCCACATGATGTCTTTCTAGAGGCCGTGCTTAAGATGTAACGGGACATCTAGAGAGAAAAAAGCACGGTCCTAGAGAATGTGATGCGATGGAAGTCATCTGATTTATAGCTTCGTTCTAGTGAGATGCTCATGACATCTCTAATGTTGCTGCCAGTAGTTATAAATAAAAGATATCAACAATAATTCTGTCCTTCTCCTCCACATGCTCAATAAACAGGGCCTTAGAAGTATGGATTTTCTCCCCAAAAAGGTGGCTAAAGAGGGGTGAGCATACAAGTGTAGCCAACTCCACTAGTCGAAATATTGCTCGTGGTTCTTGTACACCATTGATTACTGACTCTTCTCAGCATCTGTAGTCAAGTAAGTTTCCACTCTTTGATGCAAAAAAGACTCCATCGTATTTTGTTGCGTTCGTCGCTCGCAAGCTGATCGAAAAATACCTCGTCTCCACGAAGAGTCGATTTCTGCATCTGCGTATGATTGGGTTGATGGTAAGGTTTTCTTTCGGACTACCCGGAGGTCTTAAACAATGAAACATGTACTCCATTATTGAGGGTCTTTCTGGGAGGGGGGAGTTGTTAGTATTTCCGCCACGCTGCTACTACCGCTTCGCGTATACCTAAGTATCCATATTCTCCATCATCTGATCCACTTGCTCGTCCATCCGGCTTGTTAGTTATTGCGTTGAAAAGATAATTTTCCTTTGTTCTCGAGCATTTCTTCTAAGCGGTAGAGTCTCCCGTGTAGGTGATCCAGGCTCTCGCTGACGTGGCCATTATGTTCTAGCACCTGGTAGGCATTTTAGGTTCATACGATAATTGTATTATCCGCCTCGACGGGATTTTCGGAGAGTTCTAGTCTCCTAAGTAAGAAAGAGTTTCCCATTTCACATCTTAAGCAGCTGCCTTGACTACTAAAGGTATTGAAGAGGAATAGAGATCATGACAGTGGTTATGACGGTGCTACGTACCCAGACAGAAATAAAGCGGAATAGGGAGAGACGAGGAAGGCTTAGCATCAATTCGTGGAGATAAAGTTCTGCTTTCGTGCCCCTCCGGTTTGTGGTAGTAGACGTAGCTAGGTGCCGAGTACATGTACTTGGTTATACTTGACACTCAACGCATCCGAATAGTTGAGCTTGGGCATATCTGATAATAACCAATGCACTTCCTATATATAATGCAATAGATATTCGTATTTAGATAAATATTTACGAAATCGGAATTAAATACAAATAGCTGAGATGTTTCGCTGAAACTCTACAGTTGACGGCTCTTAAGTACTCTATTTACCAAATACAACTGATAAAAAGTGATACCAAATGCAAATAAGTGTATAGGTACTAATCCAGTAGTTCAGTAAACCTAGGTTGGGTACGGTAGGTGCTTGAAAGCAGATTATTGCTCTGAATTAGCATGAGAGTCTTGAAATCTAAGTATAATAAACTATGACATCCAACGCCTATGCGGAATGCATGTTGCAAACCATTCTTTGACGATATGATATGTACCTAGTCAAGTAGTTAGTATTAGCAGATGGTACCAAAGGGAAGACTTCTACTGAGGTCTGCCCTTTCCATTGACCCTACATCGTTATAAGTACTGGTGAGTACCACTATCTCGTAGTACACTGATGTGTACTTTGGCGAACGCGCCTAAAAATCTTTTCCCAATCTTTTCCCATCCTGGCGAAATTGGCAATTTTCATCTTGGACAGCAAAAAAGGTCAGGAAACGCACAGACTGTGTCTACGAAAGGTCTGACTCGTAAAGATGATGATGCGCTTTTGGTCCCTGATTCATCCACGGAACCATACGGACGAAGTCGGCTGGTAAAATTTTGATGTACTCGTGCTGCTAATGTTAGTACCCTCTTGGACATTTTACTCAGAGGCTGATATGCCCACATCTTTCTCTGCGAAGAATCTGGCTTCATCATACAGGATTATACGTAACAAGTTCTCGCATATCCCACTTACTTGCGGAGCACTTTACAGGGTTGGATGGGATTTAAGTCGCCTTATTTGGTCATTTGTATGGCAATCCTCATGCATGCATCTACCGCGAAGATATACATGGCAAGCTGCACAACTCATCTGATCTAACACTTACACGATGATCCCAGAAAAAAAAAACGTGCAGTAGGGCGGCGTTAGGCGAGCTCCGCTTCAGCACAGCCTTCTACTTCTTCTATCTCCATTTTGATGATCATGTTCCAATTTAGACGATGGGCTGGACTAGGGCGATTCTGGGCGTCCATTTTAAGCTCAGCTGAACGTCGGATGATTGAACAATAAAGCCAAAATCAGACGGGATCTTTTGTCACTCATATGGATGCTTGGCCGTCGTTTCAGGTTCCCGTTAAATACAGGCCCTGGCTCCTCGTTGATAGCTTTTAGTGGGGAACGGTCTGGAAGCCGATTGTTTCATGGACTACTCCAGCCATCAGCTCCATCTAGATCGATGAGATTTGGCTGAAGAATCGACAGTTGAGGAGGCTAGGATAAAAAAAAAAATTGGAATGTTAAAAAAAAAAGACATCGATACAAAATTGAAGCATCAACCCCTCCACGATGAGCTGAGCCGAAAGAGCCCACAGTGGGAACTGGAGCTGCCCGCAAGTGGTACCGCACGTGACGTCCCTCAAATGGGAGCTCGCAATTGCGAGGACCTTTTGCAAGTGGTTTTCAGTGAAGCTCGACGGGCACGTCAAACTCGGCTTGAGTCGGTCCTATTGCTGCCCGCTCCATCTGGCTGTCAGAAAAAAACTCCAGCTTGAGCACATGTCGTGGTTCTCGATCTTCAAGAGAGTCGGTATTTTACGCAGCAGCACGAATCGCACGTCCACGAGCTACCTGTACTCTAACACTAGGCGGGGCTTTGCTACGATCACCACCATGGCCAAACGGGATCCCACTACGCTGTCCAACTATGACGCTTGGCGCACCAAGCACACCACCGCTAACTTCAGCATTGACTTTGAGAACAAGCGCCTGAAGGGCTCGGTGGTCCTGCAGCTGGAGAGCCAGACCGACAAAGAGAGCAAGGAGATCATCCTCGACTCTCGCTTTGTCAAGGTGTCGTCGGTCAACGTCAACTCCACAGCGTCCCAGTGGGAGCTGAAGCCGCACTCCGATCCGTTTGGCGCGCCGCTGCATGTGCAGGTTCCTGATGGCGCCGCCAAGGGTGACATCGTCAACCTGGCCATTGAGCTGGAGACGACCAGCAAGTGCACTGCGCTGCAGTGGTTGACGCCCGCTCAGACCTCTAACAAGAAGCACCCATACATGTTCTCTCAGTGCCAGGCCATCAATGCTCGTTCCATCTTCCCTTGCCAGGATACTCCTGATGTCAAGTCTACCATCAGCTTCAAGTTCACCTCTACCCTCCCAGTCGTTGCTTCTGGTGTTGCTGTTGGTGACCACACGGCTACTCCGGGCGTAGAGAAGGTGTATGAGTTTGAGCAAAAGGTCCCTATCCCCTCATATCTATTCGCTGTTGCCTCTGGCGACATCGTCTCTGCTCCCATTGGTTCCCGTAGCAAGGTCGTCACTGGTCCCAATGAGCTGGAAGGCTGCAAGTGGGAGCTTGAGCGAGACATGGAGAAGTTCCTAGAGATTGCCGAGAGCATTGTCTTCCCATACAAGTGGGGAGAATACAATGTTCTTGTTCTGCCCCCCAGTTTCCCTTATGGAGGTCAGAGCTACCCATACATTGAGCTTCAGTGACTATTCTAACCTTCATTTCAGGCATGGAGAACCCCATCTACACTTTCGCTACCCCTACCATCATCAGCGGCGACAGGCAGAACGTTGACGTGATTGCTCACGAGCTTGCCCACAGCTGGAGTGGTAACCTGGTTTCCAATGCCAGCTGGGAGCACTTGTACGTATCTATTTCGGATTTTCTTTTTAACCCCCTCCAGCGAGAGTGGACTAGCTGACAGTGAATAGCTGGCTTAATGAGGGCTGGACTGTCTATCTGGAGCGACGAATTGAGGCTGCCGTCCACGGCGAGCCTCAGTTTGACTTCTCATCCATTATCGGATGGAAGGCTCTCGGTAAGCATTGACATACACACACACATATATATATATGTATATGATATAACTGATCTAATATTGGCTTTAGAGGATGCCGTTGCGCACTTTGGCAAGGACCACGAATACACAAAGCTCATCATCAGCCATGACAACGTGGACCCTGAGGATGTTTACAGCACCGTTGCTTACGAGAAGGGCTTCCACTTCCTTTACTACCTGGATCGTCTCGTTGGCCGAGAGAACTTTGATAAGTTCATCCCTCACTACTTCACAAAGTGGGCCGGAAAGTCTCTCGACTCTTTTGAGTTCAGAGATACATTTGTGGATTTCTTCAACAGCCTAGGCAATGAGGAGATTAAGCAGAAGGTTGCTACTATTGACTGGGAAGGCAAGTTTTATACTCCGGGCTTGCCTCCTAAGCCCGAGTTCGACACTACCCTTGCTGGTCAATGCTACGAATTGGCTGCGAAGTGGGAAAATGAGGTAAGTTGCGCTCCTCTCTCGATTTCCCCTCATTCCGACTTCCCAGTCCTAGGAACTTAATTTTATTCGTAATCTAACGGTTTCGAATGTATAGTCTTATGAGCCCAGTGCCAAGGATGTCGAATCATTCTCCTCCAATCAGAAGATCGTTTTCCTCGAAAAGCTGCAGCAGCAAGGCGCTCTGAGCGCTGAACGGGCCCAGCTTCTGGGCAAGGTCTACAGTCTTCTCGACACCCAGAATGTTGAGCTCCAGTTTGCCTATCTGCAGATCGCTCTCAAGGCCAATGACAGCACAAGCTACCAGAACACGGCCGAACTTCTTGGCAGGGTCGGTCGCATGAAGTTCGTCCGACCCTTGTTCCGATCTTTGAACAAGGTTGATCGAAGCCTCGCCCTGGAAACTTTCGCCAAGTACAAGGATTTCTATCACCCCATCTGCAGGGGTATGGTGGAAAAGGATCTTGGAGTCTAGGGGGCTCTTCTATATAGCTACTAAGTAAAAGTAAAACACAATAAAAGAAGCATGTGAAACAATTTTATACAGAGCCATGTAGCGGTAATATATTTACGTGATGCAATAATTACCATTCAAGCCAGTCTACGTCCAACATCCACTCAACCCATCTCTGCCCCTCTCTCCGATCGAACTTCGCAAAGCTCACGACATCTCTTGCACCAAAGTTGCCGTACAAATGCGGAAACCCATTCTCCCATTTTATCGGATCCTCCAGCTTCGCCAGCTTAAACTTGATGATCCACAGGGTGGGAGTTTCAGTAAAGAACAAATCAGCCGTGTTCGGGACCTAGACATATTATATTCGATGAGAATCATTCTACTTGCCCAGGAGGAGGCTCAACAGCTCAGGTGCTTGCATTACCTGCATTGCCGTGCTTAAATGAACGAAGCCATCCTTGGCATCGAGCTCTGAAAGGGGATACTGAATAGGAAACGGTTCGATGGGAGGTGAAGAGAGGATTTTGTAGACATATGTCGGGCGAGGCTCAGGCGTTGAAGACATTTTGAAGGCAGAGAGAACGATGTTCTATACGATTGTTTTTCTAGCTTGAGTTGTATGAAGGTAAACGAAGGCGAGATGAGGAAATTTACTTGATGAGAAAAAGGCACTTGCTAATATCATATTGTGCAACAGGGCAGATACGCTTTAACAGAATATCCGCACAGTGTAAAACTCTCGTATGCACACAGTAGCCGCAACTAGGTACCTAAGCTTTGTGCTAGCGCGGGGCATTTACCGTCCACTAAATCCTCACCGCAAATGCCATACAGCCCAGATAACGAGAAGCTGAGCCAAATCTCATATCGGTATCTAGTCAGATGCTCATCAGCTTATGTATGGCTCTGCCGTTTCCGATGAAAGCTTCTTGAGAAGAACAGAGTCATGTCGTGGGGGCCTGTGGCCTCGCAGCTCTGTCTGTTGTCACAGCTGAAGGAGCGCTCAGTTGGCGATAAAGTGAGATTCTTGGGATGGTATGTTTACAACAGAATGAATTTCACTGGGCACCATCTTATGCTTAAACCCATGATAGCGTTATCTCATATGATACTTCTACGGCGTGTCTCAATCTAGGACACATGTACCCGCCCGGAACTGACGAGACTGTGCTGGTGGACATTGAGCTCGTTCTTGAGACTATCCAGCCCGGATTAACACAGGTCGGGCATTGGGTTAATGTTGTGGGGTATATCGTTGAGGGGAACAAGTCAGGTGTGCAGAAGCCATTAGGAGAAAAGGGGTCTCCCAGACATATTCAAGCGCTGTTAGTATGGCCGACGGGACCCTTGGATGTTGGGAGATATGAGAAGAGCCTGGAAGACCCAGCAGCACGGCCTTGATTGATACGCGCTGCCTAGATCTGAAACCTGTCGGATCTAGTGGGCACCTATGAACTCTGGGGAGATTCAAGCAGCCTAAGCCTTAGTGGAGGAGGGGAGTCTCTATGCATTGATCCCGCGTCTATTAGCCAGGCACTGCCTACTGTACGTTGTCTTGACACAGCAAACAAAACGAAACAATGGCGCCTCAGAGTGCTGCTAGCAGGCGAATGGAGGAATGTCAGGCCACGAGACGCGGTGGGGCGCATAAACGCACATATTGGGGTGTGCTTTCCGTGAGCGTGTACAACCAAAGTGAAGCCCCTAAAAGTCGTTAGCATCTAGCTTAGTGATGGATTAGCAGCAGGATGCGCGCTTTAGGGGCCAACGTGCAGGCCATGTCTCCCCTGGATGGCGATAACATGGACGCTCGCAGCGAATGTTGGCGGCTAATCCGCGGCATCCGCGTGCCACCTGCGTCACAAGCGTAGACCGCATCAACAACCCACACGTGAACCTCCCCTGGCAGCATGCACCTCCACCCCCAATCACAGTGACCGCCGAAGAGATAGAGGGTCGGTCCGCAAGGAGGTGCACGATCAGCGCGACCGCGTTTCTCCTGTCGACGTTTATGCTGCCGCTTGAACCTGCATCATCTCTTGACGATTGGCGACGGCACGAGTAGCGGCACCAGCGACTGTCTTGAGCTCAACCCACACGAAGCGGCCTTGCGCCATCGAGTCGGCGCAACTTGGACAGGTCCGAAATTCTTGCGACCGCTTGCGAACCCTCGACCTCGGGAAAATCGGGGCGCTCCCACCGCCGCCACGAGGGAGGGCTTTGACTTGAGTATGGACAGGAGGCCTTGACGGCTACATACACTTGCTTTTTACATCGTCTTGTTTGCTTGGAAACGCATGGGGACTCGGTTTCACTGAAGCTCTTCCCCGCGCATACATCTTTGGGCCATTTTTGCCTTCACCGACCCGGGGCGCATTGCCTGCAAAACCGCGCGGCATTCGAGGGGACCAGCCTAGGTCCCCGCACATACTCGAGCAGCCATGGCGCCAGCTGGGGGAGGAAACATCAAGGTGGTGGTGAGAGTACGGCCGTTCAATGGCAGAGGTGGGTCTATGAGCACATGGCGCGCAACGTCAGATATGGATGGGTGAATCAAAAGTTAACGGCTGGAATGCAGAAATCGACCGCGGATCGAAGCGTATCGTGGATATGCAAGGGAACCAAACCGTCATCACGCCGCCCGAAGGACATTTGGCCAAGGGGACTAAAGATAGCGCCCCCAAGACCTTTGCGTTCGACAGATCATACTGGTCGTTCAACAAGGAGGATTCCAACTATGCTGGCCAGCATAACTTGTTTGAAGATCTGGGCGCACCGCTCCTAGACAACGCGTTTGAGGGTTACAACAACTGCATTTTCGCCTATGGCCAGACTGGTTCCGGAAAATCGTACTCCATGATGGGATACGGCAAGGAAATCGGTATTATTCCTATGATTTGCCAGGAAATGTTTCAGAGAATAGGGAAGATACAAGGAGATTCGTCGAACAAGTGCACAGTCGAAGTATCATATCTAGAAATCTACAACGAACGAGTTCGCGATTTACTTAATCCTTCGACAAAGGGCAATCTGAAAGTTCGAGAGCACCCGTCCACTGGTCCGTATGTCGAAGATCTCGCTAAGCTCGTTGTCACGAGTTTTGCGGAAATCGAAAACCTTATGGATGAGGGAAACAAGGCCAGAACTGTTGCCGCCACCAACATGAACGAAACCTCCAGTCGAAGTCATGCTGTTTTCACGCTCATGCTGACGCAGAAGAAATTTGATACTGAAACCAAGATGGAGATGGAAAAGGTTGCCAAGATTAGTCTGGTCGATTTGGCTGGTTCCGAAAGAGCCAACTCGACTGGTGCAACTGGAGCGCGATTAAAGGAAGGTGCTGAAATCAACAGATCGCTTTCTACACTTGGTCGTGTCATTGCCGCGCTGGCAGACTTGTCCACCGGCAAGAAAAAGAAGGGTGGCTCTCAGGTGCCGTATCGTGACAGTGTGCTCACCTGGTTGCTGAAAGACTCTTTGGGTGGAAACAGTATGACTGCTATGATTGCAGCCATCAGTCCTGCCGATATCAATTACGACGAGACAATAAGTACGCTTCGATATGCTGATTCTGCAAAGCGAATCAAGAACCACGCCGTGGTCAACGAAGACGCAAATGCTCGTATGATCAGGGAGCTAAAGGAGGAGCTGGCCGTCTTGAGAAGCAAGTTGGGCGGCGGAGGCAGCCTCGGCGCAACCGGAGGTGCGGGCGTTCCTCCGGACGAAGTTTACGACGAGGGTACTCCCCTGGAGAAGCAGATAGTGAGCATCACCGCAGCAGATGGCACGGTCAAGAAAGTTTCCAAAGCGGAGATTGCAGAACAGCTCAGCCAAAGCGAGAAGCTGCTTACAGACTTGAATCAGACGTGGGAGGAGAAGTTAACTAAGACGGAGGAGATTCATAAAGAGCGTGAAGCAGCTTTGGAAGAACTCGGTATCAGCATCGAAAAAGGGTTCGTGGGCCTGCACACGCCAAAGAAAATGCCCCATCTTGTGAACTTATCAGACGACCCTCTTCTAGCAGAGTGCCTGGTCTACAATCTCAAACCTGGTACAACCACTGTAGGCAATGTTGACACAAACGCAGAGAATCAAGCCAACATCCGCTTGAATGGCACCAGGATTCTGCATGATCACTGTACCTTTGAAAATGCAGACGGGGTCGTTACTGTGATACCAAGAGAAGGAGCATCGGTCATGGTCAACGGCAAGCGAATCACAGAGCCGAAGCAGCTCCATTCCGGATTCCGTGTTATCCTCGGAGACTTCCACATCTTCCGGTTCAACCATCCTATGGAGGCCAGAGCCGAAAGAGCTGAAGATAACGGCAACCGCCAAAGTTTGCTGCGGCAGTCTATTACTGCTAGTCAGCTGCAAGCGCTGAGCCCGACCCCATCAACCCCCCGAACGCCCGGACACGAAAGATCTTTCAGCAAAGTTTCAGACAGTGGCGAGTCTCGGCCAGACTCACCCGCTTTCTTCCAGCGCAACGGCAAAGATTCTGATTGGTCTCTGGCGCGGAGAGAAGCTGCCGGTGCCATTCTTGGGACTGACCATAACTTTGCCAGTCTGACAGATGAAGAGCTGAATGCGTTATTCGAAGAAGTCCAAAGGGCGAGGGCAGAGCGTGTAATTACGCGTGATGATGGCGACGATTCGGAATCGGCTACATCGTATCCGATTAGAGAAAAATATATGTCGACGGGAACGATTGACAACTTTTCTCTCGACACGGCCCTGACAATGCCCTCAACGCCAAGACAAGGAGACCAAGACGACCAGTTTAGGGAGGTTAGAGAGGAACTCCAGTCTCAATTCGAGAGACAAAAAGAAGAATTCCGAGACCGACTCAGAGGTGCAGATGTTTCTCATATGGAAGTTGAAGAGATCAAGCAAGAAAAGGCTCGTATGGAAGCGGCGCTTATGGAACTCAAGGAGGATATGCAGAAGCAGCTCAGCCTACAGCGCAAACAGTTTGAAGAAAAAATCGAAAAGATGGATCCTTTGAAACGCCCTAAAGCAAGCCCTAGACTATCTGATCACGAGATGGACATTGCAAGAAAGACAGTCAAGGCATGGCGCAGCCGCCACTTCGTCAAAATGGCCGAAACTGTGCTCCAGAATGCATCCATCCTAAAAGAGGCCCAGATTATGAGCACCGAGCTTAACGAGAGCGTCGTCTTCCAGTTTACTACCGTGGACATGGGACACGTCTTGTGCTCTTCCTACGACATGGTTCTCAACGGCCTAACGAGCGAGGGAGACGACATAGCACTGGAGGAGGCTTACAAGCCCTGCATTGGCGTCCGCGTCATCGACTACAAGAATACCGTAGTTCGCCTGTGGAGTCTTGAGAAGCTGTATGACCGGGTACGGATAATGCGACAGATGCACCAATATCTCGACCAGCCAGAATATGCCCAGCATCTGAGCCTAGATAACCCATTTGTGGAGACAAATATGCCCTCCTACACCCTTGTCGGCGAGGTAGATATTCCTCTCAGAGCTGTATTTGAGAGCCGAGTTCAGGATTTTGCGCTGGATGTCCTTTCCCCTTACACTTCTCATGAAGTTGGCATGCTCAAACTATCTATCGAGCCTTCTCATGCCCGGGCCCCTACCAACACGCTCAAGTTCAATGTTGTTATGCACGAAATGGTAGGCTTTGCCGAGCGAGAAGGAACCGATGTGCATGCACAGCTGTTTATTCCCGGCATCTCGGAGGAGGACGGCATCACGACAACGCAAATGATTCAAAATTTTGACGAGGGGCCAATACGCTTTGAGAGTGTTCATAGCATGAGCGTGCCATTATTTGCGACCCCAGAGGTTACACTGAGAGCCGCTATCTTTGCTAAAGTCTCGACAATGCATCTCGATAAGCTCCTTAGCTGGGACGACATGAGAGATGCATGCCCCACTGCGGATAATGCAAAGGGACCTCGCATTAATGAGTCTCAATTTTTTACGCAAGAAAAGCACGACCTACTCTCTCGAATCCAAATCATGGAGCTTAACGAGCACGGAGAGTACGCTGCCGTCGAAGTCACCCAATCCAGCGAGCTTGACAGTGGAACATTTCAACTACATCAGGGACTGCAGAGGCGTATCTGCATTGAAATTTCACATAGCTCGGGAGATGTCTTGCCATGGGGAGATGTTACCTCTGTCCGCGTAGGCAAAATTCGAACTGTTGACACTGCTGGCAAATCCCCCGACATGGTCACAGATCGCGACATCACTCTCAAGCTTGCGTCGAACCCTGTCTTCCGTGAGAATCCCAACGGCACGCGCAATATCGTGGTACACGCCCAGTGGGACTCCAGTCAGCACAATTCACTTCTCCTTGATCGTGTAACACCTGAAAAATTCCGTGTTCAGATGACAATCTCCTGGGAGATTTCTTCAGAGAAGCTCGCAGAACCCATGAGATTTTCACAAAAAGTCAACTTGCAAATGATGTCGCGCACCTTTGTTCGGCAAACCTCTGTCTTTTCATCGCTCTGGCAGAACATGCGATTCGTTCGCTCCTCGAGCGGCGTCTTTACCTTGACCATGAAGCCTGCGCCGATCAAGAGGGTGGGCGACCTATGGAGGATGAGCAGTCAGCATGATTACGTCAAGGGCGAGGAAAATCTTCATAGTTGGACCCCCCGAGGCGTGTCTCTGGTCAGCGACTTCCTTCACTCGAAGAAGAAGAGGCGCCGTAACGCTGAGCTTGGTGCCGTAGCTAGCGTCCTTGCGCAGTATGGCATTGATCCTACACTTGGTGGAAAGGAACAGGAAGATCCCGTGCCGGAGTCTGAATCGTCTCCACTCATGCAAGCGATTATCCCCAACGACGATGATTTGCTCAACGATACACCTGTGACGTCTCAAGCTCCGTCAATCAACGGAGATGAGCTCAGCCCAGAAGAGGCTGGCAACGAAACTCAGAAAGACGACACTACCGACCAAGAGGCGCCAAAAGAAATTGGTCTAGAACCTGCTGCTCCAATTTCTGAATACAATACACGACAAACGGACTTGTTGGAGCTGTGTTTGAAGCTTTGGCAGAAATATCCGGATCCGTTTGCAAAGCTTTTGAGCCCAGAGAATACGATGCCGCCTGAGAATGGAGTTGCGACAGAGTCTGCGCCCCCTACTCTCATCACCACCATCACTCGCGTTCCCAAGAACCCAAAGGTACAAAAGGGCGGTTATCTACTTGTGCCAAACAATGAATCTACACGATGGGTAAAGAGATTTGTGGAATTGAGAAGACCATATCTCCACATATACTCTGCAACAGATGGTGACGAAATAGGCATTGTAAGCCTGCGTAATTCGCGTGTAGATAGCCAGCCCGGCGTGCTTGGTCTTTTGCACGGTCCAGATGATTACGACAGGCCGTCACGAGGCTCTAGCAGTTCGCCAGAGTTTACGCCAGGTCACCGACGGACGGCTTCAGGACGAGTCATTTCAACTGTTTGGACTGGGCCCAACGGTAGTGGAGGAGGAGGATCGTCTGCAGGACAGGGAGTTCAGCGCCTGAGCGAGCGTATGCAAGCAGCTGTGTTTGCGATTTATGGGACGGACAACACATGGCTCTTTGCGGCTCGCAGCGAGCGTGACAAGACCGACTGGATCTTTAGAATTGACCAGTCGTTCCTCTCCAACGGCGAGGACACACCTGTCAGCGGAATCATGAGTCCTGGTCAAAGCAGCGACTATTAAAGATAAGAATGAGAAATGAGTGAAGAGTATAACGGATTGATGTTTTGCGTTTCCTTCTTTTCCCCCCAACCACCCTTTTTCGCCTTATGAGAACCCACGTACTTGCGTTTTTTTTTTCTTCTCTTCTACTTTCCCTACATATTTATATATTCCTTTCCCTTTGTATGGCCAATCGTGGTCACAGTTAGATTATACCCCCTCAGATGGACGCAGCAAAGAAAACAAAAATGCAGATTGTGGAAGCACAATGTTATAGAATAGAAGGGCCGCTCTCTGTTAAGTGGAGGGAGGGTTTGGATAGCTAGGTTTTCATACCGAAAATCATGATCATGCTATACTACTAAAATTGAAGAAAGTTGGGCAGGCTTTTTTTTTTTTTGTTTGTTCCTTTGCTATGAGTATGTATGCTCGTATCGTCTTGTATAGTGCATATAATCAAAATTGGTTATTATTTTCACCTGAGAACCTCAATAGGCGAGAGTAAATGCGGGAAGTCCCAACTTTTTGTAACGTGGAGGGGCTCGGTTGGCCAGCGGTGCCCTCAATAATATTCATGCGTTAATGCATGTCGAGGAGGGCAACACGGAAACCATAGTCTTGACGGTAAGGAAGAGCTATGCTACACAATGATAGTACCGGTAGTACCAATAGTAAGTCTACATGTAGATCGTACGACCAGAGTGTATTTATCGTTTAGATGCACGGCAGAGTTTGCCGGTCTTTCCATGGATGCGTTATATACTGCAAGGCCCTGCTTTATTATAAGTTCATACTTGCAGTAGTTTTGCGTTTCGTCATATGTCATTTCGAGTTGGTGGTGGTCCTTGCTTCTGAGCCTGCGTAACAGAGTGCTAAACAAGGAGGAGGGGGTTTTTACTTGTCAGCTGAAAGCCTCTTGAAGTTATATTATGATGAATAGTCTTCTCTGGGAGGATGTATGCAGTTATTCTATGCATTAGCGTCCTATGGTATCAGCCATGGCCATCATGTGCAGGGTGGGCATTAAATAGTATGGAGTTTTAGAAAATGCGACATTACTGATGTGAGTCTAGAAAGGCGTTACGTTTATAGATGCCTGCGTGTCATACATGCTATCTGGTTGATTTCGTGTTGCAGTACGATTGTCCGTCATGACATGTAACGCGAGATTTCTAGTTCTCGCTAACGGCTGTTAACCTTGTTCATCTACTACTACTACTACGTAGTAGTAGTAGTAGTAGTAGTAGTAGTAGTAAGCCAGGGAGTGATTATGGTTATAATCCGATATTTCTTACTCGCACCATCCTAGATTGCTGAATAATTCTCCGTAGTAATACGTGCCACATTGTCGGGAAGTAAGATGGTGGCACGACGAGGGAGCCGTCGGCACCCGCGACGAGGCCAGCCTCTCAGTTAGTCGTGTCCCACACAGTAGGGAAAGCAAAATATATTCGTTTCACACCCAGGGAGCCAAATTCCAAGTTTATGCCCTTCAAGTAAGGATCATGGGATGCAAAACAAGTCCAGGAGAGTAAGCCCTTCGAGTGCTAAGAAAGCATTGGTCTTGGGGAGATAATGCCTAGCGGGTTCGAACTACCTCACCGAATTACTGCCAGTTTCCGCCAGCTTCCAGTGTTTCAAGCCTTTAGCTTCCAGGGAGAATAAGAGGTTATGTCGAGACCCGCAGAGCAGGCACCGCTACTGAGGCCGGGATATTCTTGCGTGACTTGTCTTAGTGTTTATGCGTGCATGTGTAGGTGTGTAAAGCAATATGCGAGATGTTAGTGCTTTGCTCGCACAAAAGCTATCTATCAATTGGGGGCCAGCGATAGTACAGTGGGTTTAATGGCTCGAGTGCTTACTATGCAGTGTCATGCTGTGTTTGGGAACCTCTGTAAGCCCATCTGTACGGATTGTGGAAGAAGAGAGATGTGCAGACGGCGGGATAGCGTGCTATGTTATGCTGTAATTTATACAGATTCTGGATGCATACTACAGGTACGAGCATCAAGTGTGGAGCAATGTACGACAATTTGGAGCATTTATATGTCTAGGATGCAAAAGCTTACATTATGGTGAGTGATACTATTAGGAAGTGGTAGTTGGGAAGCCTTGCTATGGGCATGCCGTTTGAACATGGACCCCCTGAACGAGAACCGACACCTACGAATCCTAGCTCCAGCCGCCTTGCCACCAAGGATTAAGCTACTATTTAGGCGAATAAGCACATTCACTTACACTCCAACTTGGGTCAGGAAGCACTATCTGACCAGGCTGCTCAATGTGGATGGACAGGGAACAAGCGGTTTGGGTCAACCGGTATGGGATATTTGATGCCACATATTGTCATATTTTCACGTGCTAGAGCAGGCTTCGGAATACGAAGTACCGGGGAGCTGGCAATGCCCTGGCTCGAGCTCAAATATTCCCTACGGACCGCCGCCGCGGACGGCTCTTTACCGTCTCATCTGGCTTGTGAATAGAACCACCTAGCAGCAGTTGCTGCAGGACGTGGGGGCCGCAATAACATGCAAACGAGAAACACGGAGCAGAGGACGCATATTGGACCCTCCCTGTACTTCCTTCTCCAAGACAACCTCGCAGATCCAAACAACAGCAGCCATAACTTACACCGAGAAAGGCCATCGTACGTTCACAGCAAAGCACGCGGCAGCAAAGATGCTACCTTTATGCATGCTGCTAATGCAACTCCTGGCTCCCGAGACTTTCGTTCTTATCCGAGTCGGGCTCCGTATGCAGCACACGTCTTCCCGTTTTGCTTGCTCCTACTGGCTAGATACAAAGACAGATATGGATTACTCCGTAAAGCTGGCCATTCACGGAAGCGATAACGAGGGCGTCGTCCTGTTTGCCCTTGCTGGAGCGCGTACAGTATACAGCAGAGCCGGGTTGCTATTTGAAATTTCCTCGGCGGTTTCAAATAATGCGGCGAAAGTGCGGCGTCTCGAGCCGACATCTAAGATCTACCCAACCGGAAGAGCACACGCGCTCCCTGATCCCTGGCCGCCTTGGCGTGGTTACGCACTCTTTGAGTACCGTATTACGACTATCTATACGCTGTATAAACCACACACTCTCTTACACATTCTCTCTCCCTGCAGGTGATACTTGCCTCTCACTCATGGAATGCCAGGCTCGAGCTAAGCAAGCCGTTGGCGGATAGTATAATTCCTAGTCTCCACCAGTCCCAGAGCTCTGGGATTCTGGCCCAACAGTGCGCGAGAGCGTTTTCTTGCGGACCAAGAGGCACCGTCGGCCTTAGCCGCCACCCGCTCGCTAACAACGTGGGATGGATCCCTTGGCTGGCGTATGAGATTAGGCCTAAATGCAGGCGTTCTGCAAATACTGTTCAGCAGCTCTCTCGGCTCTGGCGGCGGCAAAGTCAGCCAAGAGAAACCGGTTTACTGGTGCTAGCTCTTTTCTAGTTGAAGCCCGTCTGATTCCCTTTGCCCTAGAATAGTCGTCATCATCATCCCTTTTCCTAGCTGCTGACTTGGCCTTGCCCTTTAGGCCGTGATCCAATACATCTAATTAGCCAGCCTAGCTAATTAGCCAGTTATATCTAACTAGTAAAAATAGTAGATTGAAGAACTTATACCGATATAATCCTGGTTATAAGACTAGACTAAAACAATTAAAGAAGGCTATACTGCTTTTGTAAGGCTTTAATATTATTAAATAACCCTATAAGGCTAAGGATAAAAAATACTTTAAAATATAAAGTTATTTTTATATATTTAAAGTTATTATAAGTTAAATATTTAATAATTTATTATAAAATAATACTTAAAGAATATTAAATTAATAAAATAATATTTAATTATTATATTTTTTTAATTTTTTATTTAAAATAAAAAAAAAAAATAATTAAATTTAATAAAAAAAATATA